TCTGGGTAAGAAGCCTGTCATTCTGGCAATAGTATGCATTTGTGGTGATTAAGAAATTATGATACTACTTCTGCATCTAACTCCTGGCAAGACAGTCTTTGAAGCCCTTTTCTAAATTGGTTCTACTAATTCTTTTTACTTTTAATGAAGTAGATAATCTCCACGGCTCCCCTTAAGGAAAAGAAAGTTCAAAGAATTCAGGAATCAGCATGCTTTTCTGCAGAGCTTGATGTCCCTGTTCAACCAAGAACCAAGCGGGTGGCTCGGATGCCAAAAGCTTCACCTACAGGTGTGTTGCTCGGGATCTCGTTGCTTCTCACTGTCCTGCCTGTTTACAATACATTCTGGCACTGTCACTGTGTTGCCTTGTGTTGGTTTAAGCCACCATGCCCAGCCTGGAGTGGTCAAGTTTTATTTGAAGCCAGACTGCATTAAACCAAACAGTCCATTTTTCAGAAAAGACTTCTTTGCCAGTATAGAATGGTACTCAAATAAAATCCTATGTCAGCATACACATATATATGCACAAAACAGAAATGAAAAAGGTTGATAAGCCCTGTATATTGGTTTTGTTATATTTTCCCAGTTTGCCCAAGGTGATTATTCTTTGGCAAACCTAAGACAAAACAGTCCTGAGATCACATAACTTAGAGGAGGCAGCATTTTACTGGCAGCATGTGTTCAAAAGGGCCTTTTGAATAGCTTTGGCTTATCCTATAATATTAGAGAGTAGCTGCAGCCTGCATGTTCATTTTAACTTGACAACATATCATGCATTCAATGTATCCCTTCATGAATAGCATCCGACCCCTTAAGACCTTTGGCATCATTAGAGTGTTTGATCAGGCAGTGTCCAAAGTTTGGTTTTGAGGGGGTTGGATGGGCATAGCTTCTAGGTTCTAAAGTTCTAGCATTGCCCAGGGCCCCAGCTTGAGAGCAATGATCTAGGGTTCTTCTGAGGGTAAATAGCACAATGTTTTGTAAGAGAGAGTGACATTTCAGTAAGCAAAATACCCCAGCCTTCTGAGCTTTAGGAGTGAGCACTTCCAAAATAGGAAAAGTAACCACATCCGGGGATATTTAACGCAAGCTATTGGCAGTAGAATACCCTGGACCCCTAACTTTCCCCCACCCCACAAATAAAATGGAATAGAATGAAATGAAATGAAACAAGAAAGGAAAAAAGAAAAGAAAGGGGAGCAGGCTTTGGCTTTTCTTATATAGAATTTGATCTGTGCACAAATCTCCACCACTTATTCACTCCAGAAGGACTTTTACTCTTTTCTGGAACCTACCCCAGTGTTTCATATTAATATTTGGTCAATACTCAGTTAATGTCTTTGTTTAGCGTTGCACTGTCCAACGCGGTAGCCACTAGTCACATGTGACTATTTAAGTTAGATTAAATTTAGTTAGAAATTTATTTCCTCAAAAGTACTGGTCACGTTTAAGTGAACAGTGGCCACACATGGCTGGTAACTGCCAGTATGTCAGACAGCACCAATACAAAACATTTCCATCATCAAAGAAAGCTCTGTTGGATCATACTTCTGAGATTTTGAGGGTAGGACAGAAATGGTCTTGTGGTCTTCCTTTTTATTCTCTCAAGATCTGGGTATTGCATATGTCACTTGTAAAAAGGAACAATTCTGTACAAACAAATTTTGTGGTTATCAGTGGGGCTTTTGTTTTTACTGAATTCTTGTGTTGATTTTCTAGACCCCACAAGTTCATCTTCGAGGATGACAAGTGTACCCTCCCAACCACTGCAAACTATTCCTGGGAACAAACCTAGTGGAGTGACTCGAGATAAGAATGCAGGGGCCCAGGGGAGCTCTGGGGAGACGTCTCAGACGGTGTCTGTGGAAGCCTTCTCCGGCCTGCGGCTCAGGTCAGTAGCTGGGACGGCCCTCTAGGTTCCCACAGCCACTAGATGGCGCGTCCTCCTCTCAGAAGATGAGTCTTTGGTGTTGTGTACAGCAGATCCGCAAACACCAGCAGCTCTCTAACTGGACACAGCCCAGTACAGGTGAATGTAAAATGTTTCAGGAATACTTTTCCTTGTTTATATAACGAAAAAGCAATATGCATCCCTAAAAAGGAAATGGACAAATGATAGTAATCAGAAATTGATGGGGAAAGCATTGATATACACTATTTCTAAATTTGTCTCCATCTTTATTGGGGTATTTTTAAATACATAAAGATATACAGTTTAACCAAGAGAATAGTGTCTTATACTTCATGTTAAGAAAAATAGCTGAGCTGTGTTTCTCTCTAATGACCTTTTTAAGGTGAGTTTATAATCTTTGCATCTGTTATGGGGAAAAATGCAAGGTTAAAATTGGAACAAATTTCAGGCTCAATTCAGTTAAGAGCCATATTTAAGTCCTGGAGTTTTAAACCATCTATCACTACTCCGTTGCATCTCCGTTATTCTGTTTAAGCCCAGGACAGAGCAGTAATCCTTACTTTGAAACTGGATTGCTTTGAGTAGAGACCATCTAGGAGCCAGGTGAAATCCCTCTAAGACTCCTAAACCTTGTCAGTCTGATCATCAGCCAATGACTAAAACTGCTGGGTGCTTAAATTATTACTAAGCAGGGGAGAAGGAAGAGTTGCCAGTATGAAAGAAAGATGTATTGTAAAGACTCCATATTCTCCAAAATTGATCAATGTACTTAATATCTTACTTGTTTTGGAGACAGTCTTCGGGCTGGACTACAGCAGTAATAGCTGTGGTTCTCATGGAGGGACTGCAGGCCTCCTGCTCAAGGTCAACATGCCCTCCTGAGATGGTACTGACTGCCTGTCCCAGCTGTGGCCCAGGGGAAACTCCCTACGGGTAATGAACACTGGTGCTGATGGGCACGTATTGTACATGCCGATCAAATGGAGGTAGAAACAGTTTGAGCTACTTAGCCTAAGCTTCTGAGTGGCTTACAACCTTAAGGGATTACATAATTATTGGAGTCTTTGTAATTATTATACCTAAACCTCAGGCCCTAAAATATTCTGAAGGAAATATTCTTAGAGATGCCCTGATACAGGTTGAGTATCCCTTATCTGAAATGCTTGAGCCCAGAAGTGTTTCAGATTTGGGATTTTGCAATATTTGCATTATGTACTTAAGCAGTTGAGCATCCCAAATCCAGCAAGCCAAAAGCCAAACTCCTCCAAGGAGCATTTCCTTTGTCATGTCAGTACTCAAAAAATGTTGGATTTTGGAGTTTTTCAGATTTTTCTCAATCTATAGTAATCTATTAACTCACAGAAATCAGGCAAAGAAAAGGGTTTCTCCACTGAAGTCAATGTTTTGCCTTTTGAATATTTTTCATTGTTCAGACTTAGCTCTGGAACTTCATTCCAGAAGACTTCTGAAATAATGAAGGAGCATGTTTTCCTCTGAGTATTTTCTCTTGTCTCAGAATATATAAATGATCAAAGATGGGACAAATGCTAACATCAAAGGAAAGCAATGTGGAAATTTACCAGTTTTTGGTCAGATATCGAGAATAAGAATATGTTATTTGAAGCTAGATTCAAAAGCCTATATTGTTATGTGAAAATGTTAGCTTAAAAATCCAATTAGAAACAGTAAAACCTGTGAAATTCTTACAGAATTGACTCATTTATTAATATCGATTAATGGTTATAATTAAGTAATAACTTATAATAAAGTCAAGAAAGATTAAAAGAATATTATAACTTATATTTTTATGAGCTTAAAGAGTATGTGATCTTTCTTGTGTGCTATATAAGCTCCAAATCTATATGCGAGGAATAACAAGCCTAGCTTTAACAATTTTCTTGTTTTTATTTATCTGCTGTAAAAATGTGTGCCTTGGCTGTGCTACATAACTGAGCCCCCTGACAACAGGCACTGTTGCAGTTTCTGCCCATTACACCTCTCCTTACCACCCGGAAGGTGCCAGATAATTTCTCATTAGAAGAATAATCTACTAATTGGTGGTTTCTTAACCCAGGCGGCCTCGAGTATCCTCTACAGAAATGAACAAGAAAATGACTGGCCGAAAACTGATCCGACTGTCTCAGGTCAAGGAAAAGATGGCACGTGAGAAACTAGAAGAAATCGACTGGGTGACATTTGGGGTTATAGTGAAGAAAGTTACTCCACAGAGTATGAACAGTGTAAGCCATTTTATTGTTTTCTCAGCTGCTTTATTGCAAACTAACAATGGGTTCTCAATGTCCTTGATTTGTTACCTGAGCCTGATGGTGTTTCATTTTGAAATAATTCCTAGTAAGCTCCAGAGTTGCCACATCATTGGGTTGTTATCTAAGGGGATTATGTAAAGGATGCCCTAAAGGCCTAGTTGTCTCTTGGGCTTTGCACTGTAATTGTTTTTGGTAGCACCTGTGGCTGTCCCTGTGACACTGCAGTCCCTCCTGTGGGGCGGAGGAGCGGATGATCAGAGCAGCTGACTCCTTTGGAGTTCCCTATAGATGCAGAAGAGCTGCAGTTGCTGTCTTGTGCCAGAGTGGTGTGGTGCATTGAATTCCATGGCTGTTCCCAAAGATCTAGCGAGTTCCAAAGTCATAGTTGACTGGGGTGTACTGGCCTGGCAAGTCAGAAAACCTAGATTCTAAATCTTGTTCTCCCTTTAACTAGTTATGTGGCATTAGGTTGACCCTTAATCTTTCTTTTAAGGTTCTCCATTTCTTCATCTATAAAATGAAAAAACTGGCTTTAATTATATTGAAAATTTCTCCCAGCTCTAAAATACTACAAATAATCTTTTTCATGAGATCTGGCACTAGTTTGCCGGATCCTGCTCTAGCTTCATTACTGTCCAAGTAAATGTGGACTAATCTGATTTTCATGTGATTAAATTCTTAATTGCTTTACAAGTAGCTCTAATGACAGTAATAATAGGCATGAGCCTTTATCCATACTCTTCCTCGAAAGCCCTTGTACAAATCCAGGGAAGAATACCGTGTTTCCCCGAAAATAAGACAGGGTCTTATATTTAGTTTTCCTCAAGAAGACACCCTAGGGCTTATTTTCAGGGGATGTGTTATTTTTTACTCAAAGCCTCAGCTTACAGCACACACAGGATGGCCGGGACCTGACAAGGGGAGCCAACCTTGCTAGTGGGGTTGCCCGAACCTTTCCGATCACCTCTGGACAGTAGCTCTCACGATGGGGCAGATGAGAAGGGCTGCTTGTCTTCTTTACCACTCCACAACAAAATACATGGGCTGTGCAGATATGCTGCATAGCCATGCCCATCACTAGGTCTTATTTTCAGAGTAGGGAAATTATATTGCGCAAATGCTTAGAAATCCTGCTAGGGCTTATTTTATGGGTAGGGCTTATTTTCGGGGAAACATGGTAGTTACAACACTCAGAGGCCATGCAGTAGCTTACCATAACCTATAACTCATCTTGGGATGCCACTGGCCATTAGCTTGAGTCAATATTATTCAAATTGTTCTGTTTTTTTTTTAATCTATAAAAATGGAGATTGTTCATGTTTTAAGCAGCCAGCATTTTGAGTTATATTTCTTCATTTATTTAAAATAGCTCTGAAATGTTACAGTTAACCTCAACCAATTTTCTTCAAGTGATGCTTTTGTTTTTCTTCTAAGCTGAGTATAGATTTAGTGGTATAGAGTGAAAACCTCTATTAATATTAATAATATAATTAATTAGTGATAAATAATAGAATTATTTACTAAATTATTTACCCAGTATCTGTTCATATCAGTAAGTTATTAAATGGTGTTGTCATAGCTTCCTCTTGTCCTTTTAATGGGGTGTGTGTGTCTCAGTGTCACTTGGAAAGGTAGTGCCATGCCACTGCCCATTTAGACCTGATATTACAGACTCTACTAACAAGCTTGCTACTGGCCTGCCTTATTTCACCTTTATCTCTAAAGTGAAAAGGGTAATCTTAATATAATACTACAGCCTAGAGATAGGACTAGTTTATAATTATCAGACATTCTGATGATTGCATATTTAGGGTAGATTATATTTATATATTTTTATACAATGAAACACTTCAACAATAGTGGAAACAGTGTAACTCACAGTTTGAAAATTGTTAAAAATAAGAATAAATATTTGTTCCAGGGGAAAACATTCAGCATCTGGCGACTGAATGATCTTCGTGACCTGACACAGCATGTGTCCTTGTTCTTGTTTGGAGAAGTTCACAAAGAGCTCTGGAAGACAGAACAAGGCACTGTCATCGGGTTGCTCAATGCTAACCCCATGAAGCCCAAGGATGGCTCAGAGGAGGTGAGAGTCTGTTTCTGGGATCCGAGCGACTGTTTTTACAATAGCTGAGTCTTATCAACAACATCTGTATTAGTCCACCTCCAGGAAATAAGTCATGCTCTCATATTATTATGTCTCCATTAACCTGACTTTTCATTTGTTTATTCATTCATCCTCACCAATAGTCTGAATTTCCACCTGCTCTGAAGTGTTTTGTAACAACTACTTTTATTGTACCTTTTCAAATGAGTTCCAAGGTTCATACAGTTTTCTGAACTATTATGCTCTGATTTCCTCAGATTCCTTATGTAAATTTTTATGGTGGCATCAAGACAGCAGTGCTTATAGTGGAGGGAATTTTGCTCCATAATTATTAACTATAGCTGCAATTTAAAATCAAAGTGAATTTTCATCTTGTCAAGCAATATTAGAGTTTTGCTACTACCCACCGCTTCTCTAGTAAATTGCACATCTAGACACAACGTGAATAACAACAGACAGTTTCACGACTCTGACCCAGCAAGAAGCTTTACTGTATTGTAATTGGATTATTATTTTATCAGGAAAGCAAAAGCTTCCCTATGGACTCCTACTTAAGTCTAATTAACTGTCATTGGCTAGAACAGTCCCATAACCATTGCTAGCTCTAAGAAAAGCTGAGAAGACAGGCTCATGGCTGGAAGCTGAGGACTTGGCCAGCCCAGACAAAATCAGGATTCTGATAGTGAAGGTGAAGTGGGTGTTGGGCAGAGAATTGAATGTGTCTTCCATACCCTGATTTCTAAAAGTAACAGAGCACTGGCTTTAAATTCCATTAGGGCAAGAAAGCCTTCATAAATCAACACCAGCCATTCCTTTATCCATTCTTGCAAATAAAAGGCCATCACTTTGCCTGCCTTTAACTCCTACCCTCCTTCTTTTTTCCAGGTGTGCTTATCTATTGATCATCCCCAGAAGGTCTTAATTATGGGTGAAGCTCTTGACCTGGGAACCTGTAAAGCTAAGAAGAAGAATGGAGAACCGTGCACACAGATTGTTAACTTGGTTGGTTTCAACCTTGTTAGGATGGTTTCTGCTAAAGAAATAACTATTAGGAATAAAAACTGTAGGTCCTTTAGCTGTAGTGACCAATTTGGAACTGAGTTTCCTACTTAACAGGAAGAGTCAAAATGAGAAAATTGAATGTGTGGGTAATAATTGCCAGTTTTAAAAGTTCAGGCAAAGAAAGGGCAGGGAGGTCTAACCTCTTAGGAAGTGATCTGTTATTGCCGCCCTCAGTACCTGCACTTGGAAGTCAGCAGGGAGGATTCTGAGTGCAGGGTAGTCCTCTGGGAGGAGGGAGAAAGGAACTGTGTCTGTTCGCTCGGTTCCTGGTCTGTCCCTACTCCTGATGCAGCTGTTCTTCCTTTCCGCAGCGCGACTGCGAGTACTGTCAGTATCACGTCCAGGCCCAGTACAGGAAGCTCAGCGCCAGGCGAGCCGACCTGCAGTCCACCTTCTCCGGAGGACGAATTCCAAAGAAGTTCGCCCGCAAAGGCGCCAGCCTAAAAGAACGGCTGTGTCAGGACGGTTTTTACTACGGAGGAGTCTCTTCTTCATCTTATGCAGCCTCAATGTAAGACATTCTCGGGCTGCTTTGGGGACAAGGGTGTCGCTTATCTTATAAGACTAAACCCAGTGGTTGTACTTTTCTGTAACTGTCATGGGATACTTATAGAGGTTGTATCTTAAATAATTCACTGCCTGTAACAACATAGATAAGGACCTCGTTTATGCCCAGATCGAGAGGAAAAAATACAGAAGGGAGAGAGATTGAGTGAGTCCTGTTGTAACGGGCTTTGACACAGCCCACGCTTCCTCTTTGACTCCTAACGTGAATAGCATGGACTAGTCACTGAGCGACTGTGCAGTGAAGCTTCATGCAGGCAGTGGGACCGAGCAGAGCAGACACGTGTTTCCCCGTTCTAGGGGGTCTCAGACTCTCCATAGGTCCCTGTCACAGGTTGTCATCATCTTATAGAAAGCACATCTGAGGACATGGCAGGTGGGGACTAGGCAGGAGATGGCTATAGAGTCTCCAAGAACAAAACAGATTTAGTTCTCAATCCAACAGGACGGGGTAAGAGGACTCACACTTCCTGTTTATTTTGTAGCATGAAGCACATTTTTAAGATTTAAAAGGATTTCTGGGCCGGGCGTGGTGGCTCACGCCTATAATCCTAGCACTTTGGGAGGCCGAGGCGGGCGGATTGCTCAAGGTCAGGAGTTCGAAACCAGCCTGAGCGAGACCTCGTCTCTACCAAAAATAGAAATAAATTAATTGACCAACTAAAAATATATATACAAAAAATTAGCCGGGCATGGTGGCGCTTGCCTGTAGTCCCAGCTACTCGGGAGGCTGAGGCAGTAGGATCGCTGAGCCCTGGAGATTGAGGTTGCTGTGACCCAGGCTGACGCCACGGCACTCACTCTAGCCTGGGCAACAAAGTGAGACTCTGTCTCAAAAAACAACAACAACAACAACAACTAAATAAATAAATAAATAAAAGGATTTCTGAATTTTTCCGAACTGCTAAAAGCAATATAAAGAATATACAAGCCAGGTGCAGTGGCTCACACCTATAATCCCAGCACTTTGTGAGGCCCACATAGGAGGATCACTTGAGGCCAGGAGTTTGAGACCAGCCTGGGCAATATAGTGAGACCCCCCTCTCTGCAAAAAAGAGAAAAAATTAGCCAGGTATAGTGGTATGCACCTGTAGTCCCAGCTACTTGGGAGGCTGAAGACTGCTTGAGCCCAGTAGTTGCAGTGAGTTATGATGACGCCATTGTAGTCTAGCCTAGACAACAGAACAAGACCCTATCTCAAAAATAAAATAAAAAGAATATACAATTCAGCCAAAAAGAGAAAACACAGGCCATCTATGATCCTACCACCTAAAAAATCTATTAATTCCTTGGTATATATACCTGTAGGTGTTGTGTTTTATTTTTTCACATGTGTAAATTTTTAGGTAATAGAGATCCTACTATACTTATACTTTGTAAACCTCCCTTTTTTCAGCATAAAATAATGAGTTTTTCTTATCAAATATTTATTTATGGCATCATTTAGTGGCCACATAGTGTTCTTTTACATACTCTCCAATAATTTATTTAAACAATTTCCTATGGGTGAACATTAATGTTGTTTCCAACTTATGACATTTTGAACAAAGCTGTAGATAATATCTTAAATGTTTACATAGTCCTTAATTATTTCAAGATAAATTGCTAGGCTGCTAAATCAAAAGTGTTGGCATATTAAGAATTACTTAGGCCAGACATACTGATGCGCACCTATAGTCCTAGCTACTCTGGAGGCTGAGGCAGGAGGATCCCTTGAGCCCAGGATTTGCAGGTTGCAGTGAGCTGTGATAATGCCACAGAAGTATAGCCTGAGCAACAAAGTGAGACCCTGTCCCCCCCCTCCCCAAAAAAGAATTACTCAGCTTGTGTTTTGAGAAGCTTTGGAAGTTTGTCATAAATCAGTATTTCTGGCCAGGTGCAGTGGCTCACCCCTGTAATCCTAGCTCTCTGGGAGGCTGAGGTGGGAGGATCGCTCAAGGTCAGGAGTTCCAGACCAGCCTGAACAAGAGCAAGACCCCATCTCTACTAAAAATAGAAAGAAATTAATTAGTCAACTAAAAATATATTTAAAAATTTAGCCAGGCATGGTGGCACATGCCTGTAGTCCCAGCTACTCAGGAGGCTGAGGCAGGAGGATTGCTTGATCCCAGGAGTTTGAGGTTGCTGTGAGCTAGGTTGACGCCACGGCACTCTAGCCTGGGCAACAGAGTGAAACTCTGTTTCAAAAAATAAATAAATAAATGAGTATTTCTGTGTTGTCTTTACCTCTTCAGAGCATTGGGATTCAGTGATTTTCCTTTTGCGGGGGGACCTCTTGTCATTTCAGTGCAGCGGCTGCTGCTCCTAAGAAGAAGATTCAAACCACGCTGACCAATCTGGTTGTCAAGGGTGCAGACTTGGTCATTCAGGAAACAAAACAAAAACTGGGTAACTTTGTTTCTCCATATTCAATTTCTTTTTCCAGTTCAAATATGCATGTATACCATAGATAATAAATATCTACTCTTTGCCTGCAGGTAGTAAGTAGCTGAGCTAAAGTAATCAAGCCTGGTTGGCAGGACATTGGAAGAAAACAACATGTTAATCTTAGCTGTGTCTTAGCTTAGGATTCTTTTGAAAATTTCATGATGTATCTGGGTCCAACTCCTAATGTCCAGGATTACAATCAGTGTGTTAGGTTCCTGGTCAAACCTGTTATCTTTTGTGAAAACAGGTCTTAGTAAGCCGGTCATAGTGGTGCACACCTGTAGTCCCAGCTACTTGTGAGGCAGAGGCAGGAGGATCACTCAAGCCCAGGAATTCAAGTCCAGCCTCGGGAATATAGCAAGACCCTATCTCTTAAGAAAAATGAAAATTAGGGGGGGAAAAAACCCAAAACAAAAACATTGGTCAGAGAATGCAGTCCCCACCCTGTGCTTATGGTCATAAACAATGGTCAGGGCCTAGCAGGAACCCTTATCCTTCGTGCATATTCCAGAACGAGGGTATAAAATGACCCCACAGATTTACTTGTGTAGTGTTCCGACCATTACTAGAAATAAGATACACCTAGGATACTCTCACAGCCCCAATCAGTCTGTTGCTAGAGTTTAAGGATTCTTTTTTCTCTTAGTATTACATCTACTTCATTTACAAATGACTATGAGTGCAGAGTTTAAAAAGTGGTACAGTGATACGTTGGAGGACCTCAAACTGGATGTTGAATGCTCTAAAGCTGATGTCTGATGTCACAGGAATACCCCAGAAGAGCTTGTCTTGCTCAGAGGAGTTCAAGGAACTGATGGAGCTGCCAACGTTTGGAGCCAGAAACTTGAAACAACATTTAGCCAAAGCCTCGGTTTCAGGTACAGTCAGCTTGTGCGCTATAGTGTGTGTCCCTGGTCCCCTCTACCCCCACCACCACCCCCCAGCACTCTTCAGTCTGTGGGCTTGTGTTTTAGGGATCAGAGGAACCCCGAAAGCTGCCATCCAGTCCATCTCGGCATCAGCCCTCTTGAAGCAGCAGAAACAGCAAATGTTGGAGATGAGGAAAAGGAAATTGGAAGATGCCCAGAGACGGTAAGACTGGCGGATTCCATATTCCCCGGTGACGTCATTCATCTCAGGCATCTCACATCTTCCTTGCTTTCAAAAATGCCACCGCAGGCTGGGTGTAGTAGCTCACACCTGTAATCCTAGCACTCTGGGAGGCCAAGGTGGGCGGATCACTCAGGTGAGGAGTTTGAAACCAGCCTGAGCAAGAGCGAGACCCTGTCTTTACTAAAAATAGAAAGAAATTAATTGGCAACTAAAAATATATAGAAAAAATTAGCCAGGCATGATGGTGCATGTCTGTAGTCCCAGCTACTCGGGAGGCTAAGGCAGGAGGATTGCTTGAGCCCAGGAGTTTGAGGTTGCTGTGAGCTAGGCTGATGCCATCCATGGCACTCTAGCCTGGGGAACAGAGTGAAACTTGTCTCAAAATACAAAAAAACATACCTTTGGGCAGGATTTGACAGGTAGTTTGCAGACTCAGCCAAGAGCTGGTAGGAGCAGTCATGCAATATTGGAAAGTATATTGCCCTGTAGCATCTGGCCCTGGTCCCGAGTGTGGCACTTGTCAATGGCGTGCACATGGGCCACAGTTTCTTCATCTGTCAAATGAGAGGTTTGGATTAGATGATTGCTGAGTCTTGTTGTTTTAAAATAGCTCTTAAAACTGTATGTGAAATAATCACTGTGCAAGTCATAGTGCTTTTCTGTTAAGGACTTCCAAATGTCTCACAGGTGTTACCCCTTCGCAGTAGCCTAAACTAAAATGCAGAGAAATGCACTAAGTCCCTAAAGGCCCTGGAGCTAACCAACTGTAGGGCTGGGAATACGATCCCCACCTCAATTCAGGTCTGTGCTCTGTAGGCAACGCCCACTGGACAGCCAATGGATAAAAACAGCAATCATTCTAAAGCAGTAGGACAGTTATGGGTTATTCAGTCAAAAATCAAGTAACAAAAGAGTTAGTGAAGCTAGTAATGTCCTATTGTTTGCTAACTTAGATTATTAACCGAGGAGGGGAAATTATTTTACTAACAGCTAGTTCCCAGCTGGTGGCCTGCCTGCAGCCTCCCACGCCACCTTGAGTTCTGGAGTTTTTATCTTTGTAAAGTTCCGTTTGCATATTTTGTCACTGCGTATGCTTTAAAGGTTTCTCCAAAGTTCCAGTGAAGCCAAGAGCCCGGCTGTGCCATCCTCATCTCGACATCCACCTGCTCAGTCTCCTCGGACAGGGGCTGAGTTCCCCAGGCTGGAAGGAAGCCCAGCCACGTGGACGCCCAGGCTTGGGCGTGGCATCTCAGAAGGGGATGATGTTCTCTTTTTCGATGAGTCACCACCAACAAGACCAAAACTGAGTGCTTTAGCCGAAGCCAAAAAGGTAACTGGCATCTCTTCTCTTGTACACTTGAATTTGCATTCTGTAAGACAGGGCTTGAGTTTCAAACTCTGTGTGCTGGCAGCCAGGAAAGACAGACACTTAATAGCTATTTATTGATCATGATAATTAGAGTGAAAGTAATTTTAAATGATAAGCGGTATCAACATAATACCATTTATTTAAGGCAAGAATGTTAGAGCCCTTATCTCAAGACTGCCAGGCTGTAGGAGATAGCTTAGGGGAAGGCAATGTTTACAGCCAGAGACCCTGGCATTAGGAAAACAATCCTTGCAATTGTTGAGGCAAGACTGTAAAATAGTGGTTCAAAGAATCCTTTGAAAGAAATCTTACACAGAAGCGCAGTCCACTGCCAGGTGAAAGCTAAGTTGCTCTGGCTGAAGTGGGGGTGGGAGACACCCAGAACCCTACCTGTCCACTCCTAAGTCCCTTGACAGCCTCTGTCTCTTTCCTCTAGTTACCAGCTATAACCAGATTAAGGGCAAAAGCTAGCTATTAGCCAAAGCCTTACCTATAATAATATTAATAATAACAGTAATACCAATAATAATAACCATTGCACATATTTATTAATATTACTCTATGATATGTGCACATCATGCTGTTTACTGTGTACAGGTACATGCTTTACATACAGTATCTCATTCCGTCCACACAACCATGACCTTATAAGGTAGGTCAATGCCATCATCATCCCCATTTTATAAATGTAGAAACTGAGGCTGAGAAATTAAGTAATTTGCCTAAGATGATAAGCTCGTCAGTGGCAGACCTTGATGGAATTCTGTCTGATTCCAAAATTTCCAGAATGGCAGTGTGGTCACCCTTTATGGACCCGGAAGCCTACAGTCTCGCTGATGTTAAACTAGTTGTATTTAAATAAACCAAGACTATATTCATCAGCTTATCGACCTGTCTCTCATGCTATTAAAATTCTGCCAGTTTCTTCTAGAGTACAGCCAGAATTCACTGGTTAATAACCAGAAGGAGGTCCAGGGCTATAGGTGCCTGTCTCATCTTCTAGATCTTTACCTCCCAATCTTCTCTTTTTGTCTAGTTAGCTGCTATCACCAAATTAAGGGCAAAAGGCCAGATTCTTACAAAAACAAACCCGAATAATATTAAAAAGAAGCAAAAGGACTCCCAAGACGTCCTGCAAGTGAAGGAGCGTGTTGAAAAGAACACCGCGTTTTCTCCCCAAGGTACTGGGATTTCAGAGTTAGCAGTGGGAAGGAGAAACTGTGTATAAGGGGAATGTTCTAGACCGTAACCAGCACCCCCGATACCAAGTCACCACTTCCGTCTCCCTCCATGCCCGATACCTAAATAGAATTCTGCAGCTGGAACTGCTTGTCATTGTGTTTTCATAAACACATGAAATTGCAATGAAATCATGCTCAATTTCAACGCTTGGGAAAAGGATACTCATTGCATCTTTGTGTGTCTATATTAGCATAAAGATTTACTCTGAAATAAATAGAATTCCTTTGTTTTAAATTGCCCTGTTTTTATTTCTAAAACTCCAAAGTTGGCGATGTCATTTGGAACTCAGTTTGTCAATGGGACTTTTGTTTATCTGTTATCATAATCAGCTCCCTATTTGAGGGTGAAGAAGAGATTCTAATTTGGTGGTCACATCTGCCACCAGGCCATATTCTGAGCTCTGCTCTGGGCCCACCTCTTGAGAGCATTTCCCTGCTGGAATCAGCCAGGGTAGGTCAAGTTTGAAGGGCTTTGTGGGCAGAGAGAGAGAGAGAGATAGGAAGGAGGCCGCATCCACAAGACACAATGGCTTTCTGAAATTTCTCTGTAACAGCTAAAGCTCATTCTTTCTGCCCCAGCTGAGGATGAACTGGAGCCTGCCAGGAAAAAAAGGAGAGAGCAGCTTGCCTACCTGGAATCTGAGGAATTTCAGAAAATTCTAAAAGCAAAATCCAAGCACACAGGCATCCTAAAAGAGGTAAGAGCCCAAAAGGTCAAGGTCTATGTTGATGGCTGTCAAAGCCAAGGTGCTGGTTGTACAACCAAGAATCTCTTCCTTTTGCATAAATCAAGCAGTAGCTACATGCCAGTTGGAATTTGCTTTGAAGAGCAGGAAAATTTCTAACATGTTTTAGCTTTGCCCTTGTCTTTGCACTGAAGCATATCATTTGACTATGACTTAAATAGATTTCAATATTATGAAAATGTTTGCACGTAGTAACGGCTGTGAAATTACGTTTAAACGGTTCAACACTGTTGCTATTTTCTGCCTTGCAATATGGAAAGGGATTTTTTTTCCATTCCAGTCTTTTATATTGGTATTTTGAATGCTCCAAATCAGTAGTTAACCCGTCAATTTCTAGGCCCCTTGTTAATAACAAATATTTTGTATTGCTTCCTTATTATCTTGAAATAAAACTCACAGGTAACATAAATTACCAATACTAGTAATTTCAAAAATTTCAATATAACATCTTAACTAATATAAAAATGAAAATATTTATGATAAAAATATGTATTTCACTATGTAAATGATTAGGTACAAATACCCTAGAATAATAAAGTAGGGGCTTGGATTTGTAAGTGTAAATGAGATAGCTAGAAATGAAAGCTCATATAGATGTGTTTTCTTGGTACCTTAAATAACTTTCTCAGCCTCCCAAGAACCTGGGATTAGATAATTTGGTTTTTTTGCAAAACAGGGAATGATCTGGAGAAACCAAAGCACAGTTTTCCCTCAATATACAATATTATGGTGTACTCTTGGGATATTCAAGGTATGTTAAAACCATACATAAATATCACAGGGTTTTGTAGAAAGTAGTTAGATCCTAGGGTTCTAATCAGGCTTCTTATCCACACGGATGTCCCATAGAACACACAGAAGCCATGTGGCTCATGAGAAAACCCTTTTTGGTGTCGGGAACTGTCCCCTGCATTGCAGAATGTGTAGCATCTCTGGTCCCTGTCAGCGGCGGAGGTGGCAATCATTGGGATAACAAAAGAAGTGTTCCCACAAATTTCCAGAATGTCTCCATTTGGTACCACGACTCCAGACCATCTGCTCTTCTCTTCTGAATATCAAACAACAAACAAGACAGTTGCATCTCATATCTCTTCACCAGACTTGAAACTCAGAAGAGACGCCAGAGCTGACCCTGAGGGCTGGAAGCTCCTCGCCTCTTGTGGCACCCAGGCCCTGGGCCCTCTTGCCCTGTGTAGATGCACTAGCCCCAGTGTGGCGCTCACTCTCTGCCATCCCACACTTCTAGGAAGTTCTGCCGGGTGCTTGCTGGGGAGGCCTTGGGTACCCTCTGTACATGGAATCTGTACCAGAGCAGTGGAAATAAGTGCCTCGCGCACGCACTGGACACAAGGACACTGTTAATAATGTCGGTGGTGTTTATTTAGTGTTTTAAAAATCAGTTTAAAATGCCCCCTTTTCTGGCATATTTAGGGCTTGTTTCTACTTACCATTATCTCTCAGTTTGCCACTCTTCGAGGTACTATCCAGCATCCTCGAACATTGAGCCTGGCTCTTCTGCTCTGTTTTGGTTACAATTGAACAGAGTCATTTGAATCATTGTCGCATTATCCTCCCTGAGCTGCCTGGGTGTCACTGTGGGATTCGGTACCAGGTATCCTATGTGCTTTGTCGTTCCAGGCCGAGGCTGAGCTGCAGGAACACTATTTTGAGCCACTGGTGAAAAAAGAACAAATGGAAGAAAAGATGAGAAGCATCAGAGAAGTGAAGTGTCGGGTCGTGACATGCAAGACGGTGCGTGAAGGCGGGGGCTCGAACCCAGGGACCCTGCTTAGAACTGCGGGGTCTCAGCAGCACGCCGAGACCCTGTGGGGGGCGGGGCCATATCTGGTGACGTGTCAATTGATTGGGCTGTGGACAGCAAATGCTGTAGGGTGGCCAAGGACCTGGCTTTCTGCCTGACCCAGCCGCCGAGCTAATAATTTTCTTCTGCTCTAACTATTACTATCTTCACGTCACAGAAGGTTGTTGAATACTTCATGCCTGACCAGAAATTGGGGTGAACATGAGAAAAGTGGTAGCAGTGTAAGTGAATGTCAAGGGATCACAGTGTCAGGGTCATTGCAGCTAGAAGAAAAGGTGGTCCGGTCCCCTAGCAGCGACCTGGGTGGTGACAGAGAGCCACAGAGCAGATTGCCCTGAGGGCAGCTGACCAGTTTGTCCCTAAACGCCCCTCACCACCGTGCTGGCTTTGTGTTGGTCTGTGCAGTGTGCCTACACCCACCTCAAGCCTCTGGAGACCTGTGTCAGCGAGCAGCACGACTTACACTGGCAGGACGGCGTGAAGAGGTTTTTCAAGTGTCCCTGCGGGAACAGAAGCATCTCCCTGGACAGACTCCCCAACAAGCACTGCAGGTACGAGAATTGCTCGGGGCTCTTTGTCCTGTGTAGGGTTCTTCAGCTCTTTCTCTAGTTCCTGTGTGATTCTGTTTGCTTGGAACATTGGATGGTCATTCTTGTGCCTTCTTATAGCTCCTGGGCATCCCTGAGACTTGAACTGTTGACCTAAATCCCTGGAAGGAAAGGAGCCTGCCCTCTTCCCTCCTGTGTTCCCAACACTTAATATAGTGCCTGCCCCCCAGGAGGCCCCCAGAAATGTTTGTTGAATAAATAAATGAAGTAAGAGTAGGGTGGTGTGGTGAACACATGCATGTTTGTTGGAGGCTAGGACATAATATTTTTTCTCCACTCCAAGGAGTCATTTGTTCGCTTAACATGCCTTTAACATGTGAGGACCACTGTCCCTCAGTATTCACAGAGAATTGGCTCCGGGACCACCCCCCTAACAACCCCAGGATGCCAAAATCCATGAACGCTCAAGTCCCTGATATTAATATAAAATGGTGTTGTAGTTGCAGATAACCCACGTGCATCCTTTAGATGCTCTAGATCATCTCTAGATTACTTATAATACCTAGTACAATGTAAATGCCACGCAAATCATTGTTATACTGTATTGGGGTTTTTTATTGGTATTATTTTCTGTTTATTGTATTATTATTTTTTATTGTATTGGAGTCTTTTTCCCAAATATATCTGACCCATGGGTGGTTGAACCCGCTCCTGGTGGACCTTGCTTTTGGGTGTGGAAGCTGCAGATGGAGAGGGCCAGCTTTATGCGTGTTTTAAGGGTCTCTTTGTTTTGGTTTTTACTTTGGGGGGGACTTCAGATGCAGAGGCAGAGCTGCTGTGTTGGCTAGTCGAGGGGGCGTCATTTGCCTGGATACAGCAGTGACCCTCTGGGGTTGGGGGTAAGGAAACACTTTTTGGTGGTGTGCAGCTTCTCCTAGCATGGGGGGACACTGTCCCCTTACTGCAGGGGTCCCCATTGTCTGCATGTGTGTGGGTCTGCACCTCTCCCCTGAATAAACCCCTCTTTTCTATTCTAGTAACTGTGGCCTCTACAAATGGGAGCGGGACGGGATGCTAAAGGTATGTCATTCGCATACTCATTTGTGACTGATTTCAGTGACCCATGCAAATGATGCTGAACCATTTCTTATCAGAATATTTTCATTTTTCCAGGAAAAGACTGGACCAAAGATAGGAGGAGAAACTTTGTTACCAAGAGGAGAAGAACACGCCAAATTTCTGAATAGCCTTAAATAGCCCTAACGTCACACATTTTCCCACGACCTTCTCTTCTCCCTGTGGTTCTGGAAAAGCCAGGAACTGGTTCTGCGTCGCCCATGTTCCCCACCGACACCGTCAAAAACAAATGCTCGTTAAGCCCATAAGCCGTGTCTGCTTACTTTGCTCCGTTGTGTGGGTTTGACACCAAATTTAACATGGACATTAATGGAATGTGGAAAACCAACATATTGCTGTCTTTCCTGTTCTACATTACTGCATTCACACAAATTTTTTACCCAGAAACTGAAAGGTAAACCAAGAGGTTTGTTTCTGTATCTCTTGGTTATAGAGCATACACTCCTTTTTCTCAATGAAGTTCTATTGTTTATATGAACAGCAGTGTTTATATGGATAAAAACAGAGGCAAAAACATTCATTGAACTTAACTCTCACCCCAGGTAAGATACCTAATTTCTGGGCTTTGGTTTCCTTATCTGGACGAAGAAGATTGGACTAAATGAACTTGAAACGTGTTTTTCCACACTCATATTCTACAAATAATGTAACTTCTTTCCATCTAAATAATTATGATCATTGCCTTAATGTAATTTTGGTAAACTGATATTTCAAGCTAGGTTCCTTCTTTCTGTTCTATTGTTACCTCTGTTTTACTCTTTGAGAGTGATCAAGTTGCCAAACCACTTTGCACAGAGAACCCAGTTGATCTGAATGTTATAATCTTCACAGGAGATTTTTTTAGTTTGCTGTGCCTTTTTCTGTTTAGAGGAAACGGCTTTTTAGAGAAAATCACCGTTCTTTTGGGTTTTGTTAAAATAAAATATAGTTTCCCTTTCCAAACAACAAAAGGAAAACTGGAGTATTTTAGATGAGAATCATCCAGAATAGCAAATAAGAAGCTTCTGCTAAGTGATGTAGAATGTTCCCCAGAGGGAATTGGAAATATTAGAAGCTTGAGGTTGACTGGCATATAGCAAAGTTGATAGGGAGAGGTTGTACGCATTGGGTTTCTGTGTAGAAGTTGATGATGATGGAAGTTAAGTTTAATGTTTACAACAGGTGAAATATTTAAGTTTTTTAAAGGGCAGAAAGGGATACACTATAAAATATAAATGTAAAATATCTTGCCCCTCAGTGCCATAATTCTGTACTGAGTACATGATAAACAACTGAACCTGAGTTAATAAAATTCATAAGCTAGTGTTCTAGACCTCACTGCCTGAGAGTAATGGGATTATTATTTTTATTTAGGAAAGTTTTTTATTTGGGAGCGTACACACTACATGATTCAGACTCACAAGTGTATTCTTTGACACTCAAAAGTATTATTAAAGTGCCTAATGACAAGTTTAGAAAAATACTGTTCATTTTTGTTTTCATATGAAATCAGTGTTCTTTCTAGATACATCCCCTCCAAACACTGCCGTTCTTATAGGAAGCTTTTTCTTTAAGAAAGCTTCATGAGGCCAGGCATGGTGGCTCACACCTGTAATCCTAGCACTCTGGGAGGCCGAGGCGGGCAGATTGCTCAAGGTCAGGAGTTCGAAACCAGCCTGAGCAAGAGCGAGACCCCGTCTCTACTATAAATAGAAAGAAATAATTGGCCAACTATATATAGAGAAAAAATTAGCCGGGCATGGTGGCGCATGCCTGTAGTCCCAGCTACTCGGGAGGCTGAGGCAGGAGGATCGCTTGAGCCCAGGAGTTTGAGGTTGCTGTGAGCTAGGCTGACACCACAGCACTCACTGTAGCCTGGGCAACAAAGCGAGACTCTGTCTCAAAAAAAAAAAGATGGGGTCTTGCTACGTTGCCCAGGCTAAAAATGAATTCTAAAGTTTAAAAAATAAAAATGGAAAAAAGTTTATGTAGATATTAATACTTAGATGTGCACAGACCACTTAAAACCCAAGACAATGGGCCGGGCGCTGTGGCTCACGCCTGTAATCCTAGCTCTTGGGAGGCGAGGCGGGCGGATTGCTCAAGGTCAGGGAGTTCAAAACCAAGCCTGAGCAAGAGTGAGACCCGTCTCTACTATAAATAGAAAGAAATTAATTGGCCAACTGATATATATATAAAAATTAGCCGGGCATCGTGGCGCATGCCTGTAGTCCAGCTACTCGGGGGAGGCTGAGCAGGAGGATCCGCTTGAGCCCAGGAGTTTGAGGTTGCTGTGAGCTAGGCTGACGCCACGGCACTCACTCTAGCCTGGACAACAAAGTGAGACTCTGTCTCAAAAAAAAAAACCCAAGACAATGGGAATAATAGTTTCCTTTGAGAGATAAGAGAAGGACTTTCTACTGTATCCATCTATCCTTTTGGAATTTTAAACCATGTGTATATATTACCTGTTCAAACTATCTGTAATTTTTAAAAAATAAACATCATGTGGACAGTAGACAAAGCTTCTTTTAAAAAAGTGCTAGTACATTATAAGATCACAGGGTATACCAAAATTGTCAACTGTAGACTAGAACATTTATTTATATTTAACCAGTTTGCTTTTGGACAAATCCCTTAAGAGCTACAGATAGAATTTTTTAAATTATTAAAAACTTGCCAAAGAATTAGAACATAATTGGTTGAAAATGGATTAAGAAATGAAATAACCTAACTAATGAAACTGATAAAAGCACATAACAAGTTCAGAAAAGAGAAAATTTAATTCTTCTGAGACTCATAAAAATTGCTACCTCTTTCCAAAAGATCAAAATAAACAACAAAAGCACATGATAATAAATTGCAAAATCTCCACCTAGAACAAACACAAAAATTTTTTTTCTTGTATCTTTAACCTGCAACAGGAAGATAAAATGCCAGCATGTGCAGAATTGGTGAATAGACATTAATGACAAATTTATCCTTTGACAAATCTGTTTTCAACCACTTAACCTGGAACCCCTTAGGAACTAGGGGCTAGTAATGAAAGAACAGAGAAGAGCAAGTAAAAGAAGTCCCCAAACCCACACTTTGGACAAGGCCAGTCTCCAAAATGCAAACTGCTCTGTTCCTAATTTCCTGTAAACTGTGGGTGCCCAGATTCCTGGTCATCTTACCTCTGGCATGCCTCTCCCTGCCAAGGAAGTGACTGACCAGCTATCAGGGAAGGAATTCTGAAAACCCTCAAGTATAATGGAGCCCTTGTTGAGGGTGGGGGTAGAACGAGGTAATGGAATTCTTATTCAGCCCTTTCTGCCAGAGTTCTTTATCTAGAGCCAACACACCAAGCATGACCATTGAAGAGGCAAGGACAGGCTGTTTTGTTTAACTGGCCACTCACCCAAAACCATTGTTGGATGTTGACATCTGTAGGGTCCCGTGTTCCTTCTTGTGGACAAACCGCAGGCAGGTGGTGTGTGGTGTGGCTGTTGGGTTGGAATTCATTGGCTGCCTCTATCCGGTCACTGCACAGGGGAAAAGGGAACTGCCCTCTTGCCGGAAGGCACCGAGATGTGTTATCTTGACTGATAGAAACCAGACGGGGACTCCTTGTTTCCCGGCAGAGGCGAGAGGGCAATGCTTTGCTTTTTTCTATTGCACACCGAGCATGTAAAAAAAAAAAATGTAATTTTAAAAACCCAGAAGTTACCAACATAAAAGGTCAGGCCCTCAGGGCCCAGCTTGGCATCTGGCTCCTGGTCACCCCAGAGGAGAGTTTCATGTGACTAGATAGAGGACAACCTCACTTTGTCACTGGCAGAGCAGCCTGCAGTCCTGACTCGGGACCTAAGCTGGCAGTGGGCTAAGCATACACCGTTGCCCACCTACCAATGCCAGCGGATAGGCCCAACCGTGAGATGAGAGATCGCTTTAGCCCAGCTGCAGTGAGCTACGATCATACCTGGAAATAGCCACTGCCTTCCAGCCAGGGCAACATAGGGAGCCCTTGTCTCTAAATAAATGAATGAATGATTAATTTTAGGAAAGAAAGGATTGGCAAAGATATCCAGTGATAGTAACTGTAATAGCATGTAACTTCGAAGAGAAATTTGATTTATCCAGTTTAAAATGTTTAGAAGTTATGACCCAGCATTTCATGTCCAGGAAGCTATCCCACTGAGGACTAGATACATAAACTCTAGCATATTTAATGGCATGAAAAAGAGCAAACACACACACATACACCACATGCACTGCTAGTGTCATGTGGGGTAAATAGAAAACACAGCTTCCCAACCTGAACAAGAGCGAGACCCCGTCTCTACTATAAATAGAAAGAAATTAGCCAAACAACTAAAAATAGAAAAAAATTAGCCGGGCATGGTGGCGCATGCCTGTAGTCCCAGCTACTCGGGAGGCTGAGGCAGGAGGATCGCTTGAGCCCAAGAGTTTGAGGTTGTTGTGAGCTAGGCTGACGCCACGGCACTCACTCTAGCCCTGGCAACACAGTGAGACTGTCTCAAAAAAAAAAAAAAGAAAAAGAAAACACAGCTTATTGAGGGAAAACTTAGGACACAGCTAATACCCCCAAGTACCTCTTAGTCCACAGAGAAGGGTGTGGGAAGCTGGGCAGACCTACACCAAGAACTTGAGGAAGTTTCCAGTAAAGGGTCCCCATCCCAAAATGCCCTCCCTATTTATGGGAAAAGAGAAGTAGGGAGCATATAGGTGACAATAAGATAATGGAACTACTTGGTAGAGATAAATGATCTTGTGAGAAAGAGGGAATGTTCAAAGCTCAAATTCTGGCAGTACGCAATTCTATTAAGCTAATTCAGACCTACTTAAGAGTGAGACTGGCTGGATTTATGCAATTATATACGATGTTGCTATTATAAAGGATGAAGTGTGTGTGTGTGTGCAGAAAAGGTGCAGGAATACATACAAAGCCACTGATAGGGCTCATTCAAGGTACAATTGAAGAGGCAAGAAGTAGACATCTGTTTTGTGCGGTAGATTCCTATAATGCTTCAGTTTGCCACAATGAGCATGTACTGTAACTAAAATAATACTTTTACAATGAAAGTGTACTGTTTAAAAAAAAAGATTGGGTAAGGATGGATAAAAGTGTAAAGAATGTTTTAAGTGGTGAAATGCAGGTTTCAGTTGAAATTTTATACATAATTTCTAACCATAAGGAAGTTTCTTGGAACTCTCCTGGTTTCCATTTGGAAGTGTTCTCACTTGATCCAGTTTAGACACTAAGATGTGTGTTGGTAACGTAACTTGAGAGTAACTATATATCAGTGATCCCTAAAATATCGTGATCAAAATATTCCAGAGTCCCAGCTGCGACCCCTACTCTTGAGGCACTGTTTAACGGACCCATAACATGCGCTATCATGGAAAGTGGGCACTGCCTTGCCTTTTGTCACGATGGGACTTGACATGTGCACCAAGCCTGAGTCTCCAAATTATGAATCCCAGAACTCCTGGTACTGAGAGGAGGGTGGCTCCTCTACTCAGCCTGCCCAGGGGACAACACTGAATGGTAGATTTTACCCAATGCCCATCCTGCCTTCCCACGGCCAGCCCAGCTCCTGCCTGGAGGTGGTATGAGAAAACAGTATTGCACGTTACCTAGGAGGTGATTTGGAATATGCATTATTACTTAATCATTAGAATATTTTTATTTATTTATTTATTTTATTTTTTTGAGACAGAGTCTCACTCTGTTGCCTGGGCTAGAGTGCTGTGGCGTCAGCCTAGCTCACAGCAATCTCAAACTCCTGGGCTCAAGCAATCCTCCTGCCTCAGCCTCCCGAGTAGCTGGGACTACAGGCATGTGTCACCATGCCCGGCTAATTTTTTCTATATATTTTTAGTTGGCCAATTAATTTCTTTCTATTTATAGTAGAGATGGGGGTCTTGCTCTTGCTTAGGCTGGTTTCGAATTCTTGACCGTGAGCGATCCTCCTGCCTCGGTCTCCCAGAGTGCTAGGACTAAAGGTATGAGCCACCTCACCAGCCCAGCCTACAGTATTTTTAAAGATCTTATCAGCCTTTTTTTTTTTTTTTTTTTTTTTTTTATTACTCAGGCCTGGAAAATGGAACAGCCTTTTAAAAAGTTACTTAAAAACTCATGCATTCATTGCAATGTTTCCTGATCTAATTAATATCTAATTAATACCCCGTCTGGTGGAGTATTTTACCATAATGGAGGTAAATTTTCCTCAGGGTAACCCCAACACACAGTCACCATATACTGCCCTGGAAGCCCAACTTCAAATGCAGGCTGGACTAGCTGGCCAGAAACCCAAGCGAGAGGGTTGGAGGGTGGGCTTTCAAACACCCAAGTCAGCGGGAGTAGCATTGTCACTGACGGGAGACAGGTCGGCACTGCTCAGTTTGAGATTTGAGAAGATGCTACACGTGGTTGATACAGCATTTTTATTTGTGAAGCTATAACTAAACATGTCATCTTTGTTCTTTCCCATGATCCGTTTCCTTGTTCTATCAGACAGGAGCCTTGCTTTGGGAACTAAGCCAGGGGAAACCACTGCGGGTTTGGCACAGGCAGTTGCTCACCACCCAACGAATCATCTGCAAAGAAGCAAATGCCAGGACATTTCGATGCGTCAGGCCGAAAGGCACGTGCATGTCTTCACCAGGGCTGTCGGCCACAGCAGACGCTAGGCTGAGACCCTCTGAAGGGCCCATGTGCATGGGAGAGAGCTGCTGGGACACCAGGGTGGGCAGATATGTCTCAAGCTCTGTCCCTTCTCGGCCGGCTTCAGAGTGGGGTCAGATGTGGTGGCGATTGTAGAGATAGGACGGATACAGGCCATCGTAATGCCACTGGCGCCATTGCTCCACTGCCTCCCGGCTCCTCTCTTCCTGCTCTGGGAAGGGGACACACAAGCCACCTGTTAGTATGCGGAGGACTCAAGAAGAGCCACCAAACGGCCCGCCCTGTGATGACATGCACCGGGTGTGCTTGAAAGCCCTGGTGGCAGACAGAATGCCAGAGCTGGGAGGGACCCGGAGCACACAAGTCCACAGACCTCGCCTGAGTTAGGCTCCAGGTGACAGTCACAGCTGGCTACCAATGGAGCCGAGAGCAGGGCCCACATCCCTCATTCTTTTACCCGCAAGACTAGCCAAGGGGTACAGAGCTTTATGCAGCCACCAGCTCAGACACACAACTCAGACACAAGGTTAAAGAGTAACAACTCAGACACAAGGTTAAAGAGTAACAACTCAGACACAAGGTTAAAGAGTAACAAAGAGTCCATTCACAAGAATGGACTCCAAACCACACCTTGAAAACATCACGGAAGGAAATCATGGTGGACTTAGAGGGCTTTTTTTCCTCCATACTGTTCTGTATTTCCTAAGCTTTAAAGATAACATTTTGGTTTTTTATTAAACTAACTGGAAAATGGGTTAGATGGCGCAAGTGTGGGGAGATCTCAGTTACAGGGATTCAGGGTGATGGTTTCATGGGGTTCATTATCCTCCACATGTTTCCATATATTTGAAGTTCTCCATAGTAAAAGGCTAAAAAGGTCAGAAGTGAGTTTCAATGAGTAAGAAAGTCCTGCTTGTAATGTCTTTGGGAAGACACGTTTCCAAATAATATCTCTGAGCAGCTGTAGAATTAGTCTCCTGATTCCAGCACTAGCAGATGTCACGAGGCCTCCAGGGTAGGGAAGGCATTCGTGAGACTCCTCCACAAGTTAAACATAGGATTACCACATGACCCAGCGATTCCACTCCGGGGAATATACCCAAAAGAACTGAAAATGGGCTGGGCACGGTGGCTCACACCTGTAATCCCAGCACTCTTGGAGGCCAAGGCAGGAGGATCACTTGAGGCCAGGGGTTCAAGACCAGCCTGGGCAACATAGTGAGATCCCATCTCTACAAAAAAAATTTTTTTAATTAGCTGGGCAGGGTGGCATGTGCCTATAGTCCCAGCTATTCGGGAGGCTGGGGCAAGAAGATCACTTGAGCCCAGCAATTTAAGGCTGCAGTGAGCTATGACTGCACCACTGTGCTTCAGCCTGGGTGACAAAGCAGGACCCCTGTCTCCATCTCTAAAAAAACAAAAAAACATTGAAAACAGGACTCAAACAGATACTTATACACCAATGTTCATAGCAGCAGTATTCACAATAGCCAAAAGGTAAAAACAACTCAAGTGTTCATCAACAAATCATTGGATAAATAAAATGTTATGTATTTCTATGTAAACAAATATATATGTATAAAAAATAATGGCACATGCTATTATGCAACATGGATAAAGTTTGATCAGATCATCCTAAGTGAAACAAGTCAGGCACAAAAAGATAAACATTGGGTAAGCCTTATACGTTAGTATATTACAAAGTTTATTAGAGGTTCCCACCCCTGGCTGGTGGTTTGCTTCCACCAGCCAGGGGTGAGGCTGATCACAGCCTCCCAGAGGCTGGAGACAGGAAGGAGAGTTATTGCCCAGCGGGGGCAGGGCTTTGCAAATAGACAATGAGATGGTTGCACCACACTGTGACGCACTAAATATCCTACAGCTATAAGCTTGGCAATAGTTAAAAAGGCAAATATGATGTCATATATATTTTACCACAAATTTTTTAAAAAAGTATTTGTGAACAATGTCAGGAGGATGGGCAGTCCTAATGGAAGAAGGGGCTGTGAAGGATTAAACACCCTAAATAGCTCCTCTACCTCTGTTTCTTCAATGGGGACTTCAACCAAAAGCCTGGGAAGCTAGTTTTGGTGGACTTCAACCAAAAGCCTGGGAAGCTAGTTTTGGTGTCGGTGACACTCACGCTCTGTAGCATTGGCTGACAGGACGGTCTGCCGGCTTCAGTGGGCAGACCCAATGGTCTTTGGCGTCTGTTTGGAGGGGCAGTCAGAGGCCTGTGTGGACACTGACCTCAGGCCTATTAGGTGACAGGCCCAGTGACTGCTGTACATGCAGGTACCACGCTGCCAGGAATGTTTCCTTCCTACAAGACTTAGGTGCTGGGTACTTGAGGGACAGCCTGGGGCGCTGGATGGTCACCCTCAGCCCTTTGACACACTGCTGAAGCCAGCAGACCAGCTACGCTTTGCCAACCTTGAGTGTGGTTTGACATAGACAGTGATTGCACATCCCTTTTATGAAACAGGTGACCTGGGGACAGGTTGAACATCCAACTATCGAATATTCCTAGAGGAAGTGACTTTGTCTGGCAAGACGGCTTGCTGAAACCTGGGTCCTGATTGAAGGGGGTGCCAGGGCCTCAGGGAAGGGCTAGGGAGACAGACATTCTGAGCACTGCCCTGGGAGAGGTTCAGGCAGGTGAGTCCCCGTGCAATGGTCACTCCGGGTCAGTGGCGAGGGGAAGGGATTGATTGAAATGAGTTTCACCTTTTTCAAAACTCAACCTCGGAGGCTGGGTCTGCTCTGCCTGTGGGCTGCTTCCTGGATTGAGCTCTGGGGAGACCTCTTTGGTTGGCTTCGGCTTTGCTCTACCTCCCTCTCACTCTGTCCCTGCTTGCAGCTCAATTCCTGCATGACAGAAGCTCTCTGAGCCCCGCCCTGCGTTGGGTCACCTGGATTGACAAGAACAGCAGCTCTGCCTGCAAACAAGCCTCAGTTCCAACCCTTCCAACCCGAGGACTTCCTGCTGGCTCGGCCACCTGGGGTTTCCGTGCATCCTTTCTAAGCCTCACTTTTTAAGACCCTGAAATGCATATTGCAAGACCCATCTCCAGGCTGGTTTTAAGAATTAGTGCTTCCCACGGTGCTTAGCAGAGCAAAGGCTCAATGACAACCGCTGCTGAAACTAGTGTCCCCAAAGGTCTGGCGTCTTCTCCATCCGTGTGTGCGAGGCCCGCACACCTGGTCTTCCTGACCTGCGAGAGGACCTGTCATCCCGCGGGTGCCCAGCTCTGCACCCTGATTCATTCACCATGAAAGGGGAAGCAGTGATGTTTTCCCACCCACATGCTAGGGGGTTGGCCCTGAATCTCTGCTCGGAATAAAATGCTATTATTCATAGTACAAGTAAAAAGCACACTGAAGGAATTTTGGAGGCCACACTCTCATTTTTTAAATGCCTCTCCCCAGGCTGTCCACCAAGGTAAACAAATCTCTAGCAAGCATTTGCCTCTGACTTGTGATGGTGTGAGTTTTCCACAGTGTGTTCCCAAGAGAGTTTGCTTGGCCAGGATGAGTCTAACACCTGTTGGCAGGAGTCAGTTGGGTGCCACGTGCAGGGCAGTGGGCCCAGCCTGCAGCCCTTGGGACCTGCTGGTGGTAGCTTTTGTCCTTCTCACTAAGAGATGCCCTTAGAGGGCGTTCCCTTCCCAATCTGTCAAGGCAAACAAGCCAGGGGAACCGAAAGAGCTAATTCTCTAACAAAGTAACCTAAATTGGGGTCTCACATCCAAGGTCACGTGCAGCCAGGAGGTACCAGGTGGTTTTGTTCAGAGGTATTTCAACCTTCAAGTTTGGAAAAGGACCCAAAAAGAAATACACACACACACACACACACACACACACACACACACTGGCCTGTGGTCTGATGCCCACTATATGTTCCTAAGGAGGTTTGCTGCGGTGACACTTAAGGATTTGAGGGCACTTAATAGCAAAGTCAAATCCCACCGGGTGGGAGGCTGTAGCTCAAAGACAGGGCCTCCCTCTGCCCCCATCCCTACCCTGACCTACCCTCCCCCGAGGCCGTGGTGCAAACCATGCCAAATCTTTCAGGGTGCCTGAGGCTACCAGGTAAGCTGGAGCCTCAAGACTCGCTGGGGATGCCAGTGTTGGGGGTCCGGACACATGGCAGGGCGACAAACACCAGTGCTCTCTGAGTACAACTTTCCTGATTTGCTTCCACCAGCCAGGGGGTGACGCTGATCACAGTGAACACGTCAATGAAAGCCTTGATTTTCCAGGACGAAGTGGCACCTGGAGCTGTTACATTGACGTGAATCCAAAGGCACTTGAAAGCGAGTTTGGAATCTGCCCAATCCAGCTGTGCCAGAGCTAAGCCACTGGTTTGGGTGCTTAGGCAGAGAACACAGTGACCCCTAAGTAGCAGGAGGGAGGGAAAGGAGTTTTATATTCACACAGGCAGCAAACAGTTTCCCTGTCCCTGCAGCCCCCCAGGCCAACGGTGACAATGCTATTCTGTCCCTTCCACACCATCTCAAGTCCCCTGTGGCTGTTTTCTCCCTTCTTTTCAAGGTTCCCACGGATGCGAGTTGAAAGGAGATCCCGCCTTCCCTTCCTCCTCCAATTAAACTTTGGGGTAAGGAAGTGAGCTCAAACCCTGCGGCATCTCCCCATGTTTCACTTCCCGGAAGTCACTGGCCGCAGAGCACTCACCATCGTTCTGTTCCTCCACGAAGTTCTCAAACTCGTTCCTTTGCTCCTCGTAATGTTCTCTCCGCAGCTCATCAGCCCGCAGCTTCTGCCTGTTCTCCACTGTGAAAGGACAAGGGGCAGGAGTTGTCCCCCCTCCCCCCCTGGAAAGAGGGCATTCGGGGCACACATCAGGGGACACCAGCACTGCATCTGAGAATCAGAATCTAGTTTGGGGGTGGTGGTATGGTTTGGGAGGGATTGGGATGTGGGCTACCCCAAAATGGTTAACTCCTTGGAGGCGGGTGGGCCCTCAGAGCCCCTCACATGAAGATGGGGGACAGAGGTGCTGCTGTTGCCCCCAGCAACCCCAGTGTGCAAAAGGAAGTGGAGGGGGGATGGAGGAAGCAGTAAAACTGAGCAAGTCACGGTCTCCTACTCCCACCCCACACTCCAGAGGTGCTGGGAGAAATGACAGTACATCTTTCTTTGCAGATGGTGATATTAGAAACCATCTCAAATCCTTCCTGGAAGTAAGGAGCTTCCATTGATAAATAAATTATATGAATACTACTTACTTCTGTTCTATTTCTATGACTGCATCGAACTCAGATTAAAAATGAAATTATGTGTGAATTGGGTTTAGTACAGATTCATCTAGGTCCCTCGTTTCTTCCCGGACTTCTGCCATTACCTGTGTAGTTGTGGGAAACTTAAGTCCGTGGAATGGGCTGGCTGGCCAATCTGTCCCTGTGCCGCACCCCTTGTCCACACCCACATATTTCTCAGGAGGGGATTCAGACTGAGAGAAGTGAAGTGACCAAATGGGGATCACACAGTTTACTGGGGCAGAGCTGGGGCCAGAGCCCGGAGCCCCAGGCTCCCACATGGCCGCAGATGACTCTGAACACACTTGCACGGCAGCTTCCCTTCCAGGTCCAATGTTGCTCCAGGTATCAGAAAGCCACTGCGGGAGGTGTGGGGGCTTAGGGTTTAGGAAGCTGGTGCTTAATGAGCTGCTGACATTTCCTAAAGAAGTATTTTCCATCCCTTGTGTACTCAGGATAAGAAACAGCCTTCCCAAGTTGCCTTTTCAGAGGGGCCACTAATTGGACCTTTGTAGCAATGAAGAAGAATTTAATTCTCAGGACAAGATGGCATTTGTACGCCATGCATCGTTCTGTGTGTTGTATAGGTCACTTCTCAAGAATATGCATTCCTCCGACTCTCTTTTCACCCTGTCGTAACCTGCACCTTCAGCCCAGAAGCTTAGCGATGTCAGATGCCTGTGTCCTGGTTTATTAAAGTGTCACCTGCCCTTTACTCAGCCTGAGGAAATCACTGTCCTCCTGCCCCTCTGCCGGTGTTGGCTAGGCGACAGCAGAGGTACTCGTGTGCAGTCCCGGGCATTTGACAGGCTGTCCTGGGCCTTGACACACTGAGCTGCCACTGAGGTGAGGCCCTCAGCCTTAACCATGCACCTGGTTGTTCAGAGTCAGCTACAGAGGATGGAAGATTTTTCTTTTCCTAAAACAGCACCTCTTCCCCCTGACCCCCACCCCCAGAAGTCTTCCAGAAAGCTGTTTCTCTGATTTCAATCAAGAACAGCCGGGCCCAGTGGCTCACGCCTGTCATCCTAGCACTCTGGGAGGCCGAGGCAGGAGGATTGCTTGAGCTCAGGAGTTCGAGACCAGCCTGAACAATAGCAAGACCCCATCTCTACTATAAATAGAAAGAAATTAGCCAAACAACTAAAAATATAAAAAATTAGCCGGGCATGGTGGCCCATGCCTGTAGTCCCAGCTACTCGGGAGGCTGAGGCAAGAGGATCGCTTGAGCCCAGGAGTTTGAGGTTGCTGTGAGCCAGGCTGATGCCATGGCACTCACTCTAGCCTGGGCAACAGAGTGAGACTCTGTCTCAAAAAAAAAAAAAGAAAAGAAGAAAGAAAAAGAATGGGCCCATCAAGCAGGAAAGAATGGGATCTAAATGCATATTACAAGTAAAGAAGCCAATCGAAAAAGCTACTAACGTATAACTTCAACTACAGTGACATTTTGACAAAACTACAGAGAGAGTAATAGATCAGGCTGCCCTGTAGGAGGGGGGCGGATAATAGATAGCAAAAGGATTAGAGCAGGTGAACTACTATGTAAGATCTGTACGTGGATACATGTCGATTTAAACATTTGGTCAAACCATAGAAGGAACACAAAAGAGTGAACCCTGAAGAAATAAACTATAGACTCGGGGATAATGATGCATCACTATACATTCACCAATATGAATAATAAATGCACCACTCTGTGAAGGTAGTGGCAGGGGGTGTGCCAGGTAGCGGGGCAGGAGGTATATGGGTACTGTTTTCCTGTCAGTTTGCTGTGAACCTAAAATGCTCTAGGTCCGGGCGTTGGTGGCTCACGCTGTAATCTAGCACTCTGGGAGCAAGGCAAGGTGGATTCCATTTTTGGCCTCCCAGAGTGCCTCAGGAGGTCGAAACCGCCTGAGCAAGGAGTGAGAACCCGTCTCTACTAGTAAATAGAAGAAATAACTGGCCAACTATATATATAGAAAAATTAGCCAGGCATGGTGGCGCATGCCTGTAGTCCAGCTACTCGGGAGGCTGAGGCAAAGATCGCTTTAGGCCGGGCGCCTGTGGCTCACGCTGTAATCCTAGTCTTGGGAGGCCGAGGCCGGCGGATTGCTCAGGTCAGGAGTTCAAAACCAGCCTGAGCAAGAGCAGCCGACGTCTCTACTATAAATAGAAAGAAACTAATTGGCCAACTGATATATATATTAAAAATTAGCCGGGCATGGAGGAAAAGAGGATCTCTTGAGTCCAGGAGTTTGAGGTTGCTGTGAACTAGGCTGACGCCACGGCACTCACTCTAGCCTGGGCAACAAAGCGAGACTCTGTCTCTAAATAAATAAATAAATAAATAAAATTGCTCTAAAAAATAAAGCCATTTTTTCGAAAAAAAAAATCAATATTCAAATATGCCAACATTTTTAAAAAGCCACCAGTCTCAGTAACTGGTTATGAGGAATAACTGATCACATAAATCATGACTGTGGGATCAGCAAACCATGGCACACAGCTCAAATCTATTTGTGTATGGTTTGAAAGGTACAATTTTAAATGATCGAATAGTTGCAACAACAGAGACTTTCTAGCCCACAAAGTCTGAAATAGTTACTATCTAGCCTTTTACAGAAAATGTTTTCTGACACCTGACATCTGGTGGCACATAGTAAGGCCTTAATAAAAGATAAGCTATTAGTGCCATTATTAATAATAACAGGCCGGGTGCCGTGGCTCACACCTGTAATCCTAGCACTCTGGGAGACCGAGGCAGACGGGTCACTTGAACTCAGGAGTTCAAGACCAGCCTGAGCAAGAGTGAGACCCCGGCTCCACTAAAAATAGAAAAAATTAGCCGGGTGTGGTGGTGTTTGCCTGTAGTCTCAGCTATTTGGGAGGCTGAGGTAGGAGGATCGCTTGAGCCCAGGAGTTTGAGGTTGCAGTGAGCTATGATGACACCACTGCACTCTAGCCCAGGCAACAGAGCAAGAGTCTGTCCTAAAAATAATAATAATAATAATGTATCCATTTTTTTTTTTTTTAAGAGATGGAGTTTTGCTCTGTCACCTAATCTGGAGTGCAAAAGCATGATCATCGCTCAATACAGCCTAAACTCCTAAGCTTAAGTGATCCTTTCTCTTCCCTGAGCAGGAACTATAGGGGCACACCCAGCTTTTTTTTTTTTTGTAACGGAGTCTTGCTTTGTTGCCTGAGCTAGAATGCCCTGGTGTCAGCCTAGCTCATTGCAACCTCAAAATCCTGGTCCCAGCCTGTAATCCTAGCTCTCTGGGAGGCCAAGGCGGGCGGATTGCTCAAGGTCAGGAGTTCGAAACCAGCCTGAACAAGAGTGAGACCCCATCTCTACTATAAATAGAAAGAAATTAATTGGCCAATTGATATATATATATAAAAGAAAATTAGCCGGGCATGGTGGCACATGCCTGTAGTCCCAGCTACTTGGGAGGCTGAGGTAGTAGGATCATTTGAGCCCAGGATTTTGAGGTTGCTGTGAGCTAGGCTGATGCCATGGCACTCACTCTAGCCTGGGCAACAGAGTGAGACTCTGTCTCAAAAAAAAAAAAAAACAACAACAACAACAACCCAACCTCCATCCCATCTTTTCAGTGTTTCTTGGCATTGCCAACTTTTATATCCCACATTGTGTGAAGCCTGGAGATTCTCCTGGTGTGTTTATACTTATCCAATTTTTTTAAAAAGATAATTTCATCTCCAAGCATTTCTATCTCTGTCCTTCCCCATCATTTGTAAACAGTCCTGTTATGTTCCCTGAGCAAGTCGCTTTGCAGAGCCCGCTGAGGGAGGGATACAAAGCGTTCATTCATACACACTCGCAAGGCGAGAATCGAGCCATAGACACAGTGGGGACAGTCCGAGCTTGGTGTCTTGGAAGAATCGGGTTCAGGGGTAAGAAAACTCACCTTCTCCCGAGGGTGGGCAGGTCGAGGGGACGAGTGCCCTGCAGCGGAGGGCCACAGACCCCACAGCAGAAGACATGCTCCCCCCGATGCATCGGAAGTGAAGGATAGAAAGCCTGCTCGCTGAACACAGTGCTTCCAGGGGCTGATCAATAAGGAAATCAGGGCCAGGGAGAGGAAGTGTCGGGGGTCACTGAGTACCAAAGCTATCCTCCAAGCCACGCTTCTCAGCACCCAGTTTCCCTGTGGGCAGTGCTGTTGTTCTTGCAGAGAAGGTCCCTGTGCCAACAGCTCCCCAAAGCACAGGCTGATGTGCTGTGTTCCTTCCAGACTAAAACATATAATCCCCACGCCCTTACGACTGTCACTTTCTGGAACTGGGATGCATCTTAGCCCTGCCGGGTGCATTTGATGTGAATGCTTTTTCTTTTCGCTCCTTACCCCAACAATGCATTCAATCCAACACTTGACCTATGATCAAGGGACTGTGGTGTCATTTCTAATTCAAAGCGGCAGCCACTTTGAAACGGAAGGCTTCATTCCCCCACTGTGTCCTGTCGCTGGCTGGGTGTGGGAGAGGAAGGAACTGGGGGGTGCGAGCAGAGGGCGGGCCGCCCTTCCCGCCATCCTTACCATTGACCTCATCTTTGGATGGGGGGGACCGCTTGCCGCGCCTCTTGAGGAAATTCGAGGCATCTGATTCCTGCATGAAAATCTTCTGTTTCACACCTGAAACCGGAGAGAGGAGCAGAGAGGCTGTCACAGCCAGCACGGGGGCGCCAGGGCTGCGGGGCGCTGGCCGCACCTGCTCTGTCCCCGAGGGTGGCCCCTGCACTCACCATCTGGGGCCTCCTCTCCTGCTGCCTGTCTGGTGCCCACTGAGGCTCCGGTCCCTTCCCGCAGCACTGTGGGACAAGGCACAGAGTGAGGCTGCGGCCTTGGGGTGGGGTTCGGCCCCGAGCTGGGCCTCTGTGGTCCTTTCCAGGCTTTAGTGGCCTGCCAGGCCCTGGCATGGGGCCCTCGGTCCGTCACATACCAGCCGCAGAGCCTGTGTCCCCAGGAAACCACCCAGCAGGCTGGTTTGGGGTTTTTCCTACTTTTTTTTTTCCCTTGCTTTTTTTCCCCTCTGTATTACATTGTATCACACACACACACACACACACACACGCATGCACACACATCCCAAGCATGGCCATCCCGACAATGAGCATGCCCCCGTTTAGCTGTGCCACCTGAGCAGACTCACCTGCAGGAGGCAAGTCCTCTTTACTGTGTCACCTACACTGTCCCTGGACCCTCCCACACTCACCGGCCAGGAGCACCACGGCCGACAGGCAGGACAGGAGCAGGACCCGTCTCCAGGTCATCTTTGCAGAGGTGGGGGCTCTGTCCGGGCACCACAGGGCAGACGAGGCGTCCTGCAGCCTGTCCTCGCTTCTGAGGGAAGGAGGAAGGGAGGGAAGAGAGGCAGGAGCCAGGATGCCACTGGGGGAGAGTGGGAGGGGTCCTGGCTGCGCTTTCCAATGGCAGCTCCTGGCCCAAGCACCGGAGATGTTTTTGGCGCCTGGCAAACCTCTCCAGAAGCAGAGCTTGTAGCTAGGGGCCCCAGCTGGGATGGTTTTGCAGCGGCCTTTCATACTCACACCCAAAGAGCTGCTGCTAAGAATCCCCAGAGTGGGGACTGCAGAGCCCAGGGGCTGGCTTCAAAGAGCTCCCTGTCGCTGCCCGGGGAGCTCAGGCCCCAGGCCTGGAGGCTGAGGCATGGCTTGTGTGGGAATGGAGGAAGCAGTAAAACTGAGCAAGTCACGGTCCCAGGAAAAGTGCATCACTGGGGGTTCTTGATCCAAATGTCAGGCCAGGAGGGACCCTAATGACTGGATACCCATGAGGGTGACGCCCACATGGACGCCGGGGCCATGTGAACAGTAACCAGGGAGCCCCTCTGCTCAATCCATTGCCCTCACCTGAAACTCACTCTCCAGCAAAACACGGAGCCTGAGGCCTGTGGGTCCCCCGAGCTCTTTAAAGCAATGGTCCCCAACCTTTTTGGCACCAGGGACAGGTGGGATATCATTGTGAGTTAGAACATTTCTAAATCCTTTCCGGTTCCCTATTTCCCTGTGGAAGACGCATTTCTCTAAGTGCCCAGCCAGAGTGTCAAGGAGCACATGGACAGCATTTTCCCTCTCGTGCCACGGAAACGTGATCGGTCTCTATAGAAACGGTGTCTAGAGGCCCCCCCATGAAATCGGGTCTGACAGGAGCTGCCCACTTAGGAAACACTGACTCGCCATGAGAGTGCATCAGCATCACTGGCCACGTGCCTGTTCCCAGCTTGGCCGATGACATCCTGGAGTCTATAGGGAAAGTGATGAACTACAAACCCTTCTCTGCATGTTGCTTTCCCACACGCCACACAAGGGGCCATGAAACGTTTCCCCTCCACCATCACAACTGGGATGGATGACGGGTTAGCAGAGAAGAAGCTTTGAGAAAGGTTCCTAGAATGGGACATTCTATATCTGCATAGAATACTGCCAAAAGATTGCGGCATCCGGGTTGACATTCAGGAGGTGGGCACTGCTATGACTATGCAAGCTATTCAAATGGGACATACGTCTCTATCAGTTGGTAAAAAGCCACCTGCCTGACTCTCTAACACCCCCAGGATGCCGCTGTCCATAATCTGCTATCGAAAGGGGGGTGGCTTGGCCAGGAGAAGACCTGGACCAATCCTTCCAGAAGCAGCTCAGTTCTCCCTGTGAGAGGCTTCCTGGCTCCTCCTCTGCCGCTGCCCTTGTCCTCCGCATTCCTCCTGGCCTGTAACCATTCCAGAGAATCCGACACTTTGTGGACACTCTGCTCTTTGTTCTGTGTTGGTAGCAAGCCCCTCTCCAGCCAGAGACAGTCTGGAAGGCAGGGTCTGGCCCACCTTTGCAGGAAGCAGGGCCTCTGCACAGACAGATTAGCACCTGAGCTGGCACCTGGAAAGCTGGCCATTTCCCTGAACAAAGTCTCTCTCTCTCTCTCTCTCTCTCTCTCTCTCTCTGTCTCTGTCTCTCTCTCTGTCTCTGGAAGTAAAGCACAGGGCTGCTTTCTGGTTTTGGAAACTTTTTAGGGGATCGGAAAGGAAAGGCTGTGTTGGCAAGGCCCGCAGAAGAGCACGGAAATGAAGCCTGTGGGACAAGAAGTGTCAGCCCAGCTGGCGGGGGTCCCTGGCTGTCCAGGAATCCCGTGAATGTATAGCTTGTGTTCTGAGCTCCCCACAGGGCGGGTGGCTCCACCAGCTCCCAGCCAGGGCTGTGCCAGGCACTGCTTGAGAGAGGCCCAGCGAGGGGAGGACTGAGTCTCCCCAGGAAGCCTGGGCTGAGGCTAAGCCATGCCAAACGAGGCAAAGAGGCCCCAGTCCTGTCATCCTCGCAGGAATGGCTTTGAAGGAGAGCTTCGTGCAGACCTCTGCTAGGTCTAAAGGATGGGCTTGGGGAACCGAAAGAACTGGGGAATGGCAGGTTCGACCCAGGCCCCTTCCCTCCTACTAGATGCCAAAATGCATCTTACTTGGTTGGACAGTGCCATCCAATTCTCAGTTGCACCCCAGCATTGGGAGATATATTAGAATGTAGCTTCCCCCAAAGTCTGGATACAGTCGTACTGCAATATGCTCCAAAGTGAAAGGACTCCATGGTCAAAAAAACTTAGGAAACACTACAGACTCAGTCTTCCTCCTCCCTACGAGATGCACAATGCACAGGAGTGTATTAAAGGCTCTGACAAGTCCTACAATAAGAGAATCTGTTTAATATTGTTTTGTCTTTCCCACACTTAATTTACCATGGCATCTTTATCATGGAGCCCTTCGTAATGTTTCGTGGCCGATTTTAGGAAGATCTGAACTGGTCATTTTATGGCAAGAAAGTCTACATTCAGAATAATCTTTAATCCAACTCAATTTTCAGAAAAAAAGTATAATTTAGTAAGTATTTTATATAATTGGGTCCCTGCCCTCAAATAACATACAGTCTAATTAGGAAGATAGTACTCACTGGGGACAGGTTTTTTTAAAAATGATAATATAGTATGCTGTGAATACCAAAGTCATCAATTCAAAGAATTGTCTTAGAAAGAGAGAGACAGAAAAATCTTCCAAGAAAGTTCCCGTGTGAAGGCAGGACGCAAGTCTCTGAAGGAAGCAAGCCATGTACCTTGGGAGCGAGAGCAGGAGACACCTCCTAAACTGGGGCTATTGGTCTGATCTTTAGAAAAAGCAAAAAGTCCAAGAAAAGACCAGAGGTGGAGAGGGACATCTAAAAGAAGGGCAATCATTGCTCTCGTGCATCTGGCTTTGGGACAAACTGGAAAGATTCTAAATTCAAGGTCGTGTGTTCTAACCAGAAGAAACTTTGGGGGGAAATGGCTTCTTGTCCTACGAACTGGTTAGACTCCGATTAGCATTGTTTTGAAAAACAGCCCGACTTAGGGTACGGTGCTCACAAATTACTCTCCATCTATGTATAACCAAAGCCTTAAGCATCCAATAAATCTGCCCTAAAAACAGCAACCCTTGGCATCTGATGCAAGAACACAATCCTTTGTCCCTGCAGTTCCCTGCCACCCATGGGAGGATTCAGGACAAGTGTCAGGGCAGGCTCCCGCGCTAGCTGTGCTGGCTTTCTTGCCAGACAATGCACCCAGAAATGCTAGTTGCCTTCTCACTGAGGAGCTCGGCCTTTTTTGTTTTGTTCTGATTTATTTTTCTGGTTAGTTTTGTTTTCACTGAAGCCAAATAAAGAAACAGCAACTCCAAGATCTTACAGTGTCTTGACAGCAGGAGTCAATTCTCATGAAATCGTTGTAATTTTAAAAGAGGGGAAGCCCCTAAAATTCTTGCAGCTTGCACTTTTGGGCGGGGCTACATACAAGCAGGGCGGTGACCCATGGCTGGGGCAGAGAAGCAGCATGAACAGGCTGGCTGGGAACAGCACTGATGTGTGAGGCTCCGGACCTTCTGGAAATAGCCAGGAAGGGAGAGCTGCAGAGACTGGATGTCACGTGGCTTGAAGGGGGTGGTGAGAGAACATCCCAAGCACAGAGCCACCTGCCCAAGGAAAGAGATGAGAAGGGAGATCGTGTAGGATTGGTCACTGCAAAGTGTCAGGACAATTACCACCTCTGATTTTCCGTATAAGCCTGAGGATGCTAGCACTCTGGGAGGCCGAGGCAGGAGGATCGATTGAGGTCAGGAGTTCGAAACCAGCCTGAGCAAGAAAGAGTGAGACCCCATATGTACTAAAAATAGAAAAATTAGCCGGGCATGGTGGTGTGCACCTGTAGTCCCATAAGCTGCCAAATTTATTGGCATGAAGCTGAACATAATACCCTATGATGAACCTTTTGTGTTTCTATGTCACGTATTAATGTCCCCTCTTTGATTCCTGATACTGGAAATTTGTACTTTCTTTTTTTTTTCCTTGATGAATCTTGCGAGGTGTTTATCAACTTTATTAATCTTTTTTAAAGAGCCAGCTTTGGTTTTCATTGATTTTTTCCCTTGTTGCTTGTTCATTTTCTATTCTATTGATTTATACTATTTTCTGTATTATTTCTTTTCTTTTGCTTGTTTTTGGTCTAAGTTGTCTTACTTTTTCTAGCTTCTTTTTTTTTTTTTTTTTTTTGAGACAGAGTCTCACTCTGTTGCCCAGGCTAGAGTGAGTGCCATGGCGTCAGCCCAGTCACAGCAACCTCAAACTCCTGGCTCAAACAATCCCTCCTGCCTCAGCCTCCCGAGTAGCTGGACTACAGGCATGTGCCACCATGCCCCGGCTATTTTTTCTATATGTTTTTAGTTGGCCAATTAATTTATTTCTGTTTTTAGTAGAGACGGGGTCTCGCTCTTGCTCAGGCTGGTTTTGAACTCCTGACCTTGAGTGATCCACCCGCCTCAGCCTCCCAGAGTGCTAGGATTAAAGGCGTGAGCCACCTCGCCGGGCCTTTTTCTAGCTTCTTAAGAAGTTTAAATCATTCATGTGAACTTACTTCTTTCCTTCTTTTTTTTTTTTTTTTTTTGAGACAGAGTCTCACTTTGTTGCCCAGGCTAGAGTGAGTGCCCTGGCATCAGCCTAGCTCACAGCAACCTCCAAACTCCTGGGCTCCAAGCAATCTAACTGCCTCAGCCTCCCGAGTAGCTGGGACTACAGGCATGCACTACCATGCCCGGCTAATTTTTCTTTGTATATATATTAGTTGGCCAATTAATTTCTTTCCATTTTTATAGTAGAGATGGGGTCTCGCTCAGGTCCAGCTCAGGCTGGTGTCCGAACTCCTGACCTCGAGCAATCCGCCTGCCTCAGCCTCCCAGAGTGCTAGGATTACAGGCGTGAGCCATAGCGCCTGGCTCCTTCTTTTTTCATATCAATAGTTAATATCATGGATTTCCCTCTAAGCATGGCTTTTATTGCGTACCATGAATGTTGATATGCTGTATTTTCGTTGTCATTCACTTCTAAATGTTTTCTAATTTTCTCTGGGATTTCTTCAACCCATTCTTATATTTAAAAATGTGTTGCTTAATTTTCAGATGGTTGGAGATTTTCAGATATCTTTCCCTGATAAATTTTGTAGCCAGAGAACATGCTTAGTTATGTGTCTTCATCTCCTTTGTGCTGCTTTTAAAAAATAACACAGATTGGGTCATTGATCGTGAATGGAAATTTCTTTCTTACAGTTCTCGAGGCTGGGAAGTCCAATGTCAAGGCACTGGTGCTGGCGTCTGGTGAGGGCCTTCTGCTGCGGTATTCATGGCTGCAGGGCAAGAGAGAGAGGGAAGGGGGAAAATTAATCCTTTTATAAGCAGCCCCCTCCTGTATTAAACCCACTCCCTCCATAACAGCATTAATCATTCATGATCCTGATAAAGGCTTAGGTTCACTTATTAAAAATAAAAAATAAAAAATAAAAATAAAATAAAAATAAAAAAACACATATTCAACAATGGTTGAGTATCATGTCCTGTGAATGTCAATTATAGATTAGGCGCTAAAAGAACTTTGAAAAACTATGGTTCTCCTTCCACATTTTAAGTTGATATCTAGAGCTTTGTTGAACATTTAAATAGCTATAATTTTAGGCATACTGTAGGCATTGGAAATCAAATATTAATATAAGAGTAGTTCTATAGCTACCATCATCCATTTCTTAGAAATACATGAACAGGCTCTTCTTTAACAGTTCCAATTTTGACATATTTTCCTAGGTCCTTGAACTCTGATTTCCAGTCCCCCAGATGAAGTAGCAAAGGCTGTTCTGTTCCACTTCTTCGCAAAATATTTGCTTAATGTAATCTTGCAGCTTGTAAGTCTGTGATTTAGCACCTTGTCATGCTTCTTTGCCAGCATATATATTTTTTCTAAGACCATAATTCTTAGGGTTAATTTTTTTTCTTCTGGATTAAGTTGTAATCACAATTAATATCAGTGTCTAACTGGTCGAACAACGCAATGATTATGTATGAGATGACAAACAACAAATTATTCATAAATGTTAAATAATCATTAGATATTTCTTCATGAAATGAGTGTAGCTGTTTGTGAATTAGATTATATATATGTGGATGACTCTTCCTTCTTTCTACTTTGAGACAAGATTCAGCAGTATTCTTCATGTGTTTTTGTTTTTATGGATGGAAGAACTGAGGAAACTGTTTCTCATAAATAAGTAGATGGTGAGGCAGAAATAATTTATTATAGCAATGTCGCTCAGTTCTTTGAAAGTTTTCTGAGTTACATGCCAAAAACTACATAGTCATCTATCATCAAATATTATTTATAAGCACCTATCAGCTGACGGGTCTATTAGATCTTCTTTTGATTTTAACAAAAGCAAAGAATTGGAAACGACAGAGTTGAAAAAGAATTTGTTACCTACCTGTCATTAAAGTCATCTGCGCACCTGTTTCTGGAAAGTCGGATAAGAAGGATGTTATCAAGACTTCTAGAATTATTATTATTAAACACTTGCTAATAAAATATTTGTAACAAAAATTTTATTGCAACCACACTTTAATAAAACACTGGAGCTGTATATTCTGCTGATGAGTTTAGAAGAAATTGTGCCACTTCACCGCATTGCAAAGCCTATTTTATCTTCCCATCATAGAGTCAAATGAGCCCCCACTGATGTTGTGTTGTCCTCAGAAGTCTAACTTTATTTTTCAGACTAAATAAATCTGCAAATACACTTCCTGTGACATCCACGTCACTTCTGACTTCTGCTTCAAGGTGAATCGGTAAGGCCCAGAGTCCTGCCCTGAGTTTGTCTGAGATGTAATCAGATCTCTTGTCTACAACTTTTCCCTAATATTGGTTCTTGTCTAGCTCTCTCTCGCCATACACTACTCAGAAGCAAATACCCCTGGAGGTTTTTACTCCCTGTGGAATGAACCTCAATAAAGTTCAGATATTTTAAAGGGGTACCGCTTCTCTTTTTATACAATTATTTTTACTGCAGTAAAATACACATAATATAAAATTTACCATCTTAACAGTTTTTAAGTGTACAGTCAGTGGCATTAAGCACATTCACATTGTCCTGCCATCATCGCCACCATCTGCCCCCAGACCTCCTCTCATCTTGCAAAACTGAACTCCTGTTCCCATCAAACAATAACTGCCCATTCTCCTTCCCCTGGACCTTCGGAAACACCACTGTACTTTCTGCTTCTATTAATTTGACTACTAGGGACCTCATATGAGCGAAATCATGTGTTGTCTTTTTCTGAACAGCTTATATCACTTAGCATAATATCCTTGAGGTTCATACATGCTGTAGATATGTCAGAATTTCCTTTCCTTTTAAGGCTGAATAATATTCCATTGCATGTGTAGACCACATTCGCTTAACCATTCGTCTACCGATGGATGTTTGGGGTGCTTCTACATGTTAGTTGTTATAAATAATGCTGCTATAAACATGGGTATACAAATATCTCTTCAAGACCTTCTTTCCTTTGGGTATATATCCAAAAGGGGAGTTGCTGCATCACATCATAATTCTATTTTTAACTTTTTTAGGAACAGTGGCTGCACTATTTTGCATTCCCAACACCAGTGCACAAAAGTTCCAAATTTCTCTACATTCTTGCCAGCACTTGCTATTTTCTGGGGGAGGGGGGTTGATATTACTCATCCTCCTGGGTGTGAGGTGGTATCTCATTATAGTTTTGATTTGCATTTTGGTGCTTGTCGTTTGTTAAAAAGTAGGAAGGGGCCAGATATGGTGCTTCATGCCTGTAATCCTTGCACTCTGTGGGGTGGAGGCGGGAGGACAGCTTGAGCTCAGGAGTTCCAGAACGGCCTGAGCAAGAGTGAGACCTTGTATCTACTAAAAATAAAAAAATTAGCCAGGCTCAATGGCACATGCCTGCAGTCCCAGCTACTCGTCGGGAGGCTGAGGCAGGAGGATTGCTTGAGACCAGGAGTTTGAAGGTGCAGTGAGATATGATGACACCACTGCACTCCAGCCCTGGGACAGAGCAAGACCCTGTCTCAGAAAAAAAGAAAAGTGGGGAGGGTTGGAGAACCCACACCTCCACCCCAGGGGGCACATTCCCTGGCAGAATAGATTCAGCAAACAGGACCCAGAAGTCAAGGAGTTAGAACTTCATCCCTTTAGACTCTCTGTGGCCTCTACACCTACAAGACTCCGTGCTCCCCCATCTGTTCTCTGAGCTTGGGAATGAGTAGATAGAGAAGAGAAAAGGTCCGAGAAGCCTAAGCGTGCACAGATGCAAAGATCAGGGACAAAGAGAGGAAGCAGCGGAGGAGATGGGGAAGGAGGTGCGGCGGGTCAGGAGCAGGTTCTGTTGCAGAGCCAGGCAGCATGGTGTTTAGAGAAGGAAGGTGTTGCCACTTGGTCAGGAGCCACGGGTTGTTCCGGGAGGTTAGTTTCTTGGGGGAGGCCCCCCCTTGGTTTTGGGGGCCCCGGGCAACCTTTCCCATTGGTCCTTCCCCGGTTTTGGAAGGCCTTTCTTTGGGGGCCCCCGGCGTTGGTTTTGGTGGGTTTTGCCGGTTGGTTTTTTCGGGGGCAGGGGGAGGCTTCTTTCGGGGCCCGGGTTGACCTCCCCTTCATTCTTCCTTTTTCGTTCTTAATTCCGCCCCCTTTTGGCCCTTTCTTCCTTGCTTGTTTTTGTTCCGTTGAGGGTTTTCTTTTCAACTTTTCCTTTAAGGTTTTTTTTGTTTTGGTTTTCTTTTTCTTTTTTCTTCTTCCCCCCCCTTCCCTTCGGTTTCTTCTTTTTGGACGGCAATTTTGTTCCGGTTCCCCCCCCCCCGGATTCCTTTCGTTGGGGCCTTGCGGGTTGCCGCCCCTTTTTTGTTGCCGGGGTTCGGTTTTTGCCAGTTTTCTGCCAGCTGTGTGCTTCAGGGACATCTAGACCCATCTCCGGGTAGTCTTGATGAGTCAAGCCAGTCTAGTGACTCCCTCACTCATCACTGACTTGGGAGGGGCATATGAACTTGGGGTGTGGAGGAAGCCTGAGAAAGTGGGGGAGATTCCAGGAAAGGACTCGTATTAGTTTTTAACACATTGACTGCCACTCTAGAAAAAAATTTTTCTTCCATGGCACCATAGTGTTTTATTATGAAAATAGAATAAAAACATCGAAAACAAAATGATCCTTTCTAATTTAATGAAAAAATTATTTTTTATTGTTTTCCGTGCGTGAGTTATGTGCAACTTGAAATATAGTTCATGCTGCTCCTGAGTTAAAGAGACACGTGAGTTACATATAGTTCACGAGGCCCTGGGCTCAAAACTAGCGTGAGTTAAAAACAACTCACATGGCAGTTAACGTGTTAGAGACAAAGAAAGGATTCCTAGTACTTAAAATGAGACACAAAGAAGAGATGTCATTATTTCCTGCCTCTGGATGATGATGTGTGAGGATGCAAGGCCTGGGGCCACTGCAGCATTTTGTGGTCATAAGAAGAATTGTCAATATAATGAGGATGGAATAGGGGGAAACAGGCAAGAAGAACCAGGGTGTTTGATGACCACTGAGCATATTGTGCCTTTACTCTGGGCTTCCAGTTATACAAGGTAGTACATTTTCTTTATTGAATAAACCTGCAGAATCAACTTTTTCTGTTACTTGCCACCAAAAGCATCCTGAGTTACCACTGAATGTTTAGTAACTCCCATATACCTTTCTCTTTCTCCAAGATTATTCTCAAGCACCTCTTCTCTTCAATGCCTGTCATGTCTCTCCTCCCCAGGCAGAAGTGGTCTTCTCCCCCTTGTCCCCCACTCCCTTCTCCTCCTCCTGCCCTTAGCTGTTCCCTGTACCCTACCTCACTTCTAGGTCCAGACTCACTCCGTGCACACAGATTTTTACCTGACCCCAGCCCTCTTCTCCAGCAGACTTGGAGCTTCTCGAGAGCAAAGACCGAGTCCTGTTCAGTTCTGCTTCTCCCAGGGGTCACCTCCCTGTCCGGCACATCGTGGTCACTCAGTCAATATTTACTGAAGGACACTGATGTGGGCAGCCTGGCTGACGGCCGGCAGAAGCAGGAACACATCTGAGGGGCGAGGGCTGGGGTGCCAGGGCCGGCGTTATGGTGAGAGAGGGAGCGTGTGCACACGTGTGACTGCCGTCTGCGCCTCTCTGTGGGGCGATGGCATGAAAGGGAGTCTGTGTGGACGGCGCGAGCACTAACAAGCGGGTTACTGTGGGCTTGTGTGCGGGAAGTCGCCCGTGCAAGGATGGATGAAAGGGAGTCTGTTTGAGCAGCCGGGGAGTGAGACTGTGGGGAGCGACATTCCGAGGACTGAGTCAGAAGCCGGGAAGGCACATGCGTAAATTTTTCTCATTATTCAAAATGTTGGTCCGCCCAAGAGCTTTTCCTAAAGCTGCCTTTGCCATGTACAAAGTCCTGGCTTCCAACCTTTTCCTTACTTTCATTCCCACTCACCCTGCCCATGTTTTCCACATCGCTTTTTGGTCACCTGAGTTTCATGAGGCAGATTGTCAAAACAATAAGCAGATCATCACGTACTCTGTATGTCACCCAGGTGTTCTTGAAAACATTTGTTTTATACATTCACTCTTTTTTTTTGAGACAGAATCTCTGTTACCGGGGCTAGAGTACTGTGGCGTCAGCTAGCTCACAGCAACCTCAAACTCCTGGTCTCAAGCGATCCTCTTGCCTTAGCCTCCCATAGCGGGGACTACAGGCATGCGCCACCATGCCCGGCTAATTATATATATATATATATATATTTTTTTTTTTTAGTTGTCCGGCTAATTTCTTTCTATTTTTTTAGTAGAGACGGGGTCTCACTCTTACTTAGGCTGGTTTCGAACTCCTGACCTTGAGCGATCCTCCTGCCTCAGTCTCCCACAGTGCTAGGATTACAGGCGTGAACCACCATGCCTGGCCTACATTCACTCTTGTGATAATACAAGAGGGCATGGGAATACCTGAGGACTTGCAGATGGGTAATGGGGGAAGATGCAGCGGTGGTTTTGTGTTTGTCATTTTGGAGGAAGATGCCTGACCTCCCCACCTTCTCCCTGACAGCAGTGATTCAGACCCTCTGTAAACGTCCCTGTGATTAAACAACCAGCTAGGGCTCATTTGAGGTCACTCCAGCTCCCATCTGCTTCCCGTCCTCCCTGCCGGCCGTCTCTCTTGCAGCTCTGGGACTGCGCTCCCAGTAAAGAGGTCGGACGTGAGATTTTGACCCCGCCTTTGCTTTTGAAGATAAGCCTCATTACTTCCATTTTTCCAGTAAGCACTCTGAGCCCAGAAAGGTTAAGCAATTTACCCAAGGGTGCACAGCTGGTTCATATCAGAGCCTGGAATTAAGTGCATGTGTGTCTGACCTCAAGCCCATCCACTTTTCCATGTACTGTTCCCTTTGTTGCATTATGAAAGGATGTTGAACTCCACAAAGCATAGTAAATTATACTTTGCTGAAGACACTGCTAATCACTTTATCCTAATAAAGGCTATGTTCTCTGAGGCCTTTTGTTCTGGAAATGAGGCATAAAAATCAGTGACCCAGGGAGACAAAAGTCAAGCTCTTTTATTTATGTCCTGCTGCCTGCAATTTCTTGAACTTCCTTTTCCAGTGAGAGATGTCCCCAAACTCCATCCTTGCTGTGACTGTTTTAAGTTGTCTCAGGCCAAGGACAAAGACTGGCTGTCTCATAAGAGGTAGTTTGTACACTAAGGAATAGCAATGTCGCTGAGAAAGAACGGGGTGTTGAGGAAACAAAGGCATGTTAATGAAACTGTAGTCGTGCTGGGCAAGAGTTGCCAGAGACGGCAGAGATAAGCCTGGAGCTCACGGAGCTTCACCAGCGGAAAGTTCCAGGCTGTGTATTGTGAACTGTACTCCCCCAAATCGTAGAGCCCCAGTTCCTCAGCATGTGACTGTATGTGAAGATAGGTCCTTTAAAGAGGTCACCAAGATAAAATAAGGTCACTGGGGTAAACCCTAATCCAACACAACTGGTGTCCTCGCAAGAAGAGGAACTTTGGACACAGACACTGAGAAAAGACGCAGTCACCATCTGCAAGCCAAGGAGAGAGTCAAACAGGGAACCACTCCTGCCGGCACCTTGAGCTTGAACTTCCAGCCTCCAGGACTGTGAGCATATGCCTGCCGTTTAAGCCAATCAGTCTGCACTGTTTTGTTATGACACTCTGAGCTAAAGGATGCAGTGTGAGTCATGAACTAGGCAAGAGGACTTCATACTTTCTGACTGCACCCAACAGCAACAAATTTCATTTTGTACCATCACCCAATATTTTTAAAACACATTTAAAATGGAAACACCACTTTTCCTTACTATGGGTAAAACTTGTACCCCACGCATTATCCCTTCCACTCAACTGCTGAAAGAATAAAAATTCCAAGGTTCCACTCTAGAAGTAAGGAGAAACACCTGCTAGCCACAAAAGGTATTTAATTTAGCAGGACATTAGCCTGAAATATTAGAAACTATTTCTGGTCATTAAAAAAAGTCTATAAAATCAAGAATGGCTCCAAGAACAGCATGATCCACACAGTCGAGAAAAACTTTAAATACCTGAAAGAACAAGAAATTATTTTGGTAAGATAGATCTCTTTTCCATCCAGCCACCGCAGATGGCTGACATAGCCCCTCATGGTTTCTTTTGTTGTGGTTGCTCTTATTATTTCTTTAGCTTAAATTGTTACTCTCGGAAATTCAATTCTCGTAAGCGCGCTATCAGTCCTTAAATGACGTCTTTAGATGATTTGGTGAGGACACGACAGTCCAGGAGGAGGGCAAGGGGACTCTGCCTGGGAGGCCTGTGTGCCAGTGAGTCCAGCGCTGTCCCGAAGGGCTGGCGTCCTTGTCCCCTCCCCGGAAGGCCCCTGTCACCTGCCCTTGACTTGGTCCCTTTCAGCCAGCTCTGCGCCCCTGTTTACAGTGCGACTGTGCCTGGACGTTTCCAGGTCTCCGGGTCCCTGCGGAGGTCACCACGCGCGGCCAAGGGGAGAAACGACAAGGCCCTTCGTGACGGCCTGCCACCCTCACACTTCACAAATCCAGTTACAGAGGCTCTACGAGAGCCCAGACCGGTGGAGAGGTGCCGAACTGGCCATCGAGGCCAGGACGGCCCGCAGCACCCTCTGGCTGGGCAGGTGCCCTCTGGGGACGTGGGGGCCACCAGTGCCTGGGGATGCAGCCTCCTCCCTGCCCTCCTCTCCGGGCTCCGGCAAGCGCTGTCCCCACCACGGGGACGGCCGCGCGGAGGAAGAGGCAGAGCCGCGGAGCAGTGGGTCCAGCCTGAGACGCTGAGGAGATGCTGACTGCTTAAGTACATAATGCAAATATTGCAAAATCCCAAATCTGAAACACTTCTGGGCTCAAGCATTTCAGATAAGGGATACTCAACCTGTATCAGGGCATCTCTAAGAATATTTCCTTCAGAATATTTTAGGGCCTTAGGTTTAGGTATAATAATTACAAAGACTCCAATAATTATGTAATCCCTTAAGGTTGTAAGCCACTCAGAAGCTTAGGCTAAGTAGCTCAAACTGTTTCTACCTCCTTTTGATTGGCATGTATAATACGTGCCCATCAGCACCAGGGTTCATTACCCGTAGGGAGTTTCCCCTGGGCCATAGCTGGGTCAGTACCATCTCAGGAGGGCATGTTGACCTTGAGCAGGAAGCCTGCAGCCCCACCATGAGAAGCTCCAAAATCCAACATTTTTTGAGTACAGCAGCTATTACTGCTGTAGTCCAGCCCGAAGACTGTCTCCAAAGCAAGTAAGATATTAAGTACATCATTCAATTTTGGAGAATATGGAGTCTTTATAATACACCTTTCTTTCATATTCGCAACTCTTCCTTCTTCCCTGCTTAGTAATATATAATTTAAGAGCCCAGCAGTTTTAGTTGTTTGCTGATGTTCAGACTGACAAGGTTTAGGAGTGTTAGAGGGGTCACCTGGCTCCTAGATGGTCTATACTCAAAGAAATCCAGTAAGGATTACTGCTCTGTCCTAGGCTTAAACAGAATAACGGAGATGCAATGGAGTAGTGACACACAGTGCAGATGGTTTAAAAGTCCAGGACTTAAATATGGCTTTTAATTGAAGTGAGCCTGAAATTTGTTCCAATTTTAACCTTGTATTTCTCCCCATAACAGAAGCAAAGATTCGCCTTAAAAAGGTATTAGAGAGAAACACAGCTCAGCTGTTTTTCTTAACATGGATTGTAAGACACTATTCTCTTGGTTAAACTATATATCTTTATGTATTTAAAAATACCCCAATAAAGATGAAGACAAATTTAGAAACAGTGTTTATCAATGCTATCATTTGTCCATTTCCTTTTTAGGGATACATATTGTTTATTCATTATATAAACAAGGAAAAGTATTCCTGAAACATTTTATATTCAACTGTACTGGGCTGAATGTTTTCCCCTGGAACAAATATTTATTCTTATTTTTAACAATTTTCAAATTGTGAGTTACACTGTCTCCACTATTGTTCAAGTGTTTCATTGTGTCAAAATATATAAATATAATCTACCCTAAATATGCAATCATCAGACTGTCTGATAATTATAAACTAGTCCTTTCTCTAGGCTGTAGTATTATATTAAGATTACCCTTTTCACTTTAGAGATAAAGGTAAAATAAGGCAGGCCAGTAATAAGCTTGTTAGAGAGTTCTTCCAGTTAGAGAGCTGCTGGTGTTGGCGGATCTGCTGTACACAACACTAAAGACTCATCTTCTGAGAGGAGGACGCGCCATCTAGTGGCTGTGGGAACCCAGAGGGCCGTCCCAGCTACTGACCTGAGCCGCAGGCCGGAGAAGGCTTCCACAGACACCGTCTGAGACGTCTCCCCAGAGCTCTCCTGGGTCCCTGCATTCTTATCTCGAGTCACTCCACTAGGTTTGTTCCCAGGAATAGTTTGCAGTGGTTGGGAGGGTGCACTTGTCATCCTCGAAGATGAACTTTTGGGGTCTAGAAAATCAACACAAGAATTCAGTGAAAAGAAAAGCCACACTGATAACCACAAAATTTGTTTGTACAGAATTGTTCCTTTTTACAAGTGACATATGCAATACTCAGATCTTGAGAGAATAAAAAGGAAGACCACAAGACCATTTCTGTCCTACCCTCAAAATCTCGGCAGTATGATCCAACAGAGCTTTCTTTGATGATGGAAATGTTTTGTATTGGTGCTGTCTGACATACTGGCAGTTACCAGCCATGTGTGGCCACTGTTCACTTAAACGTGACCAGTACTTTTGAGGAAATAAATTTCTAACTAAATTTAATCTAACTTAAATAGTCACATGTGACTAGTGGCTACTGCGTTGGACAGTGCAACGCTAAGCAAAGACATTAACTGAGTATTCACCAAATATTAATATGAAGCACTGGGGTGGGTTCCAGAAAAGAGTAAAAGTCCTTCAGGAGTGAATAAGTGGTGGAGATTTGTGCACAGATCAAATTCTATATAAGAAAAGCCAAAGCCTGCTCCCCTTTCTTTTCTTTTTTCCTTTCTTGTTTCATTTCATTTCATTCTATTCCATTTTATTTGTGGGGTGGGGGAAAGTTAGGGGTCCAGGGTATTCTACTGCCAATAGCTTGCGTTAAATATCCCCGGATGTAGTTACTTTTCCTATTTTGGAAGTGCTCACTCCTAAAGCTCAGAAGGCTGGGGTATTTTGCTTACTGAAATGTCACTCTCTCTTACAAAACATTGTGCTATTTACCCTCAGAAGAACCCTAGATCATTGCTCTCAAGCTGGGGCCCTGGGCAACGCTAGAACTTTAGAACCTAGAAGCTATGCCCATCCAACCCCCTCAAAACCAAACTTTGGACACTGCCTGATCAAACACTCTAGTAATGCCAAAGGTCTTAAAGGGTTGCATGCTATTCATGAAGGGATATACTGAATGCATGATACGTTGTCAAGTTAAAATGAACGCGCAGGTTGCAGCTATTCTCTAATATTATGGCATAAGCTGAAGCTATTCAAAAGGGCCTTTTGAACACATGCTGCCAGTAAAATGCTGCTTCCTCTAAGCTATGTGATCTCTGTTTTGTGTTAGGTCTGCCAAAGAATAATCACCTTGGGCAAACTGGGAAAATATAACAAAACCAATACATAGAGATTTTCAATCTTTTTCATTTCTGTTTTGTGCATGTATATGTGTATGCTGACATAGGATTTTATTTGAGTGCCATTCTACACTGGCAAAGAAGTCTTTTCTGAAAAATTGACTATTTGGTTTACTGCAGCCTGGCTTCAAATAAAACTTGACCCCTCCACAAGGAAATACATGCTTTAACCTTACAAGCTTAAAGATTAAATCTCTAGATTTCCAGCATAAGAACTTATTCTAGTGGTGATACTTAATATAGTCCTAGTAAAACTATAAGACTATAGAATTTAAAAGTTCAACCTGTTAAGGGTTTAGTAAATACCCACTCTGGACCTATGGATTTCCTAAGCACTTTGAGATGTAGTGGAAGAGCACAAAATATAGCACACCTCTCCCTCTCCCGAGGCTGTGTTTTGTCTCTGTGGGGATATGAGAGATCTCCAGAGACACACACACACACACAGACAAAGACAAACACATGTGCACGACAGTGCCAGAATGTATTGTAAACAGAGGCAGAGCAGTGAGAAGCAACGCGACCCCAAGCAACACAACTGTAGGTGAAGCTTTTGGCATCCGAGCCACCCGCTTGGTTCTTGGTTGAACAGGGACATCAAGCTCTGCAGAAAAGCATGCTGATTCCTGAGTTGTTTGAACTTTCTTTTCCTTAAGGGGAGGCCGTGGAGACTTATCTACTTCATTAAAAGTAAAAGAAATTAGTAGAACAAATTTAGAAAGGGGCTCAAAGGCTGTCTTGCCAGGAGTTGGGTGCAGAAGTAGTATCATAATTTCTTAATCACACAAATGCATACTATTGCCAGAATGACAGGCTTCTTACCAGGGGGGTTACACGGAAGGGCTGGACTTGCAGCCTGTTTAATTGTTGCTACTTTGAGCTGTTCTTGCAAGGACTTCATTTGCTCTTGCAACTTCCTTAATTCATCTGGGAAACAAAAATATAGTCATTTAGAAACCAGGAAGAAGAAAATGTTGTGCATGTCATAAATGCTGGCAATATTTTCATTTTCTACTCCCCACCCAAAAACCTTCAGATCCACAATGTAATCACATACCTAACCTCACAATTAACTTTTATACTTCAAAGAGGTCCCTTAGAGAGATAAACTTTTATTTCCAGTAATCAAACCCCTAACCCCCAAAGCTATTTATAAATTTGTACCATTGACAGATCTTATAGATACATATCCACAGTTAACTACTAAGTTTTTAGGAGTCAAGAAATAATGATACTTATTTCATAAACTGAATATCAAAACTAATATAATAAATGCTGGCTCATATACTAGAAGAAATAGCCAATCACTGCATTTTATTATAACTAAAATATAAATATATATATGAGAAGATGCCAGGAATAAGAAAATGGCACACAGCATATGCCTCAAAGCTTCTGTTCAGGAATGGTCTTCTGGCAAATAGAGTATGTCACAGTTTTATAGCCCGTCCAGGTCCCCATGCAAACACAGCCCCCAAAGTACTATTATTCTGTAAGAAACATGAAAGGAGTTGAGGCCATCCTGCAGAGAATCAATGACAGCTGGCTGACACTGATACAGTCTGTGGCTGTCCTTAAAGGCTGGCCTTAAATGTATCATCTGCCAACTCACACAATTTTCTTTTCTCTTCTTTTTTTTTTCTGCGCAGTCATTTGTCCCTACCCTTGCAACAGTAGCTATTATGATACAAACTGTCAGATTGGTGGTCTCCATCTAGTTTATCAGGAAGAGGTTAGAGAAGGCAGGTAGTTAGACACCTTGCAACTCCTGATTTGTTTCCTCTTGTCAGGGGACAGAAGCAAGTGGCAATGCAGGAGCTTCTTTATCTGTTAAGTCCCCGGTATCTCCAAAGAGAGTGGCCAGATTTTCCTTCTGGTCGTCAGCCTTCTCCACGTCTCTGTCATCAGCTTCTTCTGTGTAGGACTCGCCGTCACCATCAGTATCAAAAAGCTCATCAAGGCCAGGAGCCGTGGCTCACGCCTGTAATCCTAATCCTAGCAATCTGGGAGGCCGAGGTGGGAGGATTGCTCGAGGTCAGGAGTTCAAAACCAGCATGAGCAAGAGCAAGACCCTTCTCTACTATAAATAGAAAGAAATTAATTGGCCAACTAATATATATAGAAAAAATTAGCCGGGCATGGTGGCACATGCCTGTAGTCCCAGACACTCGGGAGACTAAGGCAGTAGGTTTGCTTGAGCCCAGGAGTTTGAGGTTGCTGTGAGCTAGGCTGACGCCATGGCACTCATTGTAGCCTGGGCAACAAAGTGAGACCCTGTCTCAAAAAAAAAAAAAACACCTCATCAAGGCGTCAGGTTCACCATCTTCCTGGCTCAAGGAGTTACTCTCTTCTGAATTAGAACCCAATTCCAAAAAATAAGAAAAAAAGAAAAAAAAAAAAGAAAAAAAATTCAGGAAACAAGATCCCAAAAAATAAGAAAAAAAATAAAAAAATAAAAAAAAAAAATGAATTAGAACCCAAGACGGATTTATTCTCCTCCAGCAGTACAGTCAGGAAGGACAGATCATCTTCCTCCCCTGGGGGAAAAAGAAGGGAAAGAATAGCTGATTCCAAAAATTCAACATTTACATGGCAATATAATTTTCTTACTAGACTTTAGGATTTCTTACAGAACACACACATCTGTTCACCTCTTATTTATTTTCATGTCCATCTCATAGCGAAAAGTTATAGTTTATATTACATACACTGCCTTATAGGCAATTTGGTGATTTTAGGAAACAGGAAACTGTCATTATACCACAGGGCAATGAGCTTCACATAAGTGGTCCCCCCTTATCCGAGGTTTTGCTTTATGAGGGTTCAGTTACCCATGGTCAACTGTGGTCTGAAAATAGGTGAGTATAGTATAATAGATATTTTGAGAGAGAGATCACATTCACATAACTTTTATTACAGTATATTGTTATAATTGTTTTATTTTATTATTGTGTTTAATCTTTGTGTCTGATTTATAATTAAACTTCATCATAGGTGTGTTTATATAGGAAGAAACTTATAGTCATAAGGTTTGGCACTATCCCCAGTTTCAGGCATCCACTGGGGGTCTTGGAACGTACCCCCAGGGATAAGGTGGGACTACTGTCCCTTCACAGTGTGATGAGTTTCAACTTTTTAAGGCAAAGTGTAATAAACTTGAATTAAGAAAAAATCCAGTTTCAGACAAAGAGCTCAATTATGGGGCTAGAAAAATAATGCATTTTATTTGTCAGGGTCTCTTCACAACCAGCACAATCATTGTTGTGCTGCTTCAGGCTAAGTTTTGCTCATATCTCTTTACTAGTTAAATATTTTACACACACCCCTTAGAAAGGACTATAAGAATTTATGTCGGAGCTAGACTAAAAGCACTTCAACAGATTTCAATACCAAACGTGAACTCCAAAGTCAGCCTGGCTGGGTCCAAATCCCTGCCATGCCAGCGTGACCAGTGACAAATCACTGAACATCCCTGTTTTCTTATGTACAAAATGCAGTTGTGTGAGGATGGAATCAGTTCACACGCGTGAGCATACTAACTTAGAGCAGTGCTTGGAACATTGTGAACCTGCCAGCTATCATGAGACACGATCACTGTTGCCAGCAGAGATCTCACCTGATTAAAACAAGTGACAGCAAGCTGAAGTGACATCTCTTTTGAACCACTGGGACAATACCTCAGGGTAGGGGTGCATTTTCATTGTTTTTCAAACAAAATAAATAACAAGTCCGTGGACAAAAGGGTGGTTTTCCTTAAAACAGAGAATCGAGAGAACTTCCATGCCTTACCATCCATGCTGTCAGGAGGACACTCATGACAGGAAACTTCGAAGGAGGCTCTGGAGCCCAGGAGATAAGTAATGTCGAAAATCTTGGCTGTGTGAAATCCACATTAGAACAGCCACTCTTCCATTCTTCTCTTTCTCTCGCAATACATAACCAACAAACCCAGAGTCCCAGCAGTCCTATGGGCTCTAACCTTAGAATTCATCTAGAATGTGACCATTTCTGTGTAGGGAGAGAGTGAAACACTGCCCGGCCGCCGAGCAATCTGATTGGTCCACGTCATCGAGCGCCATATTTGTTAAGGGCAAGGGAACTTCCGGTCGGTGCCGCTTTAGGCGCCCTGAGGTAAAACAGGGTGTTTGGCGCCTCCCAGCGCGCGCGCGAAGTTCAAGTCTTCCCGTGCGGTATTTTTCCCTGAGGTCCGAACTGAATTCCTGACACTTTCCGGGCTGTCTGAGCCCCATTTTCTGCCTCTGTGAGGTGAAGGGGACGGCGAATGCAGAGAAGCCGGGACATTTACCGTCACCCGCCGCGCACGCCCCACACGCCCCACACGCCGCTGCTGCCCTCACACCTTCCCTGAGGATCTTACGTCGGACGCTGTGGTCTCAAAAGACTGACCCAGGCATCCTATCCGTTTCCTCAGTAAATCTGAGATATGTGAAAAGGAGCATTTTTTTCCCAACTAAGGAGTCTTTAGCGAGTTATAGACGTAATCAGAGGCGCCACCGAACCGTAGGAAGTGGTCGTGTAGACGCCTGAACAAGCTGGCTGATTATTCCGCTCGGCTTTGCCCGCCGTGCGTGCAGTTGAGACGTCTGGACTCGAACACGGACAGATCCGGTACAATCTCACTCCGTCTGACCTCGGGGGTGTCACTTGTCTCTCTGGCTTTGCCCGTCACCGTCTGTGCAAGGAGGGAAGGGCTGGATGACACCCTCTGACACAGGAACCACCGTTTTCAGTCACTGGTGGTCCCTAGATTTCGAGAATCGTAACTGGTGTCAGCGCTGAGGAGACCACATCATTCACGGAATATTTTTTCCAGTAAAATTCAGACCTCCTGAGCTATTGACGTTCTAAAAATAGTGTTTGTATATAACACTAAGAACACGGTTCTTAAATGCAGAATGATATTTAGCTTCTACGTAATTTCAATGAATTCGAAGCAGACTTTTTTTTTTTTAATGACCAGCCACAGTTTCTAATATTTCAGGCGAAAGTCCCGCTAAGTGAAACACCTTTTGTGACTAGCAGGTGTTTCTCCTCACTTCTAGAGTGGAACCTTGGAATTTTTATTCGTTCAGCAGTTTAGTGGAAGGGACAGTCCGTGGGATACAAGCATGGAACTATGAAGTAGAGTGTGGGTCAGGTCCCCTGACCTTGGCCAGTTACTGAGCAATCCAAACCTCGATTACCCACTCTGCCCAGCAAGGGTGATAAGAAAGCTCTGGATCTTTTGGCCACCTACTCAGGTCATCAGGAAAAGGAAATGAAGGGTTAGAAAAGGGCTGTAGCAGCCTTTAGTTAGTAACTGTTAGTGGTTGTCAAACTGAATTGTCTCGTGTCTATTTAGGAAAACTCCCTAGAAGAACCCATCCAGGCAGGCTGTTGTTTCTAGAAAAGGTTGGCTCCTACATTTTACTTTATTTGCCTTAATTCACATCTAGGTATCTTACCCCACTTCAGGATCTAGTTCCTCTGCCAATTTCCATCCTCAGCAATTCCAGTAAGTGGCTCCAATTTTCACTTTGAACTATACTATTGTGTATGTAAAAAGTTTTTCGAGTGGTAACTACAGTAGAATAGACAATACAATATGTTGCCTGATTAGAATTTATTATACAAATCCTGTGTTTCCAGGATTTATCCTAATTAGTACAATTGTGGAAATTTTAAAGACCCTGTTTCATTTTGGTTTCCTTTAAAACAGTTGTAGCAAAGGGCTATTTCAAAGGTTGGTTCTTTCTCCTTTCACCAGTCGAGCCCGAAACATCCAAAAATCCTGGAAATAAAGCCAAACAGAATGAGTTTATGGAATGCTTCAATTTCACCAGGAGACAAAGTAGATTTCTAGACTCTAGGTTATATAGGAAAAGCAAATGTATATAACAGTTATATATTGATTATTAAATAAAACATATCCTGAGACTCCAATTAATCTACTTACCGACATGTAATACAGTGTTAACTAAACAAAGTCACTGAGTCCCCAAGCTGTCAGCCCCATTTCATTGCATGCACTTGTTGATCACATATGGTGTAACTGGGTCTGTGTTACGTCTGGTCACCTACAAACAGCTCATTACCATTTTCTTCCTTGCCTTTATGCTACTTGACTGAACCATTTTGAGTGGTCTACCTCTGATTAGAGCATAATTGTGAAAATGGTGTCATGGGTTACTGGGTTATTTGGGTTTTGTTTCCCCTTTGCTTTTAATAAAACAATTTATTTATTTTATTTTTAAGAGACAGAGTTCTCACTTTGTTGCCCAGGCTAGATGAGTGCTGTGGTGTCAGCCAGCTCCACAGCAACCTCAAACTCCTGGCTCAAGCAATCCTGCTGCCTCAGCTTCCCAAGTAGCTGGACTACAGGCATGCGCCCCATGCCCGGCTAATTTTTCATAATATATTTAGTTGGCCAATTAATTTGTTTCTATTTCTAGTAAGAGGACGGGTCTCGCTCTTGCTCAGCTGGGTTTCGAACTCCTGATCTCGAGCAATCCGCCACCTTGGCTCCAGAGTACTAGGATATACAGGCGCTCACCCGCGCCCAGCCTTTAATAAACATGTTAATAAAAGTTAATAAAATGTTTTAATAAAAATTAAAGTTCTTATATCCTAATTTTTGTTATTTTTGAGCAAACGTCAAGGTATGGTGGAAAGATGATGTTTGAATTAAACCTGACTCTGAAATCTATAGCTCTGTCTCTACATAACTTAGGCCAATTTCTGGATTCATTACCCTCTCATGAACGCACAGAGATCTACTGACTACTCCATTGGGTTTTGGGGAAGAAAATAAGAAAAGGGACATGAAAATGTCTTGATCTACAAAGAATTACATAGCAGAAGTTAACATTGTTATTCTAAATAAAACTGATAAACCTTAACTTATACAATAAAAAAACAAAATAAAAATACAGGAGGTATTCAAGCACAACCTGACAAACCTCCAACACAATGTACACATTTTATTTTTCTGCCTTAAAATCAGGTGTTTAGGCTGGGTGCAGGGCATGCCTATAATCCCAGCACTTTAGGAGGCTGAGGCGAGAGGATTGCTTGAGGCCAGGAGTTGAGTTGCTGTGAGCTAGGCTGAGCCACAGCACTCTAGCCCAGGCAACAGAGTGAGACTCTGTCCTCAAAAAAGAATTATGAAGCATCTGCAGAAAAAAGATTAGACTTTTACCACATTGTTTTATACAAACATACCTTCAAGTTGTGTTATCAACCCCATAGAGTCGACTTGCTATCCCCTGAACTCCTTCTCAATGTTTTCTGTGTAGTGCCCTCACGTCGATGTAGTAACCATCCGCAGTGGAAAAATGGCAAGAAATTGCTGTGAAAGGGAACAAATTGATATTGAAGAAAAAATCCCATTAATACCAGCAACCAAGAAAGAGTCCTTTTCTCCCTGCTGCTTGATTTCTAAATTCAAAGTCCCATATGAGTTTCTTTGTAGTTCAAGCCTCTTTTATTAATTTTATTTATTTATTTTAGTATTATGGGGATACAAGTGTAATGTTACTTATATTGCCATGCCCCCTCCCCCCTCCGAGTAAGAGCTTCACAATCGTCTATCCCCCAAACGTTGCACATTTTACCTCGTGGTTGTAATACACCCATCCCTCTCCCCTCCTACCCTCCCAATACCGATAAATTACTCCTATATGTCACCTTAGGTGTTATCCACTAATACCAATTTGCGTGAGTACATGTGTGCTTGTTTCCATTCTGAGAACTTCACTTCGTAGAATGGTTTGCTCTATCCAGGAATATACAAGAGTGCGATATCACCGTTTTTCTTAAAGCTGAGTAGTACCCATGGTATACATATACTACATTTTATTAATCCACTCATGAATTGATGGCACTCTGGTTGTTTCCATAGCTTTGCAATTGTGAATTGTGCTGCTATAACATTCGAGATGCAGGTGTCTTTTCCATAAATACTTTTGATCTTTGGGTAATGCCCAGTATGGAATTGCTGGATCAATGGTAGATCTACTCGTATCGCTTGAGTAATCCATATTACTTTCCACAGAGGCTGAACTAGTTTGCAGTCCCACCAGCAGTGTAGGATGTTACCTCTCTCCCGCATCCACGCCAGCATTTGTTGTTGGACTTTTTGATAAAGGCCATCTCACTGAGTTAAGTGATATCTCATTGTGGTTTTGATTTGCATTTCCCTGATGATTAGAGATGTTGAACATTTTTTCATATGCTTGTTGGCCATTATTCTGTCTCTTTAGAAGTTTCTGTTCAATGTCCTTTGCCCATTTTTGATAGGGTTTGATTTTTCTTCTGATTTCCTGAGTTCCTAAATAGAGATTCTAGTTTCACTTTATCAGATGTGTAGCTTGCAAAAATTTTCTCCCACTCTGTTGGTTGTCTGTTTGCTCTCTTGACGGTTTCTTTCAGCCTCCTTTTTTGTTTGTTTGTTCCCAGCTAAAGACTAATTGAGAAGTTACAAAAGATATTTAACTACCTGTGATATTTATTTTCAAAAGGTATGGATGTAACAGGGAGTGTAATCATGTTAAGTAAAGGTCTTTAATGTTTTGAGCATTTGATTTTCCTAATGAGTGGACATCCACATTCTTAAAAGGGAACATATTTCACTGTAGTTTATCCTCTCCCTAGTCACAAAAGTTAGTTACCCAGGTGAACTTGGGATGAGTTGTTATTTTACGTAATGGCAATAGATTGGGAAAATAATATACACACCTCTCAAATCAAAAGGACAGTTCAAGGCAAATACTACGGACATGTATTACCCATCTTGGTTCTTGCTTGGGAGGTAAAGATGAAGCTACTTGGTTCTTCCCAATGTAGAAAATGTTATAAACAGGCCGGGCGCGGTGGCTCACGCCTGTAATCCTAGCTCTCTGGGAGGCCGAGGCGGGCGGATTGCTCGAGGTCAGGAGTTGGAAACCAGCCCGAGCAAGAGCGAGACCCTGTCTCTACTATAAATAGAAACAAATTAATTGGCCAACTAATATATATAGAAAAAAATTAGCTGGGCATGGTGGCGCATGCCTGTAGTCCCAGCTACTTGGGAGGCTGAGGCAGAAGGATTGCTTGAGCCCAGGAGATTGAGGTTGCTGTGAGCTAGGCTGACACCACGGCACTCACTCTAGCCCGGGCAACAAAGCGAGACTCTGTCTCAAAAAAAATAAAAAAATAAAATGTTATATACAGATCTAAGCTGCAAGGCAATAGTTAAAACACATCTTCCTCATCACAAGTTAATTATCTTAAGGTGATTATACCCATCAGAAGGGCTTCCCACTTTGCCCAAACATCAAATTTCTGGGGAGTGGAGTCACAAGTTTCCTTGCCTATGGGAGCTCCAGCAGCCACGCAGAGCAGTAGCAGAGCCTGTGGCAAAAGGAAAAATGTGCCCTTCTATATCCATATCTTTATGTAATAACAGTTAATATTTTTCCAGACCATTACAGTTATTGAAAAAAATATTGAAAAACTACAAAGCCAATATATTAAAACTCACAACATTATTAGCATCATTGTGCCTGCACTTCCCTACTTGCATGGCTTTGGGGGTTCTCTGCGAGTGCAGGATATGATCCTGTCTTTTATTGAAAATTTCAGTATTGTGTGCAGTGTGTATTTTTTTCTGCATAATTTTTGATTTTTTTAAATATTATGTAACTTGATTGCTGAAGGCTTTGTTTTGTTTGGTTTGATATCCCCTGAAATTTTGCCTCCAGAGGAGAGTGCCTAAATGAATGAATGGAAGATGAAATTTGGCACCTAACCCTTGAGCCACTGGTAGGAACTGTGCAATCAACTGTAAAGACCCTCGAAGCCCCCCAAAGAGCCCCAATATTTAGTATGGACAACCACATTACCATCAGGGAGTGTAAGCCCACAGTTCTGTCAGATCTGCTGAATTTAAGAGAAGTGAGGAATGGGGATTGGAGAACTTACATGGAATTTTGTCAATTTTTAAATGTAAGCAATGACACTATTTTTTTTTTTTTTTGGGACGGGGTCTCGCTATGTTGCCCAGGTTGGAGTGCAGTGGCTATTCACAGGCGCGATCCCACGCAACCTCAAACTCCTGGGCTCAAGCAATCCTGCTGCCTCAGCTTCCCAAGTAGCTGGGACTACAGGCATGCGCCACCATGCCCGGCTAATTTTTTCTATATATATTAGTTGGCCAATTAATTTGTTTCTATTTCTAGTAGAGACGGGGTCTCGCTCTTGCTCAGGCTGGTTTCGAACTCCTGATCTCGAGCAATCCGCCCACCTTGGCCTCCCAGAGTACTAGGATTACAGGCGCTCACCGCGCCCAGCCTTTAATAAAACATGTTTAATAAAAGTTTAATAAAAAATGTTTAATAAAACATTTAAATGTTCTTATATCCTAATTTTTGTTTATTTTTGAGCAAACGTCAAGGTATGGTGGAAAGGATGATGTTTGAATTAAACCTGACTCTGAAATCTATAGCTCTGTCTCTTACATAACTTAGGCCAATTTCTGGGATTCATTACCCTCTCATTAACAGCACAGAGATCTACTGACTACTCCATTGGGTTTTGGGGAAGAAAATAAGAAAAGGGACATGAAAGTGCTTTTGTATCTTACAAAGAATTACATAGCAGAAGTTAACATTGTTATTCTAAATAAAACTGATAAACCTTAACTTATACAATAACTAAAATAAATAAATACAGGAGGTATTCATTTAGCACAACCTTGACAAACCTCCAACACAATGTACACATTTTATTTTTCTGCCTTAAAATTCAGGGTGTTAGGCTGGGTGCAGGGGCATGCCTATAATCCCAGCACTTTAGGAGGCTGAGGCGAGAGGATTGCTTGAGGCCAGGAGTTTGAGGGTGCTGTGAGCTAGGCTGATGCCACAGCACTCTAGCCCAGGCAACAGAGTGAGACTCTGTCTCAAAAAAGAATTATGAAGCATCTGCAGAAAAAAGATTAGACTTTTACCACATTGTTTTATACAAACATACCTTCAAGTTGGTGTTATCAACCCCATAGAGTCGACTTGCTATCCCCTGAACTTCCTTCTCAATGTTTTCTTGTGTAGTGCCCTTCACGTCGATGTAGTAGCCATCCGCAGTGGAAAAATGGCAAGAAATTGCCTGTGAAAGGGAACAAATTGATATTGGAGAAAAACATCCCATTAATACCAGCAACCAAGAAAAGAGTCCTTTTCTCCCTTGCTGCTTGATTTCTAAATTCAAAGTCCCATATGAGTTTCTTTGTAGTTCAGCCTCTTTTTTATTTATTTATTTATTTATTTTTATTTTAGTGTATTATGGGGATACAAGTGTTAATGTTACTTATATTGCCCATGCCCCCCTCCCCCCTCGAGTAAGAGCTTCAAGCATGTCTATCCCCCAAACGTTGCACATTTTACTCGTGGTTGTAATACACCCATCCCCTCCTCCCCCCTCCTACCCTCCCAATACCCGATAAATGTTACTCCTATATGTCCACTTAGGTGTTGATCCACTAATACCAATTTGCTGGTGAGTACATGTGGTGCTTGTTTTTCCATTCTTGAGATACTTCACTTCGTAGAATGGGTTCCAGCTCTATCCAGGAATATACAAGAGGTGCTATATCACCGTTGTTTCTTAAAGCTGAGTAGTACTCCATGGTATACATATACTACATTTTATTAATCCACTCATAATGGATGGCCACCTCTGGTTGTTTCCATAGCTTTGCAATTGTGAATTGTGCTGCTATAAACATTCGAGTGCAGGTGCTTTTTCCATAAAGTTACTTTATCTTTGGGTAGATGCCCAGTAGTGGAATTGCTGAAAATGGTAGATCTACTCGTACCGCTTTGAGGTATCTCCCTATTACTTTCCACAGAGGCTGAACAGTTTGCAGTCCCCACCAGCAGTGAGGAGTGTTTCCCTCCCGGCATCCACGCAGCATTTGTTGTTGGGCGACTTTTTTATAAAGGCCATCTCACTGGGTTAAGTGATACTCCATTGGTCTTTGATTTGCATTTCCCTGATGATTAGAGATGTTGAACCATTTTTTCATATGTTGTTGGCCATTATTCTGTCTTCTTTTGAGAAGTTTCTGTTCATTCCTTTGCCCATTTTTTGATAGGGTTTGATTTTTCCTTGCTGATTTTCTAGTTCCTAAATAGATTCTGTTATCAGCTTTATCAGAATGTGTAGCTTGCAAAAATTTTCTCCACTCCCTGTTGGTTGTCTGTTTGCTCTCTTGACGGTTTCTTTCAGCCTCCTTTTTGTTTGTTTTCAGCGCGATTTACGTTTTAATACTGTGGAAATTTTTTCGTGGATGTGCAAGGGAGTGTAATCATGTTTAAAGTCTGGCTTGATTCTGACATCCACATTTCTTAAGACTGTTCACGTAGTTATCCTCCCTTCACAGTAGTACCAGGGAACTTGAGATTGTTATTTACGTAATGGCAGAAGATTGGAAAGATAATATCACACACCCCCTCTCCCCAAACAAAAAGGACAGTTCAAGGCAAATACTAACGGACATGTATACGCCATCCTTGGTTCCGCTCGCTTGGGGAGGTAAAGATGAGCTACAATTGGTTTCTTCCCCCCCAATGTAGACAAATGTTAATAAACAGTGGCCGGGGCGCGTGGCTCCACCCGCCTGTAATCCTAGCTTCCTGGAGGCCGAAGCGGGCCCCGTATTGCCTCCGAGTCAAGAGCAAGAGCGAAAAAACTGTCCTCACATAAATAACAAGAAACAAATTAATGCCCCAACTATATATACTATAGACAAAAAATTAGTGGGCATGGGGCCCATGCCTGTAGTCCCAGCTACTTGGAGGTCTGAGCAGAAGTATTGCTTGAGCCCCCAGGAATTGAGTGTTGCTGTAGGCTAAGGCTGATCACACGGCCCACCACTCCTAAGCCCGGCAACCAAAGCCGAGACTCTGTCTCAAAAAAAAAAAAATAAAATGTTATAACAATCCTAGAGCTCGGCAAGGCCAATAGTCTATAAACACATCTTCCTCATCAACAAGTAATTAAGTCTTAAGGTCGATTATACCCCATAGAAGGCCTTCCCCAATTTGCCCAAGACCATCAATTTCTGGGAATGAGTCACAAGTTCCTTGCCTAGGGAGGCTCCAGCAGCCACCGCAAGCAGGTAGCCAGAAGCCTGTGGGCCAAAAGGAAAAATGCCCCTTCCTATATCCCATATCTTCATATTAATATTACAGTTGATATTTTGTCCAGACCCATTACAGTTATGAAAAAAAATATGAAAAACTACAAAAGGCCAATATTAAAACACAACAATTATTCAGGGCATCAGTGTGCCCTGCACTTCCCCTAAAACTTGTGCAGGCTTTGGGGTTCTCTGCGAGTGCAGGATATGATCCTGTCCTTTTATGAAAATTTTTCAGTATTTGTGTGCAGTGTATTTTTTTTCCTGCTACATTTTTGATTTTTAAATATTATGTAACGTTGTTGCTGAAGGCTTTGTTTTGTTTGTTTGATATCCCCCTGAAAATTGCCCTCCCCAGAGGAGAGTCCTAAATGGAATGATGGAAGAATGAAATTTGCACCCTTAACCCTTGAGCCCACTGGTAGAACCTGGCAATCCACTGTAAAGACCCTCGAAGCCGCCCCCAAAGAGCCAAATATTGAGTATGACAACCACATTAACCATCAGGGAGTGTAAGCCCACAGTTTCTGTCAATCTGCTGAATTAAGAAGAAAGTGAGGAATGGGATTGGAAGAACTTACCAATGGAAATTTGTCCAATTTTTAAATGTAAGCAATGACACTAATTTTTTTTTTTTGAACCGGGTCTGCATGTTTCCCAAGGTGGAGTGAGTGGCTATCACCAGGCGCGATCCCGCCAACTGACTAGTCACAACGGAGGTTTGACCCTGCTCCGTTTCCCGACCTGGGCCGTTCACCCCTCTTAGGCAACCTGGTGTCCCCCGCTCCGGGAAGCGTCACCATATTGATGCCGAACTTAGTGCGGACACCCGATCGGCATAGCGCACTACAGCCCAGAACTCCTGGGCTCAAGCGATCCTCCCATCTCAGCCTCCCGAGTAGCTGGGACTACAGGCGCGCGCCACCGCGTCCGGCAGCAATGACACTATTAAGTTTAAAACACTGTGAGGCTGAGTGGTGGGAAGAAACCATGGCTGTCTGCTAAATCAGATTTCTGGGCAGCCAATTCAGAATGTTTGTTTTGGATCAATTATTATTTTTCCGAATAATAAAGATAATCACAAACTCTCCTCTTGTCATGATTACCATGAGCAATGTAAATTCCACATTTTAGTATTTCAGCCATTGTTTTTGCCTCAGAAAGCACGGGCAGTGTGCTGGCAAGTGAGCTGTTGTTTGGAAGCAAGTCCATGAATGTTCATCATTCACTGTTGACAAAGTCAAAATCCAGTGGTCACCTGGCTTCTTGCCATAAGAGCAAAACAAGCAGAAGGTAGGCAAATATATTACTATTTCCTGGTGAAATCACAAGTCTTTTACATTTTAATGTATCTTACAATGTTTCTTTCTCACCCAGAGAGCGCAGCAATGTGAATACATACCTTCCGGAATCTTTGAGTTGTGTTCCGACCAGACCCATGGATCAGCAAAGGATGAAAGAAAAGGGTGTCCCCCTTCTCCATCTGGATGTGCACGCGGGCATCATAGTCCTTGAAGTTCTGGATCCCGTGGAACATTATGTTAACTCCCCCCTAGAAGCAGCAAAACTGAGTCTATATTTGAGGAAGCACCACAGTTAAAAACATTGTCAAGGACTCACCAGGAAAGTAGGAACTCGCTAAATTCTCCCAAGAGAAAGAGATACCTAAACTAGATTTCTTAAAAATGTCTTTATTATATAAATCAAAAGGCCTCTCAGATGTCTGGTTTTAAAAAGTCACATGTGGATATTAAAATCGCTGATACATATATTTTTCGGACCAAATGAAAAATGTAGACTTTCCACCTACTCTTCATGACTTAATTATACATGAAGATCTAGCTCAGCTTCGCCTTTTGTGGTTCATGCAGGCAACCACCTTTCTCCCAGGTGCTTCCAGTCTGAATCTGTAAACATTCCTCCCCGGCATGATGTCTCCTCACCCAGAATACTGTACAAATTCTTCTTCTGTTACCCAGGAGTATCTCTGAGAAGCTATTCTCCCAAAACAGGGGGAGAGAAAAAGCTCAATTTTTCTGAGTTCAAAAGCACTCATGTGACATCAGAATAATGAAATAATAATAAATTAAAACATTGTGTTTGTTTATAGCTATTTCCCAAGCTAATTACTGCTTTAGGCAATGGGTTATATCTTTATTAAGGAAACGGAAGGGAGAAGCAATTGAAGTTTTTAAGCTTTTATGAGTCAGGGTTGGGGGAGCCTCCCATTCCTCCTCCTCCATTCCTTTTTGGAGAATGACCACTTCCTTCATGGGGAGAGTTCACACTCTGACCTTCTGCCTGGCCAAGGTGGATGTGTGACCTAAGCTAACCTAATCAGATGACACACTGCCCCTACTTTGAGCAGAGATTCAGATACTCCATATGCTCCCAAAGCCCCCAAACTATTCCTTTTGCCTCCAGTCAGCCAGAGCCCAATGCTGCCCCTTGCACTAAACCTTAATTGCATTTTACAATTTCAGGGTTTTTTGTTTGTTTGTTTTGAGACAGGATCTGGGTCTCTTGCTTGGGCTAAAGTGCAGTGGTGTCATCATAGCTCACTGCAACCTCAAACTCCTGTGCTCGAGTGATCCTCTTCCCTCAGGCTCCCCAGTAGCTGGGACTACAGACATATGCCACCACACCCAGCTAATTTTTCTCATTTTTTATAGAGACAGGGTCTCGCTATATTGCCCAAGCTGGTCTCAAACTCCTGGCCTCAAGTGATTCTCTCGCCTCAGCCTCCCAAAGTGCTAGGATCTCATCACTCAAGGGCTCAAATGCATTGAATAGTTCCAACATCAGCAGCTGAACAGATAAACAAACCATGGTACAGCCACGCAACAGAACACCACTCAGCAATGGAAGGGAAAGAACAGTTGGTCCATGCAACAGCATCAATGAATCTCAAAATTACTGTGAGTGAAAGAAGTCACAAAAAAGAAAAAAGTATATGCTATAGGATCATATGTATATAACATTTTAGAAAATGCAAACTCATCTACAGTAACAGAAAGCAACTCAGTTGTTACCTGGGGTGGGTATGGGGAGGACGAAGTGATTATCATGATTGTGGTGATGATTTCCCAGGGAGTGGGAGTATGTGTGTCAAAAATGATCAAACTATACACCCAAAATATGTACAGTTTATTACATAACAATTACACCTCAATAGAAGTGTTTTTTCAAAAATTTTTTTTTTGTTGTTTTGTTTTTTTAAAAAATTAAAAGCTCTTCTAGCATCCTAAAGAAAAGGCCCGGTTCTCCTCCCCAAATAAATTGTAGACTCATTAGTATAACAAACAACATCCTTCCTTCCTAATCTGGTCCTATTACACCTTTCCTGGCTCACCTCTGCTCTCTCCAAAATGCTCCCCCAGCTAGCCTGTGAGCTCCCTAGGTTCCTCCCACTCTCCGGCCACTTCCTTACTCTGAGAGTGCCCATCAGTGAGCAAGGCTTACTTTGCACATAGCACACATGTGTGGGGTTGAAGTGCTTATGTCTTACCTCTGTAATTAGGCTTTACAATCTCAGATCCCATAAGCGGCACCTGCCCAAGTTCCCCACCTTGGTGCCACTTCTATACTACTGCAAGTATACAAGGATTTCTCAGTGTAGTCCGAGCCACCTGCACTAGATTCTTCAGGCGTGTTCTTAAAATGCAGAGACATGGGCTCTATTTGTGAATCACTTTCTCTAAGAGTGAGGTCTTACATTCTACATTTTAATCAGCACAAGACATTTTAAGAACAATCATAGCATGTGATTCACAAAAATAATTTTAATTTTGTTAGTAATAATAATGCCTTCGACCAGGAACACAAAATCTACACAGTCACAGCTACGATAGTAAATAGCAGAAGCCTATGACATAGGAACAGGTATGTTTGTTAAACTGCATTTTGGGGAGAGCCAGTCATCTGAAAATTCAGTAATAACAGCTAAAAACGCATGTTGGAAAGACAACCGTGATGAATGTTTTACCTGCCATCCTTGAACTTTCCCTGATCCTAAATGCAAATCTTGGGACAATGTTTTGCTAAGAAAGGAAATGCCACCTCCTTGGTAAACTGTTGCTGTATACTGATGTGACATAACAACAGAGAAAGAGACTCTGACTAACACGCAGCTGCTAGGCACACCTACCTCCCACTGCGGATAATCGTGGGGCTGCAGGTGGCCTTTGTGGCTGCCCGGGATCACGCACAGACAACCATTGTTGCGGTCAATGTGCTCCATCGCTGTCCAGGCGCAAACGATGCGATCGGTGGGCCTGAAGGGGAAATAGTGCAGGTCCTGGTGCAGGGGATGACGGGATGTCTTCTTGCCTGAAACAGAACCTGCTCTTAGAAGATGCTGCGGTCTCAGAATTCTTACCCTTTGCCTGAAACACCAGAACAATGGCCTAGCCCTGCAGAAACCCAACATATGAAGCCACAGCCCCAAGAGACAAGCACCAAATTGCAGCCTCAAATCAACATGGTGGCTCCAAATCCTATAGTGCTGGGTTGCTGGTAACTGAGTGTTTACACTATTTTCGCACATATGCCAATCATCTCTATTGTGCTTCATTTCTTTGTAGCTCTGGATTTGGCCAAGAGCTTAGCATGAAATAAGTATTCTAAAAATAGCTGGATTAATTAAATTGAAAAGAGTCGTATAGAGTCAAATTTGAGTTCCCCTTCCAAGTGGTTGATGTCAAAATAAAAAGTGCTCTAAGAGGTTTTCCTCCACACAACTGTAGGCATTCTGAGCACAGTGTCTGGTCAAAGTCTCCATGACCGCATTGACATCTGGCCCTGGTTGTGTTCTCTGAGCTTGGTTCCACCCCCCCCCCCACCTGATCTCTCCAGGCAAGATATCAGGGAGGAAGAGGCGTGGTGCTGAGCTCAGTCCTATGCCATAAACTCCTCCCACCATCAACAGGAAGAAAAAGCGAAAAAGGATAAAGGACTCTCTCATGGCTGGTGTCTACTGCAGGTGTAGCAGGATTTCTCAGTGCAGTCTGAGCCACCTGCACTAGACTTTTTCAGGGTGGTTTTTTTTTTTTTTTTTCTCGCTTTGTTGTCCAGGCTAGAGTGAGTGCCGTGGCGTCAGCCTAGCTCACAGCAACCTCAAACTCCTGGGCTCGAGCGATCCTTCTGCCTCAGCCTCCTGAGTAGCTGGGACTACAGGCATGCGCCACCATGCCCGGCTAATTTTTATATATATATATATCAGTTGGCCAATTAATTTCTTTCTATTTATAGTAGAGACGGGGTCTCGCTCTTGCTCAGGCTGGTTTTGAACTCCTGACCTTGAGCAATCCGCCCGTCTCCGCCTCCCAAGAGCTAGGATTACAGGCGTGAGCCACCGCGCCCGGCCTCAGGGTGTTTTTAAAATGCAAAGACCTGGGTTCTATATCTCAATCAGTTTCTCTAAGAGTGAGGTCTTATATTCTACATTTTAGGCAGCACAAGACATTTAAAGAACAACCATAGTGTGTGATTCACAATAATAATTTTAATTTTGTTAGTATTCATAATAATAACAATGCCTTCAGACCAGGAATGCAAAATCCACACTATCACAGCTAAGAATTGTCAATCAAATTTAGAGATAGTAAATAGCAGAAGCCTATGATATAGGAACAGTCATGTTTGTTAAACTCAATTTGGTGGTGGGAGCCAGTCATCTGAAAATTCAGCAATAACATCTGAAATCACCATTGCACTTCTATGTTGTTGTAACGTGAGCTATTTCAAGACTTAAATAAAAGTACATAGACTCACTTATCCAAAGTTTGGCAGTTATACACACAACTATCATAAGAACATCGACCTTACTTATTTTAATGAAACAATTTTTTCCTTTACCAGAATCGGGAGGTTTGTTTATCATCATTGTATGCATGGCCATAATATTGGGTCCAGTGAAGCACTCCACATATTTCAGAATCTAAGAAAAAGAAAAGTAAAAGCAAAACAAACTTCAAGGGAAATTAGAAGTATCAAGCAAGTGGCACACAGTTCAACTCATACAAGAACCAAGATGGCAGTGGTTTAAAAAACCAATTGGTATTTCACAACACTGTAAACAAAGCATTTGGAAATCATTCTAAATCTACAACCCTCTGAATGAATTTTTTTTTTCTGCCAACTGAAAATGAAACATTTTTTATCTGCAAGAAAGACAGGAGTTTTGGCTGGACACGGTAGCTCACACCTGTAATCCTAGCACTCTGGAAGGAGGAGGCGAGAAGATTGCTTGATATCAGGAGTTCAGGACCAGCCTGAGCAAGAATGAGACCCCATTCTTGCTAAAAGTAGAAAAAGAAAATTAGCCAGGTATGGTCGTGCACACCTGTAGTTCCAGCTACTCAGGAGCCTGAGGCAGGAGGATCCCTTGAGCCGAGGAGTTGGAGGTTGCAGTGAGCTATGACAACACCACTGCACTCCAGCCTGGGTGACACAGCAAGACTCTGTCTCCACCGGAAAAAAAAAAAAAAAAAAAAGAAAAAAAAAAAAAAAGAAAGATAGGAGTTTCTACGAGATATCAACAAGGAAGGACAAGAACGGCTCTTCTGCCAGCCAAAGCCACAGAGGGTGCCCAGGCAGTTTCCTCTTCCTTTTTGGAGACTCCATGTGACTGGCAGCTGCCTAATGTGACTGGCAGCTGCCAGATGAAAGCAGAATAGTGTGTTGGGGACACTTGACTATGGGTACAGCCATTCATTCAATGACTCATTCCTGAGATCTATGAACCAGGCAGAGGGATGGGAAACAGGCACAAGAGCAAACAAGAAAAGCAGGTCACTGTCTCCGTGGAGTTTCATCTTGCGGGAAGAAAGATGTTAAACCACTCGTGACATGGGTCATAGTGGATGAGAGACGTAACATTATGAAGAAGGTGACAGGGAGTGCTAACTAGTCACCGGGCCTGGGAGCCAGGCTGCTGCCTTGCACATGGGAAGCAGAAAGGATTCCTTGCTGAGGACCTACTATGCACCTCCTGCTGAGGCCCAAATGGGCTCTAGACATCAGCCCATGTGAGCCACATAACAATGCCTGAAATTCAAGCCCCCATTAATTAATAAACCTTTCACATTCATGTCCCACACAAACAAACCTGAGAGTAATAAATTGCCCACGTTGGCAAAGTCACTTAAATGAAAAACATGACATTCACACCCTGATTCTATCTGACTCCAAAAATTGAGTCTGGGGGGCAGAGGAAGACTTCACTTTTCACTTTATGGGCTACTGCTTGGATTTTTTTCATAAACATGAGATACTCAAAGAATGCTAAATTTTTAAAAACCTAATTTAAATCTAAAAACAAACTCACACTTCTATTGACCAGATTCATAAAACAAAAAGAAAAAAATAAATGGATTTACAAGTAACACCCTCAGCAATTTCATCGCTGTGCATGCGCCACTGTTGAGTGTTAGAAGAGATCTTTCTCTTTAACACAGAATCCTCAACTCTCTCAACAAGAGAATTGGCAAACTCTACAACGGGGTTTCTCAATCTTGGCACTACTGACATTTGGGGTAGGATCATGTTTTGTTTGGGGGAGGGGGCTGTTTTGTGCATTACAGGACCTCTGGGTCCCCTGGCAGCAATCCTCCCTGGCCTCTACTCATTAGGAACCAGTAGCACACCCTGTCCCCTGCTGTGACAACCAGAAAAATGTCCCCTGGGAAGCAAAATCCCCTCCAGTTGAAAACCACTGCTCTTAGAGCCTTCCATGGAACAGGGTCAGACCAAACCAAAAGAGCAGACTTTAGAGGCAGGCGTGCACCTGGGCTATGACACAAACAAAGCACAGGATGGTCTCTAACCTCGGGGAGAGTGCAGTATCTGAAGAGCTCCTCATCTTCTTGGAAATCCTGGATCTTGCAAACCATTTGTTCATTTTTTGGATCGTATTCTGATTTCGAAATGGTCACATCTCTCATTATATGTAACCCTAGTGGTTTTACCTCCTGTCTGCAGATTTTTTCAAACTCGTTCCTAGAAAATGAAACGTGCAGGTGGGATGCAACTGAAGGCCCTGACTTCACCATGATGCAATATATCAGTGTAGCAAATTTGCACTTGCACCCCATGAATATCTACAAATGGAAAATAAATGGTCCGGGCGCAGTGGCTCATTCCTGTGATCCCAGCACTTTGGGAGGCCAAGGCAGGAGGATGGCTTGAGGCCAAGAATCCAACATGAGCCTAAGCAACATAGCAAGACCCTGTCTTTACCAAAAAAAACCCTTTTTAAAAAAAATTTACCCAGGTGTGGTGGTGCACACCTATAGTCCCAGCTACTCGAAAGACAAGAGGATCCCTTGAACCCAGGAGGTCAAGGTTGCAGTGAGCTATGATAGTGCCTTGGCGCTCCAGCCTGGGGAACAGAGGGAGACTTTGTCTCAAAAATAAATAAATAAATAAATGAATAGAAAGAAAATGCCAACTCAGAAGTCCTGGCTCCTAACTGTCAGGCTGGAATCCTCCACTGGATTTAAAACATTCCTCAGTTTAGCATACTGAGGTTAGGAAATCTTTTTATGATTCGATTACATGATGATGCTAATAGCAAACTGCACTTACCATGTGACAGACTGTTCAAAATAGTCTCCTTGTATTTCACCTCATTTAGTCCTAACAACAACTCTAGGACACAAGTGCCATTATAATGTTATCCCCATTTTACAGATGAGGAAACAGGTATGAAAGTTAGATAAATTGGCCCAGGACACTGATTGTTGAGTGCTAGAGCTGAGATTAAAGCCAGACCAATCTGGCTCCAGAGCCTGGGCTCCTAAATACTTCCCAACAAACCAAATAACAAAAATTATCTGAATATGCAAGAGCTAATCTAACTTGGATTTCCATGACATGCATATAATATGTAGTTTTGGAAAATAAAAAAGGGTTACTGTACTGAAAGCGTTGAATGTCCTCATCGGATACCAGATTTTTAATGAGAAGAAACCCATTTTCTTCATAAAATTTTCTCTGTTCCAGGCTTAGAACATTATTATCCAAAGTATACCTAAAGGAGAAGAAAAGAAATCCCCAAATAAGTTAAGTTTTTAAATCACATCCTAACAGTATGTATCAAGAACCTGAGAAATGTTCACACTCAGCATTTCCATTTCTAAGACTTTAAGGAAATAATCTGAAAAAGTAAAAAAAGCTTGAAGTTGGCCGGGCGCAGTGGCTCACGCCTGTAATCCTAGCACTCTGGGAGGCTGAGGCGGGCGGATTGCTCAAGGTCAGGAGTTCGAAACCAGCCTGAGCGAGACCCCGTCTCTACTATAAAAATAGAAAGAAATTAATTGGCCAATTAATACATATATTAAAAAAAATTAGCCGAGCATAGTGGCGCATGCCTGTAGTTCCAGCTACTCGGGAGGCTGAGGCAGGAGGATTGCTTGAGCCCAGGAGTTGGAGGTTGCAGTGAGCTATGACAACACCACTGCACTCCAGCCTGGGTGACACAGCAAGACTCTGTCTCCACCGAAAAAAAAAAAAAAAAAAAAGAAAGAAAAAAAAAAAAAAAAAAAGCTTGAAGTTCAAAATATTATCTATGGTACCACAATAATGTGCATTAATGGAGGAAAAGTAATGATGTTCTAGCCACTCAGTGGAATATGACTCGGGGATTAAAAAAGAAGGGCAAATAATAGTATGGCCAATGCTTATTATAATAAAATATGATTACAATGATGTGAAACACAACACTGTTTGGAAAATAAAAGCATGAAAAGAAATACACCAAAAAAATATATATATATATACTTTTATATATATATTTTTTTAACAGTGATTGCCTTTGAGTAATGAAATTACTTTTTTTTTTTTTTTTTTTTGAGACAGAGTCTCACTTTGTTGCCCAGGCTAGAGTGAGTGCCGTGGCATCAGCCTGGCTCACAGCAACCTCAATCTCCGGGGCTCAGCGATCCTTCTGCCTCAGCCTCCCGGGTAGCTGGGACTACAGGCATGCGCCACCATGCCCGGCTAATTTTTTTTTATATATATATATGTTAGTTGGCCAATTAATTTCTTTCTATTTATAGTAGAGACGGGGTCTCGCTCTTGCTCAGGCTGGTTTTGAACTCCTGACCTTGAGCAATCCGCCCGCCTCGGCCTCCCAAGAGCTAGGATTACAGGCGTGAGCCACAGCGCCCGGCCAAAATTACTTTTTTTTTTGAGACAAAGTCTCACTCTGTTGCCAGGGCTAGAGTGCCATGGTATCAGCCTAGCTCACAGCAACCTCAATCTCCGGGGCTCAGCGATCCTTCTGCCTCAGCCTCCCGAGTAGCTGGGACTACAGGCATGCGCCACCATGCCCGGCTAATTTTTTTTTTTGTATATATATTTTTAGTTGGTCAATTAATTTCTTTCTATTTTTGGTAGAGACGGGGTCTTGCTCAGGCTGGTTTCGAACTCCTGACCTTGAGCAATCCACCCGCCTCGGCCTCCCAAAGTGCTAGGATTACAGGCGTGAGCCACAGCGCCCGGCCCAGTAATGGAATTATGGATAATTTTTTTTTTTTTGAGACAGAGTCTCACTTTGTTGCCCAGGCTAGAGTGAGTGCCGTGGCATCAGCCTGGCTCACAGCAACCTCAATCTCCGGGGCTCAGCGATCCTTCTGCCTCAGCCTCCTGAGTAGCTGGGACTATAGGCATGTGCCACCATGCCGAGCTAATTTTTTCTATATATATTTTTAGCTGGCCAATTAATTTCTATTTTTAGTAGAGATGGGGTCTTGACCTTGAGCAATCCACCCGCCTCGGCCTCCCAAAGTGCTAGGATTACAGGCGTGAGCCACAGCGCCCGGCCCGGATAATTTTTTAAATTCTTTCTATTTCTCTGATTAAAATTTTTCTGTAATGAATATATATAGTTTTTTGCATGCAAAAAAATTCAATAAATTTTTTATTTTTAATTGTCTCATTGATGCATTCTCAGAAGTAATCAAAATAACAAAATCTAAATAAATATATAGCATAGCCACAAATCCAAATCACCCAATCCATTCCTTAAGACTGGAATGGTGGCTGTGTGAGAAAATTTATGAAAATCAAGGTCTTCCCCCTAAAAGGTGAATTAAGGTAAGCCAAAGATGCTAGCTAGCTAGCTACTGTGGCAACATAAACAAACTACAAGCTAATTTAAATGGGATCTACCATGCCTGGATTTTTAAAAGTCAGATTATATATTTTCTGGTATTTTTCCTTCCTGCTGAATTTTAAAACACATATAAAATTAAAGTCAAGGTATTCGAAATTTTCCACAATTGTACTAATTAGGAAAAATCCTGGACACACAGGATTTGTGTAATAAATTCTAATCAGGCAACATATTGTACATTCTATTGTAGTTACCACTCGAAAACTTTTCACATACACAACAGTATAGTTCAAAGCAAAAATTCGAGCTACTTACTGGAATTGCTGAGGATGGAAATTGGCAAAGGAACTAGATCCTAAAGTGGGATGAGCTACCTAGGATGCGAATTAAGGCAAATAAAGTAAAATGTAGGAGCCGACCTTTTCTAGAAACAACAGCCTGCCTGGATGGGTTTTTTGAAGAAAGGAGTTTTCTTTAATAGACATGAGACAATTCAGTTTGACAACCACTGACAGTTACATACACAAACTGCTAAGGCCCTGTTCTAACCCTTCATTTCCTTTTCTTGACAGCCTGAGGAGGTGGCCAGAAAATCCAGAGCTTTCTTATCACCCTTGCTGGGCAGAGTGGGTAATCGAGGTTTGGAGCGCTCAGTAACTGGCCAAGGTCAGGGGACCTGACCCACACTCTACTTCATAGTTCCATGCTTGTATCCCACGGCCTGTCCCTTCCACTCAACTGCTGAAGGAATAAAAATTCCAAGGTTCAACTCTAGAAGTAAGGAGAAACACCTGCTAGTCACAAAAGGTGTTTCACTTAGCAGGACTTTCGCCTGAAATATGAGAAACTGTTTCTGGTCATTAAAAAAAAGTCTATAAAATCAAGAATGGCTGCAAGAACAGCAGGATCCACACAGTCGAGAAAAACTGTAAATATCTGAAAGAACAAGAAATTCTTTTGGTAAGATAGATCTCTTTTCCATCCAGCCACCGCAGATGGCTGACATAGCCCCTCATGGTTTCTTTTGTTGTGGTTGCTCTTATTATTTCTTTAGCTTAAATTGTTACTCTCGGAAATTCAATTCTCGTAAGCGCGCTATCAGTCCTTAACTGACGTCTTTAGATGATTTGGTGAGGACACGGCAGTCCAGGAGGAGGGCAAGGGGACTCCGCCTGGGAGGCCTGTGTGCCCGTGAGTCCAGCGCTGTCCCGAAGGGCTGGCGTCCTTGTCCCCTCCCCGGAAGGCCCCTGTCACCTGCCCCTGACTTGGTCCCTTTCAGCCAGCTCTGCGCCCCTGTTTACAGAGCGACTGTGCCTGGACGTTCGTTTCCAGGTCTCCGGGTCCCTGCGGAGGTCACCACGCGCGGCCAAGGGGAGAAACGACAAGGCCCTTCGTGACGGCCTGCCACCCTCACAGTCCACAAATCCAGCTACAGAGGCTCTAAGAGAGCCCAGAACGGTGGAGAGGCGCCCAACCGGCCTTCGAGGCCAGGACGGCCCGCAGCACCCTCTGGCCGGGCAGGTGCCCTCTGGGGACGTGGGAGCCACCGGCGCCTGGGGATGCAGCCTCCTCCCCGCGCCCCTCCCCGGGCTCCGGCAAGCGCTGTGACGGCCGCGCGGAGGAAGGCGCAGAGCGGGCGCCCCGCAGGCCGCCCCTCCGCCAGGCCCGGCCGCCTCCAGCGCCGCGGCGGAGGCGGTGGCGGCGGCGCGTCCAGCCCGAGACCCGCACAGCCCAAAGGATACTGCGGCCTCGGCCGGGGGGCCCCCGAGGTGTCCCAGCAGGGTCCGCAGGCGCGTGGCAGCGCGGGACTGGTTCATGGCGGTGGCGGTGGCGAGGAGACCGGCGGGCCTGGCCTGGGTTCCGATTTAACTGTGCGGGCGGCCCCGCCTCCGGCCCCGGAGGGCCACGGGGCCAAGGCCGGGACGCGGGCGGGAGGGACCGGGCAGAGCCGCCCCGAGCCGGGCCTGCGGGGGAGTGCGCGGAGACGCCCTCGGCCGCCCGCGGTCGGCCGCCGTCCCCTCCCTCAGCCTGTTTCTCGCGGTCGCCAGGACCCTGCCCGCCCGCGGTCGGCCGCCGTCCCCTCCCTCAGCCTGTTTCTCGCGGTCGCCAGGACCCTGCCCGCCCGCGGCTCCTGGGCCCGGCGGCCCCGAGTTCTGGCCGGGCTCGGACGGTGGCGGGCGGCTGAGCGGAGACCCGACCACCCGCACCCCCAGCTCCACAGCTTCTGTCTGTCCGTCTCCTCCCGGGCCTGTGCCTTCCTCGGACCCCAGTGAAAACCAAAACCAAAACCAAAACACAAAGATCGATCCCCAAAAGTCAGCTATACTGTTCAAAAGAAACGTTCCATTTAGTGGGAATCTAGCCCAAAATGTTAGAAACAGTCTGGCTGGTCATAAAAAAAAAAAAAGTTAATGAAATTAATGACTCCCCAAAACGTCTGATTCACACAGACTAATATATAGTTTTACATTCCTTACAGAACTGGAAATTGATCTTTTCTAAGCTCTCTTTCCCATTCCATAGCTACGATGCTTTTTTTTTTTTTTTTTTTTTTTTTTTTTAGTTTCTTTTTTTTTTTCTTTTTTGGTTTTTTTTTTTTTTTTTTTTTTGCATAGCATCTCATTTTTTCCCTCATTTTCTCAATGTGCTTTTAGCTTAAAGAGTTACTCTGAGGATGTCCGCCTCGCGTCGCCGTTGCTTTTTAAATGATGTCGCTAGAGGACCTGGTGACAGTGGTAGCGCTCCAGGAGAGACCCAGGCCAGCACTCGGCATTACCAGCTGCTTGCTGGGCTCCACCCTCGGCCCCCACTTTGGGTCCTTCGCCCCTCTCTCCATGATTCCTTCTCTCTCAGGGGGACTCGCTTGTGTTTATTTACTTTTGCTTTTTCTGAGACAGGGTGTCGCTCCGTCGCCCAGGCTGCAGTGCAGTGGCGTCATCGTAGCTCACTGCAGCCTCGAACCCCGGGACTCCGGCGGCGCCACCGCCTCGGCCTCCCACAGCCGGGATTCCGGGCGCGCCCCCGCGCCGGCCTTTATTTGTTTACCGCTCTCTGAACCGCGGCCCGGGGTTGGGCAGCAGGAGAAAGTCCGCCTCTTCCTGCCCGCGAGAACGGTGCCCCGGGCGGGGCCCTGCGCGACGCGCGTCCCCTTACTGCCCTCGCGTGGTGGAAAGCGGGCATTGCTGAGAGCGGCTAAACCGAAGGACGTGAATTCAGCTCGCCCTTCTCCAACAGACTAGGAAGTCAGTAGCTGCAAAGGACGCATGGACGGTTATGATGGTTTACTGAGACGTGAAGGAAACCCTCGAATGCTGTCAGTTAGCTGCCTTTTTAAAATCAGAGGGATGCAGGGTTTAACATTTTTCACTTAAGATCCCAACACTTGTTATCTTGAACAGAAATCCATTCTGTCGTGCCGCCATGGAGGGCTAGGTAAATAGCTACTTTTGAAAAATCCTCAAACTTACTACCTAGGGTAGGGAAGTACAAGCTTTCTTTCTTTTTTCTTTCTTTTTTTTTTTTTCTTTTTTTTTTGAGACAGAGTCTCACAGTGTTGCCCAGGCTAGAGTGCCGTGGCATCAGCCTAGCTCACAGCAACCTCAAACTCTTGTACTCAAGTGATCCTCCTGCCTCAGCCTCCCGAGTAGCTGGGACTACAGGCATGCGCCACCATGCTCAGATAATATTTTTCTAGTTTTAGTTGTTTGGCTAATTTCTTTCTATTTATAGTAGAGACAGGGTCTCGTTCTTGCTCAGGCTGGTCTCGAACTCCTGAGCTCAAGCAATCCTCCTGCCTTGGCCTCCCAGAGTGCTAGGATTACAGGTGTGAGCCATAGTGCCCGGCTGGGAAGTACAACCTTTAAGTGAGTCAACAAAATTTAAGGCGAGAGAACCGGGGCACAGAGACATCTTCCATACCTATATCTCAGTGACTGGGTATCCTACAGCCGCACACTGGACTAAAATATCATGTTAGGGTGTAAATGAATGAGAACCTTTCCATCCTTAAACGTGATAGGGAATTACGTCTAGAATATATTAAGCGAAAAGAAGCGAGTTGCACAACAATATACAGTAGATACCCATTTTTACAAAGCCCTAGCCTCCATTGGGTACTTCTCTTAGTTTTGCTCACCTCGGTTATTTTATACTCTGAAAATTCTTTTTTTTTTTAATTTCTTTTTTTTCTTTTTCGCTCTAATTTAGAACTGGAAAGAAAGATGAAAATTCTTTTATTCTTCCCTTATAACTATAATAACTGCCATGAAAACAGTATGGCTAGGTGCAGGGCAAGCATTACCCGAGGAGAGTTCATGTCAGTACAGAGTGGATGTTTCCCACCCTGACTTGACAGTGTGTACTTAGACGCAGTAGTTCCACCCAAAGGATGTGTGTATGTATGTACAAGCATGCGTGCATACATGTTACATATGGAGAAAGCAAATGTAGTCAAATACCAAGAAATCAACATTCCTAGGAGAATACATTCAGGTATATTTTGGGTTTCTCTGTATGTTTAAAATTTTTCAAAATGTTAATAAAAAGATGGAGGAATATTGTGTCACCTGGACTTTAAACCAATGCAAAACTTAATGCAAGCAGGTTTACTAGACTGATTCGTCTGGCACAAGATGGGCCATGGCTGTTTAATTTTATAACTTTTAAGACTGTCTAAGTGAACTATATTATTCTAATACTTGAGAAATTATTTATAAGTATGGCTTTCAGGTTTCTTTTATTAGTTCCTAATGTGCTAGAGATGAAATCTAGCTTTTTATTTAAAAAATATTAACAGGAAAATTCAACTACTGCAATCTTCTTAGTTTTTCAAAATGGACCAAAATAGGGCTATGTTCTTTCTAGAGAGAAATTTTATACAACTCTGCTTAAGAACTAGGCAAAATATAGGAGTAGAGAATGGATACAGATCAACATTTTATAGGTCCCCATAAATTATTATTATTATTTTTTTTTGAGACAGAGTCTCACTCTGTTGCCCAGGCTAGAGTGCCGTGGCGTCAGTCTAGCTCACAGCAACCTCAAACTCCTGGGCTCAAGCAATCCTCCTGCCTCAGCCTCCCGAGTAGCTGGGACTACAGGCATGCGCCACCATGCTCGGCTAATTTTTTGTATATATATATTAGTTGGCCAATTAATTTCTATTTATAGTAGAGACGGGGTCTCACTCAGGCTGGTTTTGAACTCCTGACCTCGAGCAATCCACCCACCTCGGCCTCCCAGAGTGCTAGGATTACAGGCGTGAGCCACCGCACCCAGCCGGTCCCCATAAATTTCTATGAACATATGCTTGTCATAGAAATACAACAAAAAATAATTGAATTTTCTGCAATCAGATCACTGATATAGTTAATTTTCTATTTGTTCAATGAAGGTTTGATAGGTTTTATTACATGCAGTTCTCCTAAGCCTAAAACTCTCTCTAAAGGCAACAGGACCTAGGACAATTAAAAACTACTGAAAAGCCAGGTGTGGTGGCATGTACCTGTAATTCCAGCTACTAGGGAGGCTGAGGCAGAAGGGTCCCTTGGGCCTAGGAGTTCTGAGTCCAGGCTGGGCAAATTTGGAAGGAGAAATTTTTTTAATTAAAAAAAGAGAAAAACCACTGAAAACATCAGTTGTGTTCACAGAGTTGTAAATCATATTTAAGAACTGTGAAATATGAGAAACCCTACAAAGAACAGCTTCAACACCTATTTACCCTGCATTCACAGACTAAACCGAAGCATTGGGCACGGACAGCCAACTTGGACTCTAGCAATCCTCAAACATGTCTAGACGCCTTGGAGCACCCTTATTACCATTTTACTTAATGAAGGCTTTATGCAATCCTTCACTCCCCCATCCTCATTCAAGATACAGAGATTTAAGCACAGGCAAAATGATATTCCCAGGCTCTTTTAAAAGGACTTTGTTTTGTGAACCCTGGCATGTTTCATGATTCATATGTGCATCCATGTCGATCTTGCTCTAGTACTTCTAAAAATACAGGATAGTATAGCTATAGTATAGTGCAGCTATTTGGGTTTCTACTGAATAAAACCAAGATTTAGAACTCAGATATAACTCTTTTAAAGGGAATATAAAATTCAGACTGAAAATGGCTGGCTCATACATCTATAAACAGAACTTAAATCATTCACATTTATTCATTAAGGCATGCAGAACTTGGAAGACTATAATATACTTATTTTTAAAAACTGAGCCAAAAAGTACATACTGCTTACACAATATTTCTATTTTTCTTGGACTGAGACACAATCAATGCTTCAACACAGCCTGTGCAAGTAATCAGCTAAGCTTTGATATTCCTTTGCAAGTAATTCCTGATGCCTAAAAGGGATAAGGCTGTATTCACTAATTCTATGAATTCTAACAGACTGTACTTTTGGATGCAACTGTATCATAGGACTTACAGAAAATAAATTCAGTACATCAAGATAAATATACTGCAATGTGAGGTTTGAACGTGCTACCAGGAAGTCAAATAGTTATCTACTTATTGTTCACTGAAATTTAAAATGCCCTACACCAATTTTGCCAAGAACTCAAGATACTATACTCAGTGACAATCACTTCATTCTTCAAGGAACTTTCAAGAGACAGGTCTTTTTTCCCCTCTTGCTGGGCCATAGCTCAGACATGGGAAATAAACAGAATGGTCAAGATTCTGAGGAAAATTCCTGCAAAATATATATACTGCAAAAGTAACTCCACTTTCTTTCCTCCCTTTCCTCTGCAATATTCCTTTTGAGCTGAGGTTTTCTAATTTTAGGGGGCGTAGCCCATAGTGTCCTCATTTAAAAGATATTTCCTAGTCCCACAGCCCTGAAACCCTAAGTCAGGAGGTCTGGGGAACCAGGCAGAGGAGTGTGCTTTTGACAAAGACCCCGAGGTGATTCTAATGCGGATGGGTCTGCCCCACTCTCTAAAACACACTTTAAAGACAGTTCTTCCTCCAGAGACCACAGGGACTTCTAAGTACCCAACACTGTCTATAATCATGACTCTTCACGAAGCTGATATCCTTAAGTGCACACTCCACTTAGCTCACTTCCTCTCCACAGGCCAGCCACCAAGGAAAGCACAGCATTCAGGACATACTCCATACTGAAAGTGGTTCAGATTTAGTCATCACTGTTTGGGGGGGGGGTGGAGGGAAAAAAAAAGCTCAACAGTATGTTTATCTTACTCAGAGGTTTCCACACATTTTATTTTGCAGACCACTGGTTTGTAGCTTTGGAGGACCAACATCTGTATAAATTCCTATAAAATGTCCCATTAGTTTCAGTTCTGCAGCAGCCTCTTCTGTACTGCACACCATGCTGTGGCCCGAGTTCCAGCTGCACATGCATAAAGGCTGCTAGATGGTTCCTGAGGGCGGAGGGGCATCCATGCTAAAGCCAGGGAGCTTCATCTTTCCAGCGGTGGTTTCCTTTGGCAAGAAGTGGATCGGTCTACACGCTCGGCTTTGGTGCCTGTAACCAGGAAGCATCCGGAAAACTTGAAAGAAGTGGTGTTTTTTTCTCTTACGAAGACAAAACACTTGAGGACTCGGTGCCCTTGTGCTTAGTGACAGGAATCCCTCACGATTGTTTAGTAGGTTAAAATATAAGAAAGCCTCTGGTTTTAAGTAACACAGATAACACCTTTTTAGGTTGCCTATTTATTCTAGAACTACAAAATTTAATTCAAGAAAATATAGGTCCCATGAAAGACTTGAAAGTTTTATAAAACTAAAATCTAGTTTTCCCCGATAAATTGTACTTTAGGCAAAAATCCTCCCAATGCTTCTAAAATAATACTAAAAGGGGCATCTGATTATACAAGAGCAATTAAAAAAATTAAATATTTATTTGAATAACAAGTTTTAAGTTCAAGCTGCAATGTTGGCAATGCAGATTTTTAACACAGATCACAAAAAGCGTGCACAAAAAATACTGGCGCAAAGGACAAAATAATGCTAAGAATTCGGCTAAATAGCTGCTGATTTTAAGAAAACAAAAGGCTTGAAATTACTATACAAAATATAAAATGTATTAAACACTACCATCCACAGAACAGTCTTTATTATTGAGTATATTTAAAAATTATTTGCGTAATTATATATTGAATTGTAAATGAGTATTATACATGAACCCCCTTTTGGAAGGCAATTCCTTCTTGCACTATAGAACAGTATAGTATCATTGCAAAAAGTATCCTTTTTTTGCTATCAAAGAAAACAGTTAATGGTATTACTGTAAATATCAGGAAGGCTACAAAAAAAGAAATAGGATTTCTTTTTTGTCTTCCAAGTGCTTTCCATGCAGCGTGAAGCACTTGCCTTGTGGAACTGAATGCACTACTGGACAATGTCCTGGGTCCGAGATGCTCTCGAATGACAAGATCAGGCTTTACAAATCAAAGACTCAAAGGAATCATGCAACCCTCTTACTACTGGGATACTGTTGTGTGCCACTTACCAATGCTGTCTTTCCAGAACACCATTCAAGACACTTAAAAAAAAGATCAGACTTATATGATAAATATACATAAAATGAAAAGACACAAACTGCTATTTGACACTACTATTGGTAATGTCTGTGCTATGTGAAAGCACCTTTAAAAAGAGCCTATGCGGCAAGAGATAAGTGTCTAAAGATTCAAAATGAATCAACAGTATTGGATAACAATATAATTCTCAACTCAGAAGCTGCCTCAAGATTAGGTGCATCTTCAGTTAATGTAACAGGAAAAAAAGGCAATGGATTTTATTTTATTAATTGTATCCACTCACAAATCGACCTAAGGTCACCAGATGTGTAGACACAATGAGATTTTTGTTGTTTATAGTCTTTAATTGAAGTGATGATAAAGGAAATAGATCTATTTAAAAACAAAACCAAACAGCTATTTCTGTCTAGATTAAGAGGTGGCCCCGGGTGTGGGATTCACATTTTGAGTGGCCACTTGCGGTGCGACTTCGATGATCCGGGGTTTGTCTATGATCCTGGCTGTGCGGTTGCCCTTCTCTACAATCCCAATAATCCATGCTTGGTGACCTTCGCCGTATTTGGGGGACTTTATCTCTGCACAGAACCGAGCTGCTTGCTCTCGTGGTAAACAGATCAGAAGGCCTCCTGGCAAAGGAAAAGAAGGAAGTGCCATGAGTTGTGACATCAGAGCAGCTTCTCTGCCTCTATCCTTCTAAAAAGCTTCTGCTCGGTTCCAAGTTCCATCAACAACTTGCTCCTATTTGCAAGTTGCTCTTCCCAATCAACTAAGAAGCCTGCTCCGTTCTGCAGAACTACCAAGGAATTAGGCAATGTCTTGGTAAACTCTCACTCTGTTAAAACACACATACACTCACAAACCAACACATTCTTTTTTTTTTTTTTTTTTGAGACAGAGTCTCATTTTGTTGTCCAGGCTAGAATGAGTGCCGTGGCATCAGCTTTGCTCACAGCAACCTCAAACTCCTGGGCCCAAGTGATCCTCCTGCCTCAGCCTCCCGAGTAGCTGGGACTACAGGCATGCGCCACCATGCCCGGCTAATTTTTTGTATATATATATTTTAGTTGGCCAATTAATTTCTTTCTATTTATAGTAGAGACGGGGTCTCGCTCTTTCTCAGGCTGGTTTAGAACTCCTGACCTTGAACAATCCACCCGCCTGGGCCTCCCAGAGTGCTAGGATTACAGGCGTGAGCCACCGCACCCGGCCACAAACTAACAAACTTTAAACTGTGAAATGACCTATGTGTGAACCATTTAATGCTTCATAGGAGAAGATGTTTGGGGCTCAATAAGTAAGATAGTGGTAGCTCTTTTTTCCATGCTACATTGAAGGAAATAGTGACTTCTGCTTTTTAATTTGACTGTCTACAAGGCTTCTTTCATCTTACCAAGAACATTTTTTTGGTGGCGGTTGGGTTTTTTTTTAAAATTTAAGACTCATGAAAGAGTGTTTGCCTCAAAGTATTTAGATTCTAGTCCTGACTCTGGGATTATCTTCAAAACAGAGAAAATAAAAATACATTAAAATAAACCTTTGTAACCAGGCATAGTGGCTCACACTTGTAACCCCAGCACTTCAGGAGGCCAAGGTGGGAGGATTGCTTGAAGCCAGGAGTCCAAGACCAGCCTGGACAACATAGTGAGACCCTACCTCTACAAAAAATGAAAAAATTAGCCAAGCACAGTAGTATGTACACTGATAGTCCCAGCTACTTGTGAGGCTGAGGCAGGAGGATCACTCAAGCCCAGGAGTTTGAGGCTACAGTGAGCTATGATCGGACCACTGCAATCCAGCTTGGGTGACAAAGAGAGACTCTGTCTCAAAATTAAATAATTAATTAAATTAAACCTTTGTTGCTATTTGTAGCAGCCAGGCTGAAACATTTTATTTCTAGGTAGAAATAACACAATCAGAAAAAAATGTATATCCTACTCTACAAAAAAGTAAAAACTTCTCATATCTATAAAGGAAACAAATTGGCGATATTATTTCATTCAACATCCATTCAACTCCCACTAGGTGGCAGACCCTGTTCTAGCCAGATATTCAACCAGCAGGGAACAATCTCTGTCCTCTTGGGGCTTACTTCTAGAAAACATTTTGTTTCTTAAATGGGAATCTAAAGGGCCTTCTCTCTCTAAAGGCTATGAGAGGCTCACAGAGCCCTGACACCCCACGCCACCCACCGTCCAGGGCTAAGGTGAGCAGGGCTTTGTGGCCCAGCAGTGTGGTCACCGCCTCTGACCTACGCCCGAATCATCCGGGCAGCATTTATGGTCACTGAGGCCTAGATCTCTCCCCCCCTACCCCCACCCCCACCCCGGGCAGATCACACCAGGTTTTTCAGAGGCTGGGTCTAGGCCTGTGGATTTTTAAAATTCCCAGGTAATTTCACTCCTTTGCCAAGATACAAAACTAGTATTCTAGAAAAAAGGAAACAGAAATAAGAGAAACTAAAAACAGGGGAAAAAAGTAGGGAGCCTTAAAAGATGAAACAGGATTCAAGGTAAAGAGAAAAGAGGAAAAGAAGGCAAAAATAAAAATGGCACTTTGAATTTATTTCAAATGCTAAGTTTCCGATGAAAATTGAATAATGACTTATTTCCTCCATCTTCTCCCTCTCCCAAGCCCATCTCCGCATTTTGACATGAGAAAGGAGAGCACAGGTCACCTGACTTAACACTGCTCGAGGACACCCAGGACAAAGGGGACTGCAGCAAAGGGGAGGCAGGAGGACCCCAGGCCACCAGGCTGCCCTACAAAGTGGGGTCCCAGGCATGGCCTGGGCTGCTTCTTCCTCATGGAACTTTCCATCAGCCTCACTAGCTTAATCCTGAGGCTGGGCCCAGCGTCCTGTACCTGACGTCTCCGGGCAGGTCCCGTGCATGAGGCCGAACATGTTCCCGCAGGCCTTGCTCACCGCGGCCATCTTGGCCAGCACGGGAAGGTTGTGAATCACAAACGACACCTCGTTCCGCTGCTGCTTGGCCAGGTTCTGCGCGTGGCCCAAGATCCCGAAGCCTGTGATGTCGGTGGCCGCGTGGGCATTGAACGTGTGCATGAGTCCTGCGGCTGAGAGGGGACAGAGGGGTGACTCTGAGGGAAAAATGCCTTTCTCAACTCAAGTCACACACACAACTGATCTGAAAATTCCTCATCTACCAGGGACATGGCATACAGGAATAGTGAAAATGTAATACACTGAAAAATCAAACCAAACCAGAGTGAAATTCTGATTTTTTTTATTTCAACTTGAACCACCTGGAAACTATCAGAAGCTTCAGTCAGTAGTAATTTTCCAGTTAATAAAAAAAACTATACAGAGGAATTATAATCTCAATGGAAGGTAAACCTGGCAAAACTGTCCTAGAATCAAAGAACTGGACTTTTTTAAGAATGCCTAACTTAAAATCAAGGTACTCTCGCTAGGGATGAATTAGATTAATTGCCTAAAAGTTTAATCTTTTTGTGTTTTAATTAAAAAAGAATGTGTAATTTTTGGAGTAGTTTTGGGTTTAGAGAGAAATTGAGTAGAAAGTACAGGCAGTTGGCATATAACCCTTCCCTTAGTTTCGCATACATTAACATTAGTTGGCAGTACATCTTCTGAGTCAATACTAACGCGTGACTATTACCTGGGGCAATAGTTTAGAGTTCACCCTGCTGTCAATTCTGTGGGTTTTTACAAATATGTAACGATATGTATCTAACCTATTACAGGATCATGCAGCAGTTTCCCCACCCTAAAATGCCCTGTGCTCTGCCCATTTGCCCTCCCTCCCCCTGGCCCCTACTGATCTTTCTGCTGTCTCCATAGTTTTGCCTTTTCCAGAATGTCATGTAGCTGGAATCCTACTGTACAGCCTTTTCAGACTGGCTTCTTTCCACCCAGCAATATGCACTTAAGGTTTCTCCATGTCTTCACGTGGCTTGATAGCTCATTGCTTTTTACTGCTCGATATTCTGTAGTATGAATGCACCAGTTTGTTTATCCATTTGTCTACTGAACAAATGGTTGCTTCCAAGCTTTGGCAATTATGAATGCTGCTGCTATGAACATCTGTGTGCAAATGTCTGTGTGAATATAAGTTTTCAATTTCTTTGGGTAAATACCAAGGAGCACAATTGCTGGATCACATGGTAAATATATTTAGTTTTGTAAGAAACTGCCAAAATATCTTCCAAAGTGGCTGTACCACTTTTCATTCCTACCAGTGATAAATGACAATTCCTTTCATTCCATATCCTTGCCAGCATTTGGTGTTATTAGTGTTTTAGATTTTTGCCATTCTAATAAATGTGCAGTGATATCTCATTGGTGCTTGAATCTGCAATTCCCTAATGACAAATGATGCTGGGCTTCTTTTTATGTTTATTTGCCATTAGTACCTCTTCTTTGGTGAGGTGTCTGTTAAGGTCTCTGGACCATTTTATAATTGTTTTTTTTTTGTTGTCGTCTTATTGTTAAGAGTTCTTTGTATATTTTGGATACCAGGTCTTTATCAGGTATGTTTTACAAAGATTTCTTCCCAGTCTGTGGCTCGTCTTTTCATCCTTTTAACAGTGTCTTTCACAGAGCCAAAGTTTTTTTATACTGATAAAGCCCAATTTATCAATTTTTTCTTTCACAGATAGTGCTTTTAGTGTCGTATCTGAAAAGTTACCGCCGCCAAACTCAAGGTCACCTAAATTTTCTCCTGTTATCTTCTTCGGGTTTTATATTGTTGTGTTTTACAATTAGGTCTATGATCCATTTTGAGTTAATCTTTATGGATGGTGTAAAGGCTTGTCTAGATTCATTTTGTGCATGTGGATGTCCACGTATAGGAACATTAATTATTGAAAAGACTTTTCTCCATTGAATTGCCTTTCCTCCTATGTCAAAGGTCAGTTTGATTATTGTGCGGCTCTATCTCTGGGTTCTCTATTCTGTTCCTTTGATCTGTAACTTTTAAGTTACTTACAAGTTAGAAAAATACAGAAAATTTTTATTTTAAAATGAATCTCTCGAAGTAGGCAAAAGGAAACTTAATTTATTGGCACTTCTTCTCTGGCAGAGAACATTAGCCATTAAAAAGTATGCATACTAGGACATATGATAATATAGAAAAAAGAATTTAGTAATGTTAAATGAATAAAAGCAGACTCCAAATAGATAAAAAAATTATATTAACTACTAGTTTAAAACAACAGTAAATGATCAACCAAATGTAAAAAAAAAAAAGTTTGGGAAAAATACATAAAAATACTAACAGAAGCTGTTTTTGGGTGGTGGGAATATGGAACTATGGACCATTTCTTTTTCTCTACTATTTTCCATTTTCTAAAAACTTTTCTATAATGAGCATATAATTCTTTTGCAATAGAAAAATATGTAAAATAAATGGGAAAATAAGACACATTTAAAAACAAGTTTTAAAATGTAGTGCACCATTGTAAACTGTGGCGAACGTTCTGGAAAACAATGTGGCACTAACTGGAAAAGCTGAGGCAGTACTGCCCTCTTCCCACGAGCATCAGAAAGCTTGCCCAAGAGGTTCATAGCAATAATCCAACATCCACCCACAGTGGACCAGGTGAGTCGGTTACACTGTGGAAAATACATATGTGGACATGTTTGAACCACAGCCACACACAAGGAAGACTCTCAGGAACATTAAATGGTGGATGAAACAAGTAAAAAAAAAAAATGCGAAACTGATTTATTGTTTAAGGACATGAGCCTGTGTGATAAGAAATACTCTAAAATGCAAGAGAATAATACACAAAATTCAGTGGTTACCCTTAGCAGAAATGCAGATGGGGTGCAGGCACCTCTGGGCTTTCAGGGCCATGTTCTGGAAATTACTTCCGGAATAAAATATTTTCTCAATTTCCATTGTAATGTTGGTCTGCTTCCAAATCATTTACATAGAGCAACCTGACAGATGTTTTCTAGAAACAGTTCGCCTGGCATGTCAGGTCAGAACTTCAAAATATCCACAAAAAGTGCTTCCTTCTAAATTATAAAAATGTAACTGGCGCTTTCTATACACATATGAAAGCCGATAAAAACTGTGAGTATATGGTGCTTAAACTACATCAGGTGATTCCCTTGGCGAGCTTTGTTCTAGTACAAGTCACATTTAACACTCCTTTCTGCTGAGGACACATCATGTATTTAGGTTCCCATTACCGATGCTCCTTGGGCACGATGGGGTTAGGTCCTGATAAACCTGCTGTAAGCTGAAAACGCGTTTACTGCACCTAACATCGCAGCTTAGCCTAACCTACCTCAAATGCGCTCAGAACACTTGGCCTACAGTTGGGCAAAAACACTGAACACAAAGCCTACTTTATAACAGAGTGTTGAGTGTCTCGTGTCATATACTGAATGCTGTACTGACAGTCACAAGCAGAATGGCTGTGCAGGCACTCAAAGCACAGTTTCTGTGGGGTGTGTAACGCTTTCACATCACAGTGGGATTAAAAACCACGAGCTGCCCCATCGTAAGTCGAGGCCCACCACCTATGGAAGCCAAACAGGTGCTAGCAGAAGATGGTCTAAAGTCACTGGCCAAATATGTCCCCAGCTAAGAGTTTTTTTTTTTGGGGGGGGGAATCAATATGACCCTGAGACCACAGTGACCTGCAAAGCCTGGAACATTTACTGTCTCAGCACTTGAGGACGTCTGCCAACCCCCCTCACCCGATGCCGTACCTGTCCTGTTGAGTCTTGCCATGTTCATCATCGCCTCTTGGTAGGCCAACTCCACGTCTTCTTGGGTGACCACTAGTTTAATTTTATTCCATTTTTCAGGCTAATAATAGGAACACAAGTGAGGGAGAAAAGACGGGAAAATGTGATTACTCTTTACTGCTAGCCACTGGGCAAAAAGACCAACAAATTTTTCTTAGTCATCTTCTGGAGAGCTTTATCTAATTTTATACAGAAAAGTCAGTTTTCTAACTCTCTGGTTTTTCCGCGATTAGTATTTGAAGTATGCATTAGAACCTGTCCAGTATAGCCCTGCTGCTTCTGTCGTCACCGCTATCTTCTCTAATGAAGTATACCGTGGCGTCTGCGGTACGTACACCTGGCAGGACGTCGCTGTGCCGCCGCGCACACAGCTGCAGCTGCTCATCACGGCAGCGTGTGAATCACATCATTAACAGCTTTGCGTGTCCTGTTTCTTCTCCATATCTCCCACATTAAACTGCGCCACGCTTTACTTTCCAATTATTAGCGTGCTTTAACTGACTTTAACTCTGAATTTGGAGTTCAAGCCTATGGTTCGGATGCCCCTACCACGAAGCAATACACAACAGAGTTTAGATTCAAGAGACCCCTCGGAGGCACCGACCTCCGCCGGCGCGCCCGCCCGCTGTCGCGGGGTGACCAAGAGAAAAGGGCATCAGAAGAGAGGACAAAATAAATGCCATTCTCTTTTTCCCTTAGGTGTGGGATTTTTCGAAAATGTAGTGTCAGTGATGGCGGGAGTACACTGACAGTCAGTCAGTGCCGATTAACTACCCATCGTGCGGCCGCATTCCTGTTGCTTAGTAGTTAGTATATTGTATTTTTTTGTTGTGGCCCAGCAGGTGCTGTCGCTTTGAGTGCCCCAGGCTGAGGCGGAGGTGAGTTGCGTGGCGTCGCAGCCTGCTACAAGCAACCTGCGCAATCCTTGGGTCCAGTGGTCCTTCTGGTCCCTCAGCTCACCGAGTAGGCTGGACTACAGGCATGACGCCACCCATGGCCGCGGCTAATTTTTAGTATAGTCATGCGTATGATGCGTTGGCCAGTTAATTGTCGTTTCTATTTTGTAGAGACGGCGGGTCTCGCTCGAGGTGTGGTTCTTGAAACGTCCTGACCGTGGAGGGCAGTCCGGCCGCCTCCGGCCTCCCAAAGAGCTAGGATTAGCAGGCGTGAGCCACAGCGCCCGGACCGCTTGTGGTATGTGTGTAGTCCTATTTACGAAACAGTGAGAATTACGCTGCGGCACCCCCCCAATGGCCGCGCGGTGTAACTAGAGTGGGCAGTTAACTGCTGCTGTTGCGGCCGCCGGTGCATCTGTTGCGCGACTTTGGCTGGGAATTTTGCCACTCATTCCCCCAGCGCTTGGTTGTGAGATGTCGTATTCTCCTAAGCAGGCCGGGATGCGCGCCTAAAGCTGAGGTTAGCCCTTGGTTGTTTCTGACCTTTACAGAAAGTATACTGTGCTGTTAGACAGTCTTTAGAACTTGTTTTATTCAATCCTGAGCATTTTAAGAAATACTGGTTAAAAAACGGCAAAGGCAGGCGGCAGGCGCTTGTGGCTCAGCCTGTAATTCCTAGCTCTTGGGAGCCGAGGCGCCGCGGCATGGCTGTTCAAGGTCAAGGAGTTCCAAAACCAGCCTGGCAAAGAGCTAGACCCTGATCTCCACCGAATAAATAGAAGATATTACACTTGAGCCAACTGAACTACTTATACTATAAAAAAAAAATAGCCGGGCATGGTTGGACATGGCTGTAGTCCAGCTATCGGCGAGGGCGTGAGGCAGAAGGATCACTCAGACCCAGGAGTTTGAGTTGCTGGTGAGCTAGGCTGACGCTAACGGTGCCTGCACTTAGCCTGGACAGCAAACGAGAACTCTGTCTCAAAAAAAAAAAAAACGGCAAAGGCGGCCCGGGTGGTGGCTCACGCCTAGTTATCCTGAGCACTCTGGGAGGCTGAGACGGAGCGGCATGCTGAGGTCAGGAGTTCGAAAACCAGCCCTGAGAAGGAGTGTACCCGCGTCTCTACTGAAAATAGAATATAATTAATTGGCTCAACTAATATATACAGAAAAAATTAGCCAGGCATGGTGGCGCATGCCTGTAGTCCCAGCTACTCAGGAAGCTGAGGCAGAAGGATTGCTGAGCCACGAGTTTTTAGGTTGCTGTGAGCTAGGTGATGCCATGGCACTCACTCTAGCCTGGGCAACAAAGCGAGACTGTCTCAAAAAAAAAAAAAAAAAAGGCAAAGGCGGTGCCAACTGAGGAGTGGAGAGAACTCAGGGAACCCCAAGCCCCTGTCTCTGGCAGCCCTGCCTCACCTGCCCCCAGCCCCCCAACCAGGTCACGCGGGCCTGGGCAGTCGTGCTGGGAAGCACCTCTCTGGCTTATCCTTGGTGATGACCTGACCTTCCACCCCACTTTACATCACCAGGTAAGGAGGGGAAAAAAGCAAAAGAATGTGACAGCCTTAGAGAATTTCTCTACTCTGCTATCTCAAGCTAAGATACACCAGGGCTGATGAAAGACATACAATTATTGATTATTCTTTTTCAACTGCTTCTCGGGACTAGTAGTTTCAGATGATAGTTGTAGAAATTGAATGCACCATGGTATGTGAGAATATACCACAATCTTATTAATTTGTGAGTTGTTATGGCAATGAAAAAAAGTCAATCTTAAATAAGATTACAGCTCAGTGGGAAAATGGCTCAGGAGAAATATCCTCATATTCTAGATTTACTCTCCATAAGGGAATTATTTATTAAAATGTTCTGAGTTACTAATCAGTTTAAAAAGACAAAACTACCAAACAAAAACTATCCCAAACCCCATGACTAAAACAATTTAAACTGTCAACAGCCCTGGCCTTATTTATATCCAAACCATTACACTCTTCACAAATTCTCTTCCACCTTTTTTTTAGTCATGTTGATAAGATGTGAAAGACAAAGCTATCTGGCACCAAATAAATAGACAAAGCCTCCCAAATTCTTTATAGAAAATCCATGAAGCCCCACGCTGGGTCTTACCTACTGTGATCAAGCATTCAATACATGAAACTTGCACTTACTTTACCAAAAACTCATTCACCCTCCCGCCCGTCACACGCAGTGGTTTACTCACGATATCCAGCCACTGGTGCACAGCGACAGCGACCTGTGTCCCCAGGGGTTTCGTCAACACCAGCACGTCCCCTGGCACTGCGTTATCTGGCCTAAAGGAAAGAAAAAGAGCACGTTCTAGTCAAACTAACCGAGGAGATAAACTCATGATTACTGTAACAGGAAAGGGAAAATTCTGTACGAAATATATTTAGTTTTGCATTTAAATTTAAGCCAACTACCAGCATGTACTAGATTGTGCCTTGCAACTTCATACTAAGGCTATTGCTGGAGTAAAACATTAAACATATGACCCTAACCCTACTAGATTAAAGAAAAAGGGTACAAAGACACCAATCACTCAGCAGTCAAAGCTTTCATCAGGCCCACATTCCCCTCCGAGTGTCTCTGAGCACGTGTGTAATTCCCAATACAGACCCACAGAGCTCCAAAGTGATTTGAGGCAACAAGATTTTTGTAGTAAAGAATGATTTGTTTATAATCATTTATATGAAAGGCTCAGGTGGGACTTTCGGGTTATGGGATTTGGCTGGCATCTGTGGGTCTGACATCTTGGTGATTCTGAATCCAGGTTCTCAAACTCAGACTGACCTCTTAAGAGTTTCCTACTTGGTACCCAGACTCCCAGCTAGTCTCTGTGATAGACAGCAATAGGACAAAGGCAACCCTGAAAAGACAACGACTGATCCCCCAAATATCTACCGTGTTTGTATCCTCACTGCCAAGACACAGGTCTGCCAGTTCTCCCTTTCCCAGCTTGAGGAGTTGTCCACGTAGCTGTTACAGCCTGACACTGGACTCCTCAAATGCTCACCAAAGTTGGTGAAAACAAAAGCCAGGGCACAGACCTCCAAACCAACACCCTGTTTCCCAGCTCAACCTATACTATTTGTATCTACTCTCAGCTTTGAAAAATATAATTTTGTGATGCTATACAAGAAACCTGTTTTCCAAAAACTAGACCTGAAGACAGGAATGTCTTTCAATTTGGACTCAGCATGAAGCTGATGTTCTTGCATTTCAATAGTTTTATGCAATCTATGAGTTCATATCAATAGGGTAGGTGTGATAAAGCTGTTTTTGTTTTATTTGTTTTGAGACAGAGTCTCACTTTGTTGCCCAGGCTAGAGTGAGTGCCGTGGCATCAGCCTAGCTCACAGCAACCTCAAACTCCTGGGCTCAAGCGATCTTTCTGCCTCAGCCTCCCGAGCAGCTGGGACTACAGGCATGCGCCACCATGCTTGGCTGATTTTTTTATACATATATTAGTTGGCCAATTCATTTCTTTCTATTTATAGTAGAGACGGGGTCTCGCTCTTGCTCAGGCTGGTTTTGAACTCCTGACCTCGTGCAATCCGCCCGCCTCGGCCTCCCAGAGTGCTAGGATTACAGGTGTGAGCCACCGTGCTGGCCTGACAAAGCTGTTTGGTTATTTTTAAGTTTATGAGCAATATTAGACAAAATGTAATCATGCATATAGGCTCATTCATCTTTTACAGAGTAAACATACACGCACTGGCAAAAAATTCATTAAAACTGGTTTTATCCCTTTTTTCCTTCTCTGTTTTGCTACCATTAAGTTCTTTTTCTACCAGAAAGCTGGAATGTGTGAGACAGATGGAATTCAGGGTCTTTTGTCCCATTTAAGTGAAAAGTTTGAGAATTAATGACATAAAATGTGCACTGGGAAAATAAAACCTTGATTCAGTAAAATGCAAGATCCTTAATAGGAAAGCTGTCAGATATTGACCCTAAAAGGAGCTCCCACCAATTAAAAAAATGGGTAAAAGGTAAGAATACATGAAAAACACGCTCAACCTTATTCACAAGAATGAGGTTAAAACCACCCAACAGATCGGTATAGACGGTATAGACTCAGAAGTCTGTTACCTCACTGTGCTGGTTAGGATGCAGGGGAAACCAACACTCATTCACTGCTCATCGAACATAAATTGGTAGCAAAACCAGAAGCACACAGACCATCCAACCTAGCAATTACATTTAAAAAACAAAATCTTACCTACGGATTCATATGTTCAAAAAAATGATCTAAGCATAAATAAGGTAACTCACTGGAGGATTATTTGTAATGTCAAAATAACTGAAAATATCCTAAATGTCAGTAGTAGGTGAGTTAAAAATATACAGGGACAGGCAAAGAGGCTGCCTCTGGGAGAGAAACTGGGGGCCCCGGCACAGGTGAGGGCCTTTGCATCACAGTCCTTTCTACACTTTGTGAATTCTGAACCATGTGAACATAGCACCTTATTAGTACCTATTCAAAAAATAAAATAAATAATTGGAGTTTCCACATCCTTCAGAAAATAGAACAGGTAGGTTTTCTTAACAAAACATCAAATATGGAAAGTGATGACTTTGGTTAAGAGAAACTTCTCCAAAGAAGATATACAAATAGGTAATAAGCACATGAAAAGATGCTCCACATCACCGGTCATCAGGCAAATGCAAAACACAGATCAAAACCCACGAGATACCACTTCACACCAGGACAGCGAGAGTCAGATGGACAGACTAAAAATAAGCCTGGGAGGGGAGGTGGGGAAACGGGAATTCTCATACACTGTTGCTGGGAATGCGAAATGGCACAGTCACCTTGGAAATCAGTCTAACAGTTCCTCAAGTCAGACACAGTTACCATATGACTCAGTGTACTCTTAGGTACAGACCCAAGAGAGCTGGAACTTATGTCCACACGAAAAACTTGCGCCTGAATGCTCACAGCAGTATAACAGGTGGAAACAACCCAAAGGTCCACCGACTGATGAAAGGATAAACAAAATGTGAGAGATGCCCATACAATGGATGATTCAGCCACAAAAGAGAATGCAGTACTGACTTATGCTACAGTCTGGATGAACCTTGAAAATATTATATAAGTGAACGAAGCCAGACATAAAATGTCACACGTGGCATGAGTCCATTTATATAAAATGTCCAGAATTGGCAAATCCCTAGAGACAAAAAGTACATTGGTGTTTGCCAGAGGATGGGGGGAGGAGGGAATTGGAAGTAACTGCTAATGGACACAGGGTTTCTTTTTGGGGTGATGGAAATGTTCTGGAATTGGATAGTGGTCATGGTTGCACAACCTTGTGAATACTAAAAACCAGTAACTTGCATATTTTTAAATGCTGAATTGTATGTTATATAAAAAAATCAACTTACATGATAAATTCATTTGGCTGGCAGACAGTTGTAGCAACTCCTCCCAGAACAATCCAGGGGTTCAATACTGTTTGGCCACCTGTTACAGATGTTCCTGCTTCCTCTGCTGCGTCTTTAAAACCCTGTATAATCAGGGGCATCACTTTATCCCTTTCCTAGGATTTAAAAGGACACAAATGAAAAGTCAAATACTTCTATTCAAAACCCAGAAAGAAGGTACTACATTTGTAGTTACTAAAAGAATTGCAAAATCCTAAAGGAAGTCCTGAAAGTTTACACGGGGCAGAATGTAACAAAAGCTAGGGAATACTTCACACCCTAACTACTTTATCAATGCTGGAAGATGTTCTGGGTAACAATATGAACTACGCTGGGACAACACTGTATGTGACCAGTCCGCAGGACTGGCCCTAAGTGTGACGACCATGAGAAGTCAATTAGCTCTCTGATGCTCCTTAAGGATCCCAAGACCAGCTAGCTCACTATGCACAGGGATCCCGCTCTAGAGGCTTCTATCCTATCAAGGACTGCGAGGATCGGCTGAGGGCTGCCAACAACGCACGCGTGCAAAGCCCTCGCTGAGCCACAGTGCACAAGCAATGACCACAGCACACATGATGGGGCAGAAAAGGGCCTACTGAAAACTCGCATTTCTGCAAGGCAGGGCAAACCACTGGGGTCTTTTTGGATAAAAAACAAGCACCTGTCAAAAACCATCTAAATTCACCTCTGGTTCAAGGACACCGACACTGCCAGGCCACACCGAGGCCCGAGCACGTGAACAGGTGATGGCCCAGCCTCGGCACTGTCTACACCAGTGACACTCCCATCCACCAAGAGAGAAGGTGCCTGGCCCTAAGTGCCACCTGTCCCGGATTCGTAGGGTGGTGCCTGACCCCCGGGCCTGGCACTGAGGCACTATCCCTATGGCCAGAACTTTGTTAAAACCAATACACAGAAAAGTCTTGGTTTCAGTCTACCCAGAGGAGAGACAGGGAGCAGGTGGTAGAGATGAAAAGATGAACAGGCCAGACTCCCTCATTTTAATTTACTGATAACTGCCAAAAAGTGGAGAGCCGGAAGGAATCCTGGAAGCCATATGGCCTGGGCGCCTCACTTTCCAGATGGGAAACGAAGTCTAACCAAGGCCAGTGATGCGACCACAACCGCGTAGACCAGTGAGCAGCTGGGCGCCTCCTACTCACCCTGTCGGTCATTTTATTACTGACTCCAAGGAGCATCAGCATATTGTCACATTCTGTGACCCCCATCGCGTAGAGGTCGCTGAGGACATTGGCACATGCTATCCTGCCCTGGGAAGAGAGAAGACATGTGAGAAAGGACAACTGGGGACTTTCCATCTGTAGAGACAAAGAGTGAGCCCACAGAATGACCTCCAAGGAGAGCCAGGGGACTTTCCAGGAAGAGCAGCTACTGGGACATGGTCCTCAGTTTCCACGATTTACACACTCCGTTTGTTTAATCACAGAACCACTAGGCCATTCACTTTTTTCCCAGATATTTCTGTTACCATCTCTTCTTTCTTGTGCAGAACAGAAAATTTACAAGTTCTTTCCCATTCTAAATACTGGGAGGAGTCCGAGGTTTATTTAGACAGGGGAGGGAGTATATGTGGGGTGAGTAATGACAAGACAAGGTTAGAATCAATGGTCTCAGGGAGAGAGGTACGCAGTAAAAATGTCTGAATACAACTGTCCCAAAGCAAACTTAGAAACAGCCACTTCTAAAAAATGTTGATTTTAGTGGTTATAGAGAAGGAAATGGTGTTTGTGCACTTGCATTGAGAAATTCTTATAGCTTCTGTTCAAGGCTGTAGGAGATAAACAGGAAAATCATCTTGTTTGAGAAACAAACAAATAAATAAATAGACATCCAGGGCTGAAGTCATACTATTTTCGAAAGAAAAAGAGAAGCAGTTTCCAGTAAACCGTACCAGTTTATTAGGAGGTTTAAAATACAATTCAACAGAAATGTGATAATGCAAGATTTTTTTGCCATTGGAGATTTTTAAAGTGTACACTGCCATTGTCTAAATCATTATTTTTTTAAAGACAGTAAAGAGAAAATGACAATTTCTTCTTCTGTCACAAGGACAATCAAACTCCAAAGCAGTATTATTCCTGATGGCTGTTTATTTGCTTGTTTTGTGCTTTCTTATGGATTCCTAATAGATCAGCAATGCAGCTCAATAACCTCCTGTAGATGCACTTTCAACACCACCAAGCCTGACAGGGCCTGCAACTTACAGATGCCAATGACTGGTTAGCATGGCAGTGACTTACTGCCCCTTCTGTGCTGGGCACTCTCACTTTAGGAGATGCTACAAAAAGGACCATTTCCGGTTCTAGCCCCATCTCTGCCACCTGGTCAGGTGGGGCAAGGGTGTGGCTTACCCGCCCAGTCTCCAGAGTATTGCTCTAGAGGAGAGAACAGATGGATCTGCGGAGGGAGTATAGGTTTCCAATAAACTGTTTACTTGTCACTGGCACCTGAGACATGAGCGTCCATTTGGCTACCTCGTGCTCAAGTCCCCATGGGCGCAGCTCAATCCCAGAGTCCTTGCTACCCAGGAAGGACATCTGGCATTTTATAGCAAACGGAATATTCCCAATCTCTTCATCGGCTCCTCTTGGCTGGCAGGAAAGTGGGATTAAAGGTTGGGTGGATCAAAGAGTGGCTGGCTGCAATCATGCAAAGAACAATTGGGAAATACACCTGTGCGGCGCATGATCAGCAGCTGGGAACTTTAATTCAGGGCTCCGAGACATATCACACACGGCAACGTAAAACACCATGGTGGGTGGGTGGGTGTGTATGTGGCTGGGTGGGTGGAGTGACCAGATATCAGAATAAATGTTCAAGAAGTCTAATTGTGATGAGATGCTAAGCTGTATTTCTGGAAGGAAACATCTAGCATCATTCCTATTACAAAATATAGCAACATCTGCATCCTAAAATACAGGAGCATCAAAGAAAGAAAGGCCCAGGGAAGAAGGAAGAAAACGACAACAGTGTTGTCCGCAGACACTCGGCGACAGGTGTTCTCACACAGAGATCCTCAGCCACGGCAGCTGAGGGACTTCCCCGCGGCCACTGTAACTGCTTTACGCATCGTGCCAAGTGTGAGTAGGGGACAGGTCACACGGCCCCTTGCGAAAGCAGGGCGGGGTCAGTGTAATCTGGATGTTACAGAAACAAAACCAAAAGCCCACCCACACCGGCACAAAACCCCAGCCACAACCCAAAACCGACCGCACAAGCAGCTCTAGTTACAGAACGCGTTAGGTCAAACTCACCATCATGTAGGGGTCGTCTACGATAGGGTAAATGTAATCCGTGGTTTGAACCAAGGAAAGACCGCCGTGCCTCAGAGGAATGACGCAAGTATCCATTCCGATGCCTGCGGAGACGGAAGTCATCAGCACCCACACGTGAATCGGGAAAGCCATCTCCTATCCCAGCACCAGCGCCTGCACAGGAAGGGCCTGTGCCAGACACGTATGGAAACTGCGCCCTGCCAACCAGGCCATGTGTTTCCTATCAAGAAGCCTAACTGAAATCAACCTGAAACATAACTAGCTTGAGATAGAAAATAGGAATAAAAATGGTAGTCACCAAGAAAGACTTAATTTCAACATGGTGCAATTTTTAAACCTTAATGATGCCTTGAATAAAAATTTCCCTTTTTACTAGATTATTTTTTCTTGTATTGTTTTCCTGTATTATTGTATCATGTTCCTGGCACCATACAGACTTTCTTTAAGGAACTGTAATTCTTTAAAGAAAGAATTGCTTGAGCCCAGGAGTTGGAGGTTGCTGTGAGCTAGGCTGACGCCACGGCACTCACTCTAGCCTGAGCAACAAAGTGAGACTCTGTCTCAAAAAAAAAAAAAAAAGAAAAAGAAAAAGAAAACTACTGGGAACCCCCACCCCATTATCATGACAGCGACAGCCCTAACAGAGGCCGGGCCATGCAAGTACCTTATCTTTCCTGATGCAAAAATAAAATCAAGTTGAACAAAAAGCCACAGATTGTGAAGACAGGCTGATTTTTTACTAAACTACATGGCAAAACAGAAACTTGGTGGAAGACCCAGCTAGGGAATGCAGAATTTCAGAATATCAAGTCTCACAAATCTGAGACAACAGGACCACACTTTACTAGTGATCAGTTTTCATTTGTCAGACAAGAACATGTATAATTCATACGATTCATTCATTCATATCAAACAGCAGTTATGTGTGCAGTCTCTCAGAAATTTCTGTAACAATGCTCTTTAGCACCTCCATGGAAATAGGGTAAGAATCACACTTTAACTGAATGGATTATCCCCAAATTGATAATTCCAACAGCTGATTATTCTGTGTCTATAAGATTTACTTTGGAAAATAGTGAAATGTGACTACTAGCAAAAATTTAAATTACACATGTGGCTTGCCCGTATTACTTTTGGACAGCATTGGTCTCTAACTATCAGTCTAGAAATCACCTACTAAATTTCAAGGAAAGAAGAGAGGAGGGGTGAGCTTGAGATGGGTTATAGACCTTGGAAAACTAGGGTTTCAAACTGAAAGAGAGGGGCAGTCCAGGCAGAGGGCAAGCAGGACCGAAGGAAAATGCCACAGAGTTGGGGGCAGCCTTAATCAGACAGTTAAGGTTTAATTACCAAGAACTAAGGGGGAATTCTAGACCAGTTGCAGGTGGGTCACACCTATAATCCTAGCACTCTGGGAGGCCGAGGGAAAAGGATCACTTGAGCTCAGGAGTTCGAAACCAGTCTGAGCAAGAGTGAGACCCCATCTCCACTAAAAATAGAAAGAAATTAGCTGGACAACTAATAATATATAGAAAAAATTAGCAAGTCATGGTGGCGCGTGCCTGTAGTCCCAGCTACTCGGGAGGCTGAGGCAGAAGGACTGCTTAAGCCCAGGAGTTTGAGGTTGCTGTGAGTTAGGCTGACGCCACGGCACTCTAGCCCGGGCAACATAGCAAGACTATCTCCAAAAAAAAAAAGAAGCAATGGGAATTCTAGAACATTTTTAGCAAGATTGACACCTCCATTGAGAGAAATAACTCAAGTCATCATTCTACCACCACCACCACCATCGGTAATCAATACGTGATAGCTCTTAAGTACTAGGCAACAAATTTAACATTTCTTTAGTTACGATACATCCAATAAACATGTACACGTTTAAAAGCTGTTTTGGTTCACCCTTCAATTATACCATCTCAGAATCCAGAAAATATTGACATTCAATTAGAAAAAAATTAAAACCATAAACATACATATGTGTGTATACATATAAAACCTATATGTAAATGCATACAAATACACACATGTATTATGCACGCAGGTACAAATACCAAATGCACACTGTACACATACACAGAAAATTTCTGGTACCCACACAATGTCTAACAGTACCATTATCCCATTTCATAGATTAGGAAACTGAGACTCAGGAGGGTTAAACAACATTACTGACTACTAAGTGACAGTGCCGGGGAGTTATAAGTAGGAATTATTACTTCATCCTTAAGATTTAGTTTTTTTGTTTGTTTGTTTTTGAGACAGAGTCTCACTTTGTTGACCAGGCTAGAGTGAGTGCTGTGGCGTCAGCCTAGCTCACAGCAACCTCAAACTCCTGGGCTCTAGCAATCCTCCTGCCTCATCCTCCCAAGTAGCTGGGACTACAGGCATGCACCACCATGCCCGGCTAATTTTTTTTTTCTATATATATTAGTTGGCCAATTAATTTCTTTCTATTTATAGTAGAGACGGGGTCTGGCTCTTGCTCAGGCTGGTTTCGAACTCCTGACCTCGAGCTATCCGCCCGCCTCGGCCTCCCAGAGTGCTAGGATTATAGGCGTGAGCTACCGCGCCCGGCCAAGATTTAGTTTTTGAACATTAAATAGTTATCTTTCTTTTTTTTGAGACAGAGTCTCGCTCTTGCTTTGTTGCCCAGGCTAGAGTGAGTGCCATGGCGTCAGCCTGGCTCACAGCAACCTCAAACTCCTGGGCTCAAGCAATCCTGCTGCCTCAGCCTCCCAAGTAGCTGGGACTATAGGCATGTGCCACCATGCCTGGTTAATTTTTTCTATATATATTAGTTGGCCAATTAATATCTTTCTATTTATAGTAGAGACGGGGTCTCACTCTTGCTCAGGCTGTTGGTTTCAAACTCCTGACCTCGAGCAATACACCTACCTCAGCCTCCCAGAATGCTAGGATTACAGGAGTGAGCCACCGCGCCAGGCCAATAGTTATCTTTCTTGATAGCGACCTAAGAGCTTCCTCAGTGAATTCTAATTTCTTGGCAAGTAAGCAGACATGGAACCAAACTCACTCACTATTATTTCCCCACAGCTTACAGCTGGACAAGAGGGACAGTTTTCAAACTGAGCTCCTGGAGTCCTACAGGCCACTAGAGCCTGGGGTATAAGTTTTCCTCCTTCCCAACCAAGTCAACTCTGCTTTTATCTATACCCTGAGCTCAAAACCAATGTGGTCAGACAGGACGTTACAATAAAATAATGGGCAAAAAGAAAATGAAAACCTTAGGTAAGAAACCTGATCAAGTCACAAGGTCACTACAGAATACCCAAATCCTTAGAATACACGTCAAACATGTACAGGCAAAGTGATCATGGTGGTGCATCAGGTACTTAATAAGCCACACAATAAACATTAATAAACAATATCCCAAGCACCCAGAATTTCTTTCCAAGCTCTCTGGAAAAAAAGAAACTGCTACTGACATCAGGAATTTAACAGGGAAAAAAACACTGCCCTGGATCCCAGATGACAATCTGGGGTCAAGTACAAATTCATCTGGTCATCTCTGCCCCTTCTGTGTCTGGTGCAGTCCTGTCCCCCACTCCCCTCCACCCCAAAATTTTCAATGAATGCACACTGCAGAGTACCCCCAATTCCTCCCCAACAGTCACTGTTCTCCAAGTACTGAGGAGGATGCTTAAAGTAATGCCTTTCCTAGAGCAATGAACAGAATGTAAGCATTTTAGGGGTCATTTCAGGAAAAGGGCATAAAGGAGTTTCCGCTTAATCTTCAGCTAAGCAGAAAATTTAATTTAATTAAAACATGCTTTTACTGTGATATAATTATCTCAATTGCATACTCCACAGTTTAAAAATCGTTATAGCGCATATCTTGATGCTTTTCAAGTCCTTCCTCCAAATAAGTTAGAACAACATAACACAGTTATTATTAGATTGCTCTCTGAATCCTTACCAAAATTGAAACAAGAAAAAAAAAAACCCAACATGGGAGGAGATAAGTAGAGAAATCTGGTTTTTGACTCACTGATGGGTTGCAGACCGTCAAAGAAACAACAGTATACATACCAAGCCTCGGCATAACAGCTCCGAGAAACTGCTCATCTTCTTGGAAGTGGTTCTCTTGCAAGGGTTCCAGCAATTTCTGCAGGACATCTTGGGGCACCTTGCAGCCCGTGCCCTTCAGCTCGGTGAATCTGGTTAGCCGGAAGCTCTTGTCCAACTCATAACTCTCCGGGTTAAAGGACTCCCGCGTAGACATGGTTCTTGGGCCCACTCCTCACAGCTCAGCCCCTCCCCTCCCTCTCCTGGTTGGCTGAGTTCGTGACAGATCCACCTAAGGTATTGCCAAAACACAAAGACACCATTCAAAGAATTCCCAAGGTGCTGTCAAGGATCGGGTGAACATATGACAGGGAAAAAAAGTAAACGTGATTCAGGGCTCCTGATCCTCTCATCACAGTGATTCATACAGACAGGACAGTAGGTTGAACAGTAAGCAGGTCCCAAAGGTTCTTCTAGGGTGCAGCATTACAACTGTACTGCCTGTCCCCTCATCTGTCAACCAGGGAGCACCATGGCTTAGAAAGTAGAGATTCCCACTAAGGTGACTTTTCTGGAAAACCTTTTGGTATCTTTTGCTATCTCACGCAGCAAAAAGCGAACCGCCTAATACAGAAACTTAGTGGAAAAGGACAATCATGCAAATGCACTGGACGAAATTCCTTTTGATGCCAAGTCCTAATCTTAGAAAAACACGTTTTCCCTCCGAGCCAGGAGTATTCAACACCATCCAAAGCGAACAGGAGGCCTCGCTCAAGGGCACAACTTAAAAACTGGAATGGCTGTTTAGCACAGCAAGGTTTGTGTTCTTCAAGAGAACGCTTGGAAAGTTCTCTGATGTTTTAATGCAATGCTATTTCCTAGAAAGCAAACATCCCACCCAACAAACCAGTACACACATCATTGACAAAACATGCTACTGCTCATTACCATTTCATTGCAGAACTAATACAGTAAATTTAACCATACTAAACCACTAGCATTTATAGTACTGGGTACCACCATAAGTTTCTGGACTAAGACCTTCTAAGTTTTGTAGCCTTTGGGGCTCATGCAAACACCAACATGTGCTCCTAGGGTTTACAAACCTCCAGACTGATGCTTTATTGGGCATAGAATTACAGACACCCCAAGTTTTAGGGTCAGTTTTCCCCATAAAATTTATGATTAAGAACATAATTCCCATTTATAGAGTTTTCCATCCCCTGGGAAGCATATCACTCATTTAAAATAAATCTCACAAAGCCCGAGTATGGGCAGTCATCCAGACTGTCCTCGTTACAAAAACATGTTTGGGATGAACAGTTGAGCAGGAAAGTCAGTGGGAAACCTACAACTCTACAGGAGTAAACCTTCCAACACGATCCCCAGAAACCAACCTGCCCAAAAAGAGCAGGCGAGCAAAGGGAGTTACAGACAGGGGACTTTTGAAGCCATCTTATTGGAGCTAGGAAAAAGTTTGAACACACCACTTTGACTTGGAAGGCCTTGGAACAAAAACAACAAAAGTGCTTCCCTCACAAAATGCCTTGCATTTAACGCCGCCTCACCACTACCAGGAAAAAAAAAAAAAAATCCAACTCACGAGGCATCCAGTTATTTTCCTACTTCCAAGCCCTATTCCTCTCCCCACCCTCAAAAAGTGGGGAGGCGAATTGGGGGGGACTGACTTTCCCAGAGTTTTGAGGGGGAAAAAGTTTAAAACACCTTCGATCACGAAGGCGCTCAGGAGTTTTAAAATTCCAAATGGAACGAGGGACGCGAATCACAGACTCACACCCCGACCTCAAAGAAGAACAAATTCTCACATTTGTGGCGGGGCTGGGGAGGGGGAGGGGGCGCTTGGGGAAATTTGGAGTAATTACACAAAGCGGGGTGGGACGTAAAAGGGGCAAAATAAGACCCGGGTCTACACCGACCCAGAAGCCACATGTTTACACCTTTAAAACAATGACATGAATATTTAAAGCTAGCGTTTAACCCTTTCCAGCCCGGGCACGTTTCCATTTGTTCAAACGAGCGCGGGGCGCGGAGCCCGAGCCGCCGGGGAGCCCGGCCGGCGGGGCGAGCCGGGGCGGGGACGGGCGCGACCCCGCCGGCCCAGACCTACCTCCCCCCGCGGCCCGCGAGCGCACAAAGGGGCGGCCCCCGCGGCGTGGGCGCGGGGCCCGGCGCTCTCCATGAAGCCCGCGGCGGGGGCGGCCCGAGCGCGGGGGACGCCACTCGGGGACACCTTAAGTCGCGGGCTGCCGCCTTCGGAGGCGGCGCGGAGCCCCGAGCCGGCCATGCGCGCGGGCGCCGGGCGGCGGCGGGGGCGGAGGGCGCGCGGCCCGCGCGGGGAGGGCGCAGCGCGCGCGGCCCGCCGACCCGGCCGGCTCCCGGGGCGCGCGGCCGGCGGGGCGGGGAGGGCCGGAGCGCCGCGCGCCGCGCCCCGGACACCGGCCGGCTCCCCGCCGCGCGCGCGGGCCGCCGCCGCCGCCGCGCAAAAATGTCGGCGGGCGAAAAATTAACCCCTGCGTAGCCGCCGCCGCCCTCCCCTCCGCTCCTCCCCGCCCTCCCTCCCTCCTTCCCCGGCCCCGCGCGGCGGCGGCGGCGCGGGCGGCGCTTCTTTTTTAAAGCGGCCCCAGCAAGCCCGGCTCTGCCCCTCTCCAGGCTGGGCTGGCGGGGCGGCCGTGCACCGCTCCCCGGCGGTCCCGGGCGGCCCGGAGGGGGATTTGCAACGGCCGCCGCGGGCCTGCGGACCCACGTTCCCCTTTAAGCCTGGTGTCTCGCCCCCCCTCGCCAGGCCCGCCGCTTACCGGCTCGCTTTGCGCCCTCCGCCTCCTCCCGAGAGCGGGCCGCGGCCGCTCCCACAATGCACCGGGCGCGCCGGGCGCCCTTAAGCGTCGCCTGAATAAAAATGCGGCTCCGGCGGCGGCGGCGGGCCCGGGCCAGGCCGGGGCGCCGCGGGGGCTCGCCGCGCTCGGCGCGGCCCTGCGCCAACCGGGCGGCCGCGCTCCCGCCGGCCGGGCGCCGAGGGTGCCTCAGGGCCGGCCGCCTCCCTGTCCGAGGCGGCGGGCCGCGGCCGGGGCGGCTCGGTGGCTGCGTGCGGCCCGGGAAGGGGGCGGGGGCGCTGTGCAGGCCCGAGCGCGGCAATGATTGGTCTCGGGGGAGGGGTGGGGGGTTGCGAGCCCGGGGAGCGGTGGCATCCGTTGCATGATGCAGAAAGGATTGATTTCAAAAGTTGCGAGTTGCATTGGCAGCAGCGCTTGGCGCCGGGGCCACCTCCCTCCCCGCGGCCCGCTGGAAGGGCCGGGAGCGGCTCCCGCCGCCCGGCCGGACGCTGCCCCGCTCCCCGGGCGCCGCGGCCCCGGCGGCCCGCGAGACAATGGCCGTGAAGCAGTGTGCAGCGGAGCCCGGGAACCGACGTTCGGTGCACCGGGACCCCGTCCGCTCGCCCTCCTATTGTTCGGCTCGGCCCCGGAGCGCCTGCAGCCCCGGGAAACGCGGACGTGCCCTGCAAAGTTTCTCGAACACTCGGGGTGCTTAGGAGGAAGTCTCGGCGGAAAGCTCTTAAGGTCCCCCCGTCACACTGCCCCTCACACGTCCGAGCAAACGTGGCGCCCCGATCCCGCGTGTGTTTGAATTGACGTCGAAATGGGGGGCGGGGAGGGGCTTAGGCTTGGCGAAATAACTCCTCGGGAGGTTTTGGGGTTTTCATGCATCGCTGATGAAAAGAAAACACGTGCTTTAAGACGACGTCTTTTAGGGCTTCCCTTAAAACTGCGCAGCGTGGAGGGATGCCGGCCAAACTTTTCCAGGCGGTGGGTCAGCATTTTACGGATGTACTCGGGGGCAGAAGTGGTTTGCGCTCCCGGGCGCACGCTGCGCAGATGCCCTTTTCGTTCCTAAAACTTGTGCCTGCCATTTCCCCGAGGGTTTTAATCTAGGTGTCAGTGCAGACGCGACGTGATGCCACCTGGAAAGGCCAGGTGGATGCGGGCTCCCTCTGTCTTTTTGTCCTTTCTCCATCCCCTACAGTAAGTTTGGAAAGAACGTGGCAGCCTGCGTTCTTTAATGTGATATATCAGGCTTCTGTAAGAACGGCATGACCCTGTGCTTGACAAACCTGGATTCGCCTCGGAATCACCGGGAAGGACACACACACAAAAGTCCTCTGGGACACCAGGAATCAGGAAAGGAGGATACAGATTCTCTTTATTCCCCTCCTCCTACCCCTTTTAAAATAGAGTTTGCATTTTGGGTCATAGGAATTTGGGGGGAGGGGAGAGAGTTTCTTTCTTAAGCAAAAAAAAAAAAAAAAAAAATCACGACTGGAAAAGAGACTTTGTGGGGCAGGGTAAAGGTGATATAGCAGAGGCAAGTAGGGCCCTATGCGAAGGTTTGTGTGTCACACTGAGGAGCTAATAAGCATTTATGCCATAACCAGCAGTTTGTCAGATTTGTCTTTTACAAGTTCAGCTCTGGCGATGATGTTGGAAGATGCCCTCTTCGGAAGGGAAAACAGGGCCACGTTTGCAGTTAAGAGGTTATTGTACTAGTCAAGCCTGGAGATGTGCTGAAAGCAGGGGGGACGGCTCCAACGACAAGGACCCGATGTGATTTGGGGTGTATCAAGGAGAAGAAGCATAAAGATGACCCCTAGGTTTCTACTTTTGGGGGACTGGGTGGGTAGTGATGCTAATAACTGACAGAGCATCTACCAGAAGGCAAACAAGTTTTGGGGTGAGTTCAGCTTTGGAAATGTTAAATTTCTGGTCGGCAGAGCACTCCAGACCGAAGGTCATTGGGAAACTGGTCTGGGGTGGGGTGAGGCTCGGGATTTGAGATGCAAATCTGGGCTCCATCAGCATGTAAATGGTGTTTGAATCTTCAGAAAGAGGCGAGATTAACTCAGAGGGAGAGCTCCGGAAAAAAAAGTGAAAGAGACCTTGGACAGTGCTCTGCAGGACTTGGAAATCAATCGAGTGGTGAAGCTGGCCAGAGGCTGATCCCTGCAGAGTCTGCTGGAGGCAAAAGCATCCTCTGAACCAAACTCTTCCTTCCCCCATCCCCCACCAGGGTTGGGGCTCTCCACCAGCTCTGAAACTGTTCTTTGGAGCACGGCTGTCAGCCACACACGCCTCGATTCATCTGGAGCCAGACTACAACCTTGGCCCCAGATCAAGATCATCTCGCCCCTCCCTTCCTTTGCGCCAGACTGCAACTTCTTTCTCTCGGGGGTATTGCTTTGCTCTCGTGCTCCCTCCAGACAGTCCTCTATCTGAGTCCTCCCCAAAGGACACAACAGAATCCCATTCTGGGGAGTCACCCTCCCACCCCCTGCCTGGGTTCTCAGGTGCTGCTCTCTCCGTCTGAGCGATGGTTCCCCTGGGTTGCATTGCCCGGCTGAGGCTTATTAAAAATACACATTTACCAGCCCTACTGGAAAGGTTACATCTAGCAGGTGGAATGGGTTGAAGTGTGTCCCTCCATCCAAAAGATGTTTTGAAGTCCTTACCGCTGGTACCTGTGACTGTGGCCTCATTTGGAAATAAGGTCTTTTGCAGATGTGCTCAAAGTAAGATGAAGTCATGCTAGATCAGAGTGCACCCTGAATCCAACGCTCCTGTCCACGAAAGAGCGTGGAGGAACGTGGCCACAAGCCAAGGCACACCGTGGGTTGCCAGCAACAGCAGAAGCTAGAAGAGGCAGGGAGGGACTCTTTCTAGAACCTTCGGAAGGGTTGAAGCCCTGCTCCTACCTTGATGCCCAACTTCCAGCTTCTGCAAGTGTGAGAGAGAACACAGTCCTGTGGTTTCAAACTACCCAGTTGGTTGTCCTTCGTTATGGCAGCCCCAGGCAGGGAACCCCGCAGGTCTGAGGGATGTGGCAGGGAGAGCTAAGAATCTGGCTCCTCGGGTGATCCCGATGTTTTTGAGGAATGCTGCCTTGAGAATTCTGCTTCCTCTGAAACCCAGAGGGATGAAAGTCTGCCTGTTCTTCTGCACCCCACATTCTGCTCGCCCCAAAGCAGCTTTGGTGACATTACCTTCCTGTCACCTGCCTTTCTCATCCAGGCTTGTGCTGTCCAGCATTGCCACCATCTGTCACTAGGGTTGTTACTCTCTTACATTCTCTGAGTCACACCCATTCAGAAGAAGTGGCCTCTGAGCTGTCATTGTGGGAGGGGACATTTATTCTCAGGACTAGCACCTGGTAGGGGATGGACATGCAAATCTAATGAACATTACCGTCACCTTCGCTCACTTCAGCCACTCATTCTCGTGGCAGTGCTGTGAACCTTCTCAACCCTGGGAACCTAAATGCCAACACCATGTCTCCCATCTAGCAGTCCCCTCCTTTCTTTAAACGCTGATACCTGTGCTCCACCCTCATGGGGGCCACTAGTCTCCCAAAGTGGTCCCTTTATCTTCCATCCAGCCTGGACCCCAAGGTTAGCCCTGCAGCCTCACTCCCATGCTGCCCCCTTCTTTGACCATGTTCACCCCTAAATGCCCAGCCTTAGGTCCCGCTGCCCACCTTCTTCTGTGTCCTGTCACAGGGCTGGAGCAAAAGAGCTTGGAGACCCAGCTGTTAATGGATGTGTCATCTTCAGTGGCAGCTGGGCTTTTTGGACAGCTCCAAAGTCCTTGAGTGTATTATTCCTGATGTTCGAGATTCTTCTCAAGGGCTGGTCCACACTTTATTGCCTTCAAGAGCAGATGAGGCCGGGCACGGTGGCTCACGCCTGTAATCCTAGCACTCTGGGAGGCTGAGGCAGGCAGATGCTCAAAGTCAGGAGTTGGAAACCAGCCAGAGCAAGAGTGAGACCCTGTCTCTACTATAAATAGAAACAAATTAATTGGCCAACTAAAAATATATAGAAAAAATTAGCTGGGCATGGTGGCACATGCCTGTAGTCCCAGCTACTAGGGAGGCTGAGGCAGGAGGATCACTTGAGCCCTGGAGTTTGAGGTTGCCATGAGCTAGGCTGACAACACGGCACTCTAGCCTGAACAACAAAGTGAGACTCTATCTCTAAAAAAAAAAAAAAAAA